CTTATAGGTATGCTGTCAAATCTTGATATTATAACTTTACAAAACTCAGTGACTTTACGTTTAGTATGATACTAACTTTTTTATAACACCATCACAATTATGCCAAAATATAAACACAGTGAAGTTTATGATAGTACGGTGTTCGTTCGTCTGTTTGTTTGTCTTAGAAATGATTGCAAACATTTTTTTTTTTAAATTGCTAATGATATACGTATGTCTCTTATAGGTGCCAAATGTATTATACAAGATTGATAATGAAAATCAAAGTACCTTAAGTACTGAAAGGACTTTTTTCCAGTTATTTTTTTCTTTCACAGTAAATATGATATGTATGTTTTTTACACAGAAAAAAAGCAAATTCTTACAGATTTAGAAGAACGGAAGACTTTTTTGTTGCCATGGCAACAAGAGTCTAGTTATTATTATTTTTCTTCCTGGGTACTTTTTTGTCCGTGAGTGATCTCCGAAACTACACATCCAATTGAGGTGAAACCTTTTTAGGGTTAATAGGAATGTTATGTAGATTTGCGGAACGAAGGTCATTTTGCGCGCACGTGCATGCACGTGCGTGCGCGTGCAATACGTAAAATGACCAATTTAATTGATATAGCTGTAACTTTTGTATTTTTTGATGAAATGCTTTGATACTCAGAATATAAGGATATATTAATAGTGTAGACAAGATGACATGGTCAGAATGCACATGCATGCACGTGTGCGCATGCGCATTGATTGAAATGACCAATACAATTGATATAGACTTAACTTGTGCATTTTTTGATGAATTGCTTTGAAACTCAGAATATTAATATATATTAGAAGTGAAGACAAGAAGACTTGATCAGCGCACACATGCATGCATGTGTGTGCACGTGCGCGCGCGTGCAATGAGTAAAAGGACAGATATACTTGATATAGCCATAACTTTCATATTTTTTGATGAAATGCTTTGATACTCAGGATATCAGGATATATTAAAAGTGTAGACAAGATGGCATGGTCAGAATATATATGCATGCACGTGTGCGCATGCGCATTGATTGAAATAACCAATAAAAATGATATAGACTTAACTTGCACATTTTTTAATGAATTGCTTTGGTTCTCAGATTATAAATATATATTAGAAGTGCACACAACATGACATGATCAGCGCACACATGCATGCACTTGCATGCACGTGCGTGTGCGTGCAATGAGTAGAATGACCAATATACTTGATATAGCCAAAATTTCCATATCTTTTGATGAAATACTTTAATACTCAGAATATAAGGATATATTAATAGTGAAGACAAGATGACATGGTCAGAATGCACATGCATGCACGTGCTCGCATGCGCAATGATTGAAATAACCAATATAATCGATATAGACTTAACTTGTACATTTTTTGATGAATTGCATTGAAACTCAGAATATAAAGATATATTAGAAGTGTAGACAAGATGACATGGTCAGCGCACACATGCATGCACGTGCGTACGCGTGGAATGAGTAAAATTACCAATATACTTGCTATAACCATAACTTTTACATTTTTTGATGTAATGCTTTGATACTCAGAATATATAGACATATTATTAATGTAGAAAAGACGACATTGTCAACATGCACATGCATGCACGTGCGCACGCATGCAACGCTAAAATGACCAATATACTTGATATAGCTGTAACTTTTATACTTTTTGATGAAATGCTTTGAACTCAAAATATGTAGATATATACTAATAGTATAGATAAGATGACACGGTCAACTTGGATATGCATGCACGTGCGCACGCTTGCAAAGCGTTAAATGACAGATATACTTAATATAGCCGAATTTTTTTTAATCTTTTGATGAAATTTGAATATAAAGATGTATTGAAAGTGTAGACAAGTTGACATGGTCATTTTGTACATGCGTGTCCGTGCGCGCGCGTGTAATGCGTAAAAAAACAATATACTTGATTGCCTTATTTAATGAAGCTTACAGGGAATAAGACACCAAAAGGAAGTTGGGGAGCGTTTGGGGAAAATCTGTAACGGTCCCCGTTACAATTAATACTAGTTATCATTTATGATTGCTAGGAAATTGTGTTTCACAAGACTCTTAAATGTATTTCTTGAATGAAGTATTAAATAGCTGATACTATGGATGTTGAACAACAGGAGATAGGGTAAAGTGATCGTGAGTCGGACACCTCTCGTTTTCCTTTACGCATGCAGACCACATTCGTCTGTATACCCTGTGTTATTTGGTCTTGTCCAAAAGAGCTCGAAAAGATCTACTATTCTTTGCTTGGATTACCTCCGTATTTTACCTTGTAAAGCATTCAGATGTGATGAACCACCAACATCGAAATTCGTTTGAAAGTCGGACACATTTGATATTGAGTCTGACACATATAAAAGTGGGACTAATTAACTTTCTAGGCCCTATATGCACATGCTGACGTGCACTTGTTCATTGAACATGCAAGAACCTTTCACGGTCTCGTACAAGAAAGGGCCGGGGGGGGGGGGGGGGGGTGTGCCAGATAAAAATTCAGAACAACTTAAAAGAATACATGCCAGAAGCTATAGGAGAGAGGAACCCCCCCCCCCCCCCCCCCGCTCTTAACTCCTTTGTGTAATTTCTGTACAATATTTAAAGTATCCCTACTTTTGATTATGGCAGGAAAAAAAATAAATAATCTGACCTCGACTAGTAACCCCCCCCCATTAACGAGTTTTGGCTGTCCCGCCTCCTCTCTCTATTTCTCTATTTTTTATTTTTTTTGCTTGTCGAGAGAATTTGGCCGCATGAATTTGATATGGATAGAGCAGGTATATGTGAAAACTAAAATAATCATTGAACCTTCAAATTATATTTTAGCATTCTAATGACATTGTGTTTCTGTGATGTAGGAAAGAAAAATATTTTTTTTTCTTGATATCTTGTTTTGATTTGCTAAAATATGACCAGGTAAGTCAATTGAACGGCGGTAAATTGGTATTTTTATGCGCCCGGATCGATAGATCGGGGGCGCATATTGTTTTTGTCCTGTCTGTCTGTTTGTCTGTTTGTTGTCAACTTTAACCTTTGCCATAACTTTTGAACCATAAGAGATAGAGACTTCATATTTGGTATACATACTCCACTAATTAAGCTCTTTCAAATGACACTAAGGTCAATGACCTTGTGACCTTGACTGTGACCTATATGCTAAAAATAGCTTTTTCGAACTTTGTTGCTGCCGGGTGCATAGTGTTTCACAAACACATCTTGTTAGGTTATGATCTCGTTGTGGTAAGTCAACCAAAACACCAAAACATCCTCTTGACTGAAAATTCAGGCCCATAGGAAGCAAATACATTTTCAGTTGACAGGGAGCACTACCAAAAATTTCCTGACAAGCAAAAAAAAAGGTCATCAGATGTTTTTTATTGAGGGGGCACAAGCATATAGTATCTATGTTTACTATAGTAATCAATATATCGGCAAAATTATGGGAGGGGGCACGGCCCCTTGGTAACCCCATCCCACCCCCGGTTCCAACGGTCATGAAATTAGAGTTCATTCCTGCAGCTAGATGCATCCATTTTCTTTTATATTTATGTATTATCATGATGACATCATAAAATGTTAATTTAATATGAGAGGGAGAGAGAGAGAGAGGATGTCTCATAATTAACTGGGATACATTTAGCTTTTTAAAATAATTAGATTGAGAACACAATCTTGTATGAATGTAACAAATTTTAAATGCATAAATACTCTACTTTTCATTTAATGATTCAAAATCATTAAGACGCTAATAGTCACAATGTTTCCGCTGAATGGAATATTTCATTTCAAGTCTTGGAGCAGATTGTCTCATAAGTAGACATAACATGTGTCAGTTACATTTGTACTAATTCCTGCCTAAGTCTTTCTTTTATTTGCACTTCTGCTCCCTAATCGCAGCAAGACCTGTTTTTATTCGACTATCAATGCTTTTTTTGGGGGGGGGTTATAGAACAACTCTTGATAGGTAGTTTGACCGAAATATCTGAAAGCTGCTGGTTACTCTTCTGCACTCAAGGTCTGTAGTGTAAACCGCCACATTCATCCACTGGGTTTTGTTCGGTTCCCATTTACAGTAATGAAGCATCGGCATCTTTGGAGCCCCCCCCCCCGTCGAATGCAAACAAACAACAGAAATTTCCAATAATCACTTTTTTTTTAATCCTCAAAAATGTGAAATATTTCTTTTTAGCTACATTTTTAAAAATCAAAATCACATTTTAATCTTGAAAGTATTCAATACGCTTTATACAACTTCCATCAGACAATCACGCCTACTCCTTCCTGCCTTGAATTAATTTTGTTGATTTTAAATATTAATTTAAAACACAATGAAATTGTGATTTATCTTTATTAATAGAGATTTGAATATTTGACTTAATTTATAATATTCTTCAAGCAATTATTTATGTGACAAGGTTTATGAAAACTCGGACAGTGTCCGACTTAGCATCAAATTGCTAAAATTTACTGTCCGACTCAAGATCAAATTGAGTCATTGCATCCGAACTTGAATTCTTCGAAATAGAATAAAATATTTTCAAAAAACCATACATATTGTGCATTTACAATGTTTAGTGCATAATATACGTGTAATTTTAACTTTCAAATTAAATTCTTTTACACGATGTGAAAACTTTCATACGTTTGATCGATCAAAATATTGCCAGGGGGATCTTCGAATTTACCGGTAATTAGTGCTTTCGAGGGTCAAACGTCAAAAAGACTGCAATATCATCTTTTGAGAAAGAAAGACAACTCTTAATAGATTAAGAATTGCTTGATTCAGTTGATCATGATAGAGGATGGATTCATTATAGGAAGTCCGTTAAAAATAGCATCAAAATTGTCCGACTCTAGATCGTGTCCGACTCTAGATCAGTTTACCCTATGTGAGAAATATATTTTTATGTTTTTTTCCCCTTTTTGTAAACAGATTAATATAGTACAATGTACATGTATTTCAGAACTCTGCATTTGGAAATGACATTATTCCTGTTGAAAGTTACATAGAATCAATCCAGAGTGCTCATATAGGATATTTATCAGGTAATTGATTTGAGGTACTGTAATATGCTCTATAAACATTTTATATCAATGGCATAGCCAGGATTTGTATTTTCCTTCTGATAGTCAAGATTGAGTTCATAATCAGTACTAAATGTTTCTCAGATTTGTTTTTGGGGTTTTTAAAAAGTACAAGCTTGAGTATATATGCTAGTGTACTTTAATTATTTATGACAAATTTAAATGTAGCATTTCCTGAAAAACAACTCGAAAATTTAGTCCGAATTTGTTTTAAAACACACAGCTGTCTCAAAGTTACTGATCTTGCTACACAAAATTTGAGCTCAGATTGGAGCATTCATGTACAATGGACATATTTCTAGTTGTTTTAATGATTCAGTGGATGGATATTTTACAGAGGCTGAATTTAACATTGGTGCCTCTCTGAAGCATACATTGGCTTCCCTTGTCAGATTCTCATCAGACTTTGTCAGGTATGTTAGCATTTGTATGTATATACTACTTTAACATCTTTGTTTAATACACAGTAGCTAATAAGATTTTTTTTTCTCTGAAATATAGTTTTGAATATATTTTGTACTTGTAGTTGGTGCCCTGATGCAGATAGTAGTAAGGAGATGACACGAGTTCTCTTCCCTCTGATTCTTGATGCATCAAGTTCTCATGTAGCAGACATGGCCTCCACTATTCTGGAGAAGTTCTTGGGACAGGTAGATAGTGAGGAATTCATGGAGAGACTGTATAGGTACACATTCAGTGTGTGTAAGGACTTAGTGAATGAGTACTCAGATCTCGAGTATGGACTACAAGGAAGTGTCTACATGAATTGTCTCAAGTTCATGCTGAATCACATCGAAAAACCACCAGAGAAGAAAGCATTTGCCTATGTGTTCTCAAATGACTTGGGTAAGTTAACATTGAAAGGTTCAGAAAAAAAGAATCTTTGTGCATGTACTGTACATGGTAAATATATGTTTTTTTAAATAAGAAAAGATGTTATTAATCCAAGATCATTGTCTAATGATGATGATATAAGGAACTTTAAAAAAAAAATCATATATTATGATAACCATTTCATAAATATGTGTTTTTTTTTCTTTAGTAATAGCATTATTGAAAGATGAAGATAATGGTGATCTTATAACATGTAATTGTTTGTATGTTTCCAGATTTGATTAACTTGTTGCTGTCTCCCTCTAAGGATCACTTGTCACCAGAGTTTGCAGGAAGTGTCCTCAAATTCTTTAATAAGCTCCTGTATATTGGTAGGTGATTTTATTTTTTTGGGATTTATCATTAAGGCCAGACGATAGTTCCTCAAATATCTGTTTTGTATACCTTCAAATTATGTGGAAAATATTCAAAATTTTAATTACCTGCTGATTTCTAAACTGGTTTCTAATTGTCTTAAAAAAAATGAAACACCAAAAAATGTGTCATTGGCTAATTAAGTTTTTACCAAAAGGATTTTATAGGAAAAACATCATCTGGTATCTTGCACAAATGGTAAGCTACCTCAATTTTTTGCGAGTAAACATGTTAAAGAAGCAATACTTGAATGACAAAATCTTAGAAAAAAATATATATTATTGAGGAACGTATCGTCTGTCCTTAAATAATCAAAGTTAAGAATTTGATTACCTGGTAACACTTGTACATGTGTACATTGTAGCTGACAAACATCCCAGTGACCAGAGTTACGAGGCTCTTTGCTCTTCTCTATCCAGAATAGCAAACCCAGAATTTGACAGAACCATATTGCAGAACTGGCTTTCCAAAATTATTCTTCCTTCAGAGGTAGACCTTCTTCCTGTAATATGCAATAGTCCTTTTAATTTGGTTTGAAGCATAATTTTTAGGCTTTTATCAACAAATCTTACACATATGAATCCATTTTAAATTGTATTTTCAGGACCAAGAAAATAATAATAATACCCCAAAGGAAAACAGGGGATTACTAAGAAACTTTACTCACTACATTGTAAAAGAAAAAAGGTAATTTTATGGGTTATCTAGGCAAAAAAGTATAAAAAGTTATTAAATGTTAAAATTGGTAGTCCTATTTACCACAGCGTTATTCCACTGGAAATTCTTTTCAGCTCTGTCAGTTCTAAAGTATCCCAGACATTACTGAAGGCTCTAATTCCAATGGGCAAAAAGCTTTTGTCTGGACCCCAGGCAGCCATGACTGGATTCCCCGAGCTGATGATAGTAATGCACACTCTGGCTGGAGCTGGAAATGGAGCAGGTCACCTGGAGCTGTTCCAGGCAGCCACTAGCTGGCTACAAATCTGGTGAGTTGTTGTATTAGTGTTTTATGTAAATATATGAATTGGTCAACAATGAAGTGAATATAGGGGAATCTTTTGAATGATGCACAATTTGCTCTCAACAGCAAAAAGTCCCTTGAGAAGAAAGAGGTGCTTGAGGAAATAGTTGAAATTGGAAGTTCCAGCAAAGTAAGCACACATACATGTATACATGTAAAGATAAGTTCTGAGTTAAAAATTGATTGAATACCAAGATGCTTTTTTTGCATTTTTGTTTTTTCGTTTTCAGGCTGTGTTGGACTCTTTGTGTTGTATTCTATCATATTTAGGAGAGATTTTGGGTGCCCTAAAGAAGGTTTCTCAGAGGTAATATTGCACACTGAGTTACTACAACCTCTAGCAATGCTTACCAGAAAAAAAGTGTGAAATTTTTGCATGCATGTAGTTTGTTGTTTTGAAAAAAAAAACCCATTGCCAATCTTGTTATGATACTGATTACTAGTGTATGTAGTCTGAAGAAAGTCTGTATAGTGATGAAAGTTGAATATACAAATACAATTTTTGTGTTTCCAGAGGTAGCAGTGGTGGTATATCCAGTGTGGATAATGAAGTGCAGGCCTCACAGGAGGGGGGAGACAGTGACTGGGCGGAGGACATCACACAGGAGGACGAGGACTCAGCTGGAGAGGACTCGGTCAGTTTATTACCAATAACATACTTAAAAATTAGATAGATAAAAAATGTGTGCAAGAACACAATTAACTAGCAGAGAAACATTATTTCAAATTTACATAAAGGAAATTTGTTGTATTGTTGCAGGATGAGGAGTCATTGAACAACAAACTTTGTACTTTCACTATAACCCAGAAAGAATTTATGAACCAGCACTGGTAAGATTTTGAATTAAGTTTTTGAAATAATCATGTAGTTAAAAGACTGTTAATTGGTACAGTATACTTTTTGCAAAATTATGACGAATTGAATACAAAAATAAATCATTTTTTTAACATTTCACTAGGTACCACTGTCACACTTGTAAGATGGTGGATGGCGTAGGTGTGTGCACTGTTTGTGCCAAAGTTTGCCACAAAGACCATGACCTGACATATGCCAAGTTTGGCTCCTTTTTCTGTGATTGTGGGGCAAAAGAGGATGGAAGTTGTAAGGTAGAACAATGCATTTTATTTGAACAGCCTCTTGTTGAAGAATGCAAAAATAATGCATGAAGGTCAAATTTCAATTATTGATGAAACAACAATTTTGCATTTAATGACCACTTGGATACTTTTTAACAGGCAGATTATATATGTTTCCCAATATTTGTGGTACTCTATGGCTCATTTAAATTAAGAAAAATTTCATATTTTCTATTTTTGGGTGATTTACTGGAATTATAAAAATTAAAATGCAGGCATTTGAATACAACCTTGAAAAGATCGAATTGCAAATACATTGATTATAAAGCCACATAATTCCTTCCATGGTAAAGTTTTTAAGAGTTGTAAGATTGACTTATTGTATTTAGGCATTAGTTAAGAGGGTTCCACAGAGTGCCATGGATTGTAATGACAGCATAGCTGGACAGTCCCCTTTCTCTATGGACACCATGTTACAGAGCAGTCTTAGGAGAAGACTGTCCTCCCCTTGTCCCTCAGAAAACACCAAGGCTGACAACAAAGCCATAGAACTGGCAAACAAGACAAGGGAACTCCTGGGAAAACAGCTTGAAGGATGCAGAGATCTTCTGATAGGATATCTGGTAAAATGATTAAACTTTAAAGGAAAAATGTTCTCATGTCATTTGTCTCCTAAGATTTTGTTTTTTGTTAAAGTACAGTGTAACTTGCTTGAAGACATTTTTTTCCAACACTACAGTCCTTACAGTTTCAAAAATATTTGTGCAGTACAGTAAAACATGGTTACGGTGCACATACTTGTAATGAATTCACATTTGCAATGAATTGATTTTCGTACCCTGTATTTTAAAAACATATAAACTCAATGGATATAATGAATTTCAATTATAAATAATCAAAGTTAATTCACATGTAGCACTCGGCTATAATCTTTATTTACTATTTTGAATCCCTTTAAAGTAAAACAACAGCCTAAAGTATGTCTAGAATATAAACCTAATGTTTTATTTTAGGACTCCAGTGAGACAGTAGGTGTGGTACTTGATATGTTGAAGACAATACTTCCATCTCTGACAGAAAATTATTTGAAGGTGTCACCCATGGGGAGCACCCAGAGAGCTCAGAAAGCTCTGTATACCCTACACAACACCCCCAAACTCACTCAGCACACAGATGAACTCATGGTTTGTGTTACATGTACATACCCTCTCATCAAAATTAGTAAAAGGCATTAACAAAAAACAAGAGTAAATAAACATGTATCATCTCATTTGACTTGAATAATGCACATGTACATTTATTGTGAACCGCCTCCCGAAGAAAAGTTGAACAAGACATCTATCTAAAAAGAATTAGGGATTCTAAAGTGCAGTTGGCACTGGAAAAGTTTGTTTTATTACTATTGATTTATAGTTCACACGTATAAATTTAAAATGTACATTTGAATCATTTTCATACCATGGTGCTGTAAAAACTGATGACTCAGAACAGGTTAGGTTACATGATGCACATTGTTTGGTATTGTAGACTGTAACACTGGGCTCTCAGGAGGGAGCGTTTGAGAATGTGAGGATGAACTACAGTGGAGACCAAGGACAGCAGATTCGACAGCTGATAAACTCTCATTACCTGAGAAGGGTTGCTATGTGTGTGCTAGCTTCTCCCCATGGCAAGAGGCAACACCTAGCTGTCAGTCATGAAAAAGGGAAAATCACAATCCTCCAACTGTCAGCACTGCTCAAACAAGCAGACTCCAGCAAAAAGAAACTCACATTGACAGTAAGATATACGTGTACTTCTGTTCAATGAGAAATTCTTAATTCCAGAACAATTGAATGAAAGATATACGTGTCCTAAGAAAATATAATTCTTTTGAAAAATGGAGTTACACCTGCAGCACTGTTGTAAAATTTAAGAGTGAAGGTATTTTTTTGTGTTTAGGGGAGGGGGAGTCTATAAGATTTTGACTAAGTCTATTCATCTTTCAGAGACTGGCATCAGCTCCTATCCCATTCACCGTGTTGTCTATCATGGGAAATCCTTGTAATGAAGATTACTTAGCAGTTACTGGATTGAAGGTAATATTAAAGGGGGGAAAAGTTAATAATAAAGTCAAGGAAAAGTAGTTTTTCAGTAGAGGATTGCATTACTTAAAGAACATTATGCACATTTTGTAGGGGCAGTGATTAATAAGGTAAAAAAAATTAGTTTTCAGCTAGAAAATTGCATTCGTCAAATACATGTACTTGCTTTTGTAGGACTGCCATGTTCTGACATTTACCAGCTCTGGGCAGGTGTCAGATCACCTTGTCCTCCACCCAACTCTGACTTCTGGAAACTTCATCATTAAACCTATCTGGCTGCCAGGCACTCAGACTGAGCTAGCCATCGTTACAGCAGATTTTGTCAAGGTAATATATACAGCCAGACTTTTAGATGCTTCCCTATTAACTTTTTTTTAAAGTGTAAAGAGTTATTATGTCTAAGGTCGTGATTTTAACTTCTTTTACAGATTTATAACCTAAGTGTCGATGCACTGAGCCCCCAGTTCTACTTTTTGCTGCCAAGTGGCAAGATTCGAGATGCAACGTTTATATGCACAGAAGAAGGCCGTTACATAGTTTTGATGGCTTCTAGTGGTTATATATACACTCAGATCATGGATGAGAGTAGCAGTGCCAAGAATGGCCCTTTCTATATTACCAACGTCATGGATGTTGAACATTCAGACTTAAAGGTATAACTGACTTTTACAACATTATATTCAGTTAAGAGTAAAGTCTGAAAATCATTGTGAATTGTTGGATTTTCTGGAGCAAAGATATAATAATATTAAGTGAAAATTAAACTGATTTTAAGGAGTGAATTACACTGTAACACCAGTTTTAGTGAGAATTTTAATCATGCATTAACAATTTATTGTGCAACAGGAAGTGAACAATTTGGTAGCAGGAGGGGGTGTGTCTGTTTACTACTCACATGCTCTCCAGCTGATCTTCTTTAGCTATACTCAAGGTAATTATACTGCTTACTTTTAAGATTTGAAATATAGAAAAGAAATTATAAATGATAACATACTAAAATTTCTCAACTTTTTTCCTGATCAGGAAAGAGTTTTGCAGCCACAGTGTCCAAGGATTTGTCCAAGACTCCAATGCTATTTCCAATTACTCTCAAAGCGTAAGTACTTAGAAAATTTTTGTTTAAGAAAATATGATATGAGCATCTGCTTTATATTAAGGTTCCACCTTTTACAACCTTATACATGTATTTTACTTGCAGTAATGGAACCTCAAAAGGGAGTAATTCTGTCCAGCCCTTAGTCCAGTGGTCAGAGGTCCCTGGTCATACAGGTCTGATGTACAGCATGACACAGACCTCCAACAATCCAGTTGTTCTCATGATACAGCTCGATAGCATCATGGTTCAGGAAATCAAGGTTGTCCCTGCCAAAGCAAAGGTACATGATCATGCATATAGCTTTATCACTTCTTCTGATTTCACAAATGCATTAAATAGAGAAAAAAAAAACCAAACTTTAATACAGCCAAACCTCGTTATCTCAAACTCAATGGGACCGAGAAGAAACTTCAAGATATTTAAGGATTTGATATATCTAAGGTAAAATACTCAAAGAATACAAGAAACTTGTGGAGAAAAAACTAAATCTATGGAATTACATGTAATATTTTGAATTCTTATTTCAGATTCAAGATGTTGTTGCCATAAGACACACAGCTTCTAATTCAGATCAGGTACAGCTGACTTGTGAGATTTTCTTTCTGTTGTGAAATTAGTAAGCTTCAAATATGATCAACACTTAAATCAGATAACTAGCATCTTTTGCATATTTATCTTGTAAGCATATTTGTATATTGTAGATTAATTATTGTTCAAAGCATGACCCCTAGAAGAAAAGGGCTACAATTTTTTTTTTACATGAAATATACATATGAAAAAAATAAGGAAAAAATTCTCAAAATGTCAAGTAAAACAAAGGAATAGGTATATAATATGGCTCAGTAAAGGTTGTCTAATGACACATGAGTGACGATTATGGCCCATGGGTTTCTAGATTTTCAGAGAAGCATTTCATTGCAGAATAGAAATTCTAAGTGCCTTTACTTTATTTGAAATTTTGTTATTTCAGCAACACAGAACCACTATGATTTTACTTTGTGAAGATGGAAGCTTAAGAATATACATGGCCAATGTTAACACCACAAATTTCTGGCTGTCCCCCTATCTACAGCCCCAGAGCCCCATTTCTGTCCTCAAACCAATCAAGAAAAAGAGATCCACCAAATCAGGTCAAGTCTGGTATCTTTATAAAACATACTGTTGATTTAGATTGCTACTGAATCAAATTTATTAAATTTGAAGTAAGATTTTGACTGTGTAATGTGTTTCATTTGATGGTAGGTCGGCCCACTGGATCAGTTTCATTTCCTATTGATTTCTTTGAGCACTGTCAGCAGAGTAATGACATAGAGGTAGGTGGTGCTAACATTTAAATTAAAAAACCATAAATCAAAAGATATTTCAATTCCATCTATTTCTGGATGGGTTGTTTCCTATGCTTATTTATTCCATGATTTTTCTCGACAGTTTGGTGGAAATGATTTACTACAGATTTACAATGCTCAACAGATAAAGCATAGGCTCAATACCATTGGGATGTATGTAGCAAGTACAAAGGTATGTAAGAAATGAAATTCACAATTCTTTTTACAACACTGTGGTTGAACAAATTTAGGAACATTGTGCACATGTATCTGATGTTACAAATCAGTAAATATAATACTGATTATTTTGATTATCTTAGCCATTTGGGTTTACTGTGGAGATCAGTAACACGAACTCTGCCAATGTAATGGTGGGATGTCGAGTGTTGGTTGGGACCCAGAGCATTGAGAGAGCCCCATCTTATATTGAAGTCTTTGGAAGAACCACACAAGTAGGCTTTGTTGATTTAATGTAATGAATGAGCACAGATACATGTATGAAAGAGAAACATTAGGTAATAATTAATGAATTATGATTTAATTTGATTATTTCTTCACAGGTGAAAATTACCAGGGCTAGATGGTTTGACCTGCCCTTCACAAGAGAAGAATCTTTGACTGCCGACAAAAAAATCACACTTCATTGTAAGATTTTCAGAATGTATACATGTATATCAGTCTTTATGCAAGTTCGACACTAATTTCATATTAGTCTCAATCGATCAATTTTTCTACAGAGAGGCAAAAAATTAATAAAAATTGTGAATTTTTATGAAATTTTTTATTTGGATGTAGGATTTTGCAGCATACTTCTAATTAGATTTTAATGCAAATTGTATATAATAAAGGATTTTTAAAAAAGCAGAATGAAGTGAAAGAGATTTTTTTCAAAGATCAAATTACCCATTGAATTGACCAATTTGATTCACTGAGAATGAATTGAAATAATATTCTCATTTACAGTTGGAGCAAGTGTGGATCCTGGTGGAGTGACAATGATGGACTTTATAAAAGTTTTTGTCAAGTCTAAGGAATCCTTTGGATGGCCAGAAGAACCAGACGAATTCCTGGAATCACAGACTCAGAAAGCGCTGTCTTCATCAGGAGGTATGAATACAGGCGAAAATGAGGTGGTCCCCTCAGCAGCCCCTCTCCCGCTGACCTCAGCTGACAGATTGTTGGGAAGTGCCCTGGAAGTGTTGGATGGAGCCTTTGCTGCATGTCCTTTGGAAGACAAGGTACTGGATATACACAATTCATTATTGAATTTTTAATGAAAATTAGATTGGTGATATTATTCCCCTTTATACATGCAGATGGTAAACATTTGTACACTTGCATGACAAATTACAGTTTGAGTAAAGTTTGTTTCTTATGACAGTTTGTCCTCATTTCACAATTTATCTTTCTATAACCATTAATACATGTAGCAATATAAGTCAATTTTTTGAAAGTTTAAAGTAATGCTGATAATAACCATTTCCTGTTGACAGGGTATAACTGAGATGAGAACAGACACACTAGATATTGCTACGAGTCTCCTCAATCTACCAATGCCAGACAGTGTACAGTCACATACCAAGTCATTGCTGGCCTCTCTCTTCCCAACCTCACAGGCTTACTACAACCACAAGGTAATTATGTGTTTATAATCACCTCATAGTCCTACCACATCTATAGTGTTAGTACATTTTACATACTACAACCACAAAGTAAACATTATAGACTTAATGTTGTTACTAGTTAAATCCTGCATCAAGATGAGGGTGCTCTATAGTAATCAGTTTTCCTCTTCCTGTCCTCCAGTAACACTTTTTCAAGCTACAGATTTTAAATTTAAACCTACAGACTTCATATACATGTACATGTATATATTACATAGAAGAATGGTAAGAAGTCTGTGATTTTTGGAGTCAGTTGGTAAATTAAAGGCTCTAATATGGCGATTGTAATGCAACAACTCTAATATTTTGAGACATTCACACTACAAGTTGGGTTTTTTGGTGTCACTATTGTACAGTATTTATATAAACATCTATCCTATAAATAGTCACCTTTGTATTAATTATAGGACCAGGCTGAGCTGAAACATGTAATGGCCAGTCTGAACAAGGACAAAGCTTTAGATGTAGAGGCTTATCAGAGACTTCTTGTGACAGCCAGATCTGTCGCTGTATCCAGGCCTAACAACCTCATCAAGTTTGCTGAGAAAGGAAACAAAGATGAAGAGGGTAAACAGATAGTAACCATTTTACTTCAATACTTCAAAGGCTACTTTCTGTTTTGAGCTGTAGCTCTAAAGAATTGAAAGTCACATTGTACATCTGCAAATGTACATGTAGATTAACCCATTAATGTCTGTTACAAATTTATAGTTTTAGAAGTCACAGATTTAGAAGATGAAAAAGATGAGAAACCAGCACCATCTATTGCTAGTCTTTCTGACCTTGACCCCAAAGAGAGAACACATTTTGTGACCCAGTTAATGGAGGCATTCTGGGCCTTACACAGTGCTAAGCCTGCCAACCCGATGCTAGCCCCTGTGTGTCTCCCAGGCCTGGCACATGTGGATGCTACAGTAGGGGCCCTGGTGGAGATTATCCATGCCTTCACTATCAGTGACTTTGACCATGTTTCCCTGGCTACAAAGCTGTATGTGAAAATGTTACTGTGTCCTGACCAGCTGGTCAGTTTCTCGTGTAAGCAGGCCTTGATTCGTTGTCTGAGGCCCAGACACAGACGAAGAAGGGTGTTTATACCATCTCCTCCAAGGTGCAACTCACCAGGTAATCTGAGTAATTATGGATGAAAATAACCTTTTTGTAAATTTAATTTTTTTTTTTTTCTGGGTTTTTATTTGACATTTCAAATGAAACACAGGTGTAAACTATAGCTGTAGCTGTAAGCTGTGACTCATATAATGTACATTGGTTCTTATACATGTATAAGAAGTAAATCTCAAGGCTGACAAATTTAAGATTGAATTATAGATTCATTACAAACATTGAGTTCATGCAAAGAATTTATCAAACTTGTAGGTGGTGGAGCTGATGATGATGATGACGACGATGAAGATGATGATGACAATGACAAGGGGGATAAACCAGTACAGAATGTTGTGGAACCTGTGCCCCCTCCTCACTCTGTAGAGATAGAGGAACACAATGATGTAGATGATGCTGATGAACAATTTGAAGTTGTGGTATGTAGTATGTGTATTCAAATTCAAATTACTAATAAAAGAAATGTATTGAAATTGGACCTGAGTGATTTCCACTCTAATGTTTTTGGCCTGCAATAAATAAATATACATGTATGAAAATATTTAATGTGGACACTTTTTTTAAGAGGATATCTGAATAAAGTGTTACATGTACATGTATATACATGTATGTATTTGTAGGAGCATGATGAGCCCATGGTTCTTGAGCCAGGGGACCCTGAGCCTGAGGAAGGGAATCGGTTACCCTTAGAGGCTCTGTTAGCCAGTCGTAACTTTCCCATGGTGGATATTCCACCTGATGCTGATGATGAAACAATGGTAGAACTGGCCATAGCACTCAGTCTCCAAGACCAGGTATACAACTTACAACTTGTACAATAACGTAAGAAATGATCAACATGTAAATATAACTAGAGAAAATGTAAATTAAAAATAAATTTTTAACACTGTATTTTCTGTTGGACATTCAATGTATTTTTGTATGTCAATTCAGAATTATGAAATTATCTTCTTCACTTGTAGCCAGGAAATAGTAACTCTCTTGGTTTGCAAGGACTTGGACTTAACAATGTACAGGTAAACTTGAATCTTCACTTCTAAATAGTAAAATGCGTAGTCTTTTATCAAGCTTGAGTAAAACATCATTCATTTTTTTTGACAGTCTGCTCTGCAGAATGCCATATCTATTGAGGAGGGCCCAATGTCAGACACTACAGCCTCAGCTCCTGGCAGTGATGATGAAATGGGGAGTAATGCCGCCACTGATGGATCCACCCTCCGTACTTCTCCTGCAGAGCATGCTGGTAGTGCAGGTTCAGAGAGTGGAGGAAGTGCCATAGAATCCATAGGTAAAAGCTTTGAGATTTGGCTGTAAATTTGCTTAATACTTTGGAATCATTGTAATTTATGGGGTCAAAGTTCATGGACAAGCAACTTTTACTAGTTTGTGAGGGACAGAATTTCATGTCTCTTTTAAACAGATCTATTGATAAATGAATGTTTGTTCTAACTTTGACTTTATGGGTGAAATTTGAAATTATGTTGAAAATTTTTATTACAGTGAGTGGAAGAAGCAGTGCTTATGGAGACAGAGATAGGGAGAGTAATACATTTGGACCCAGGAGTGAAACCAGCAGTGTGGGTATACCAAGTAGCTCCCTACAACAGGAGGTAGATGGCACAGATGTTGATGCTGACTATGATGCCTCAGTCAGGTAAGCACTTGATACATGTATCATGTAAATATTTGTATTGTACTATGTTCAGTAAAAGAAATGGATGTACATGTACATTGTTTTGCAGGCTGCATAATTTGCGCTTAATGATAATGGAGAGACTTTTACAATATCTGCCAGAGATGAGGAATGTAGGAGGTGTTAGAGTGATACCGTACATGCAGGTAGGTAGTATAATCTATCAAGTTTTATTCTATTGTATAGACTGGTTTAGAAATGTTTATGAAAATTTCTATTTGTTGCTAGGTGTTACTAATGCTGACATCAGATCTGGACAGTGAGGAAGAAAAAGACAAAGGAGCTCTGGATGCTTTATTATCAGCTATTGTCAAGGAATTGGACCTCACTGGAAAAGTAAGGCTGCTTTACAACTTTGCTTAATTTTCACAAATTAAAATGCCATTTTTTGTATGAAAAAAGGGATGTGAAACTATTATTGAATACAAAGAATTTTTCTCTTTCAACAGGATTTGGAGCAGATTGCCAGCAGAAATCAGTGCTATGAAGTCAAACTTGTCCTTCTAAGATTGCTAAGTGTTCTATTGTCAAGAACAAAAACAGGAAATAAACCTGCTGGGGAGGTAATCAATGTCAAACATTCAATCAGTTTATGGTTTTGATTTCTTACCACTTTACTTACAGGGTGTTGTATTTTGGTTTCAGTCTTCCTCCTCCTTCATCAGTAATGCCACAGCAGCAGCTCTTATATCAAGTGGAGCCATTCCTTACTGCCTTACTATTCTTCAAAACCTGCTGCCATTTTGGAAACAGTATTCAGCTACAGAAGTAAGTAATACTTCAAACATTTGAGAAGTCGCACAACTCTGTGCACTTGTTAAAGTTTTAAAATTTACTGTTTAATACAGATACATGTACTTAGGTAATTTATACATTGGTCTGTTTTCTGCACTTATAATTTTAGACTAACATGTAATCTGTTTTATCAGACAATGTCACTTCATTTTAGGAAGAGGGTAGTGCAGTAACTGGACAATTATTGAAGCCTCACCCCACATCCCCACCCCCAGACATGTCCCCTTTCTTCCTACGACAGTATGTCAAGGGGCATGCTAATGATGTATTTGAAGATTACCCCCAGATGCTGACAGAAATGGTTCTTAGACTGCCATATCAGGTAGGCTAAGATTTTCTCATGATTTGATATGTGAGGAATTCTTTTTCTTTTAGTTAAACAAATTATTACCTTGATCTTCTTGTTGATGTCTCTTGTAGCTCAAGAAGATTTCAGAGAGTGTCTCTAGTGTTCCATCTGCAACATTTGAAAAACAATGGAACACAATTTTGTCAGAGGTACTTGTAAAATTTACAACTTAAATTAATTTACTTTGTCATATTTAAGTGCATTGAAAAGTGTGCCTTGATCATTTCACTATCTACAGTAAAACATGCATATAGCACTTGTAATGAATAAATGCTTACAGCCAAGTAATTTTCATTCCCTGTGAGTTTAAAAGATATTGTAACCTTAACAGATATAACGAATTAAGCTTATAATGAAGCAAAATGTCCTTCCTTGGCACTTCTCTATGAATGTGTTTTACTGTATTTCATCAACGATGGACAAAGTATGTGTTATAAAGTGCTAATACTTTTATTTCTTCAGTACATGATGACGCAGCAGACACCTTACTTCAAACGTCAAGTTAGAAAGGTTTGTCATACATTCTTATGTGCTATGCATGTATATCTAAATGTATACCATCTCAGCCTTAAAGTCGTCATACATAGAAGATAAGAGGAATCATCAGATAAAACAAATGCATTATTACTTGAACATACTATCTATTTTAGCTGCTACTGTTTATCAGTGGTACAAAAGAGAGATACAGACAGTTAAGGGACCTTCATGCTGTGGAGTCGCACCTTCAGACCGTGACAGAACTGTGTAAGGAGGGAGGATTAGACATCAATGAGGCTGAGGTTACACCCGCTCCTGTCATCCTCAACTACGATACACTCCTCAATATTGTAAGTGCTTAGTAATGCTCTTCTTGGAATTGAATTATAACTGCATACCAGAAGTACATGCAAGTTGTACCGAAAAATGATAACACAAAACACATTATGTACTTTTGAGTGTTGAGAGTTATATCCTTGCAGATAAGTTCATTTATACTCAGTTATGCTAAACATTTTTGTTATTTAAAAGATCATCAAGTTACTTGAGATATACCGTATATACTCGCCTATAAGTCGGTCCGCCTATAAGTCGGTTGTATTTTTTGAGGTTTTTTTGGAGGAAATGGCCATTGACCCGCTTATAAGTCGGTACAACTTTTCGTTAGGATTAGTTGACAATTTCAAATCAATGCTCTGATTTTTTTAACCAGGTTTCAATTTACGTTTTAAGAAATGACGCTGATATGTAATTTTAAACCATTAAAAAAAATAAGCAATGCACACTTAGATAAAAATAAATTTATTAAAATATGTGATACTTATACTTTATCATGTGTTTATGCATAATCTTAGAATACATAGATGATATAATGTATCCTGACTTTGTTCAAAGATAATCGTTGGAAATGTTTATAAAATGCTACATTTCACCCTCCAGAAAAATACAAATCTTTTTATGACTCACCTAAAAGTCGGACATAGAGTTTTGGACCAAAATTTAACTCCAAAAAAAACGACTTATAGGCGAGTATATACGGTATGTACTTATATTTTGATGTATATGTACTTGTATTTTTCTTTTTGAACACTTTTTCATGAACAATTATTTAATTTATTTGCAGATTGAGCATTTGAAATTCTGCAGTGATACGGCTAGTAGCAGGCCTATTAACTGGCAGCTGTATTGTAGAGACAACCAAAGTAAGTGTGATCTCAAAACAAGTATTGTTACTTCTAATATAAAACCAGTTAAAAATTAGCAGCAGGTTCTAAAATAAAAACATTACACAGAGGTACATGTATGTTTTAGATGTGATGATATTCTTGGTGAGGGCCAGTATCCTCCTGAATGAGGGAGTAGCCCCCACCCTTCTACAGCTGTTACAAAGTGCCCTGTGTGGAAATAAATCAGAGGAGGGGAAAGATGGAGGGAAATCCAGTGTAACAGGATCCCCAGGGAAACCCAAGAAGGATAAGGACAAGGATAAAAATGACCAAGGTATTGCTGAATGATATCTGGTATTTCTTCTTTGTACATATACAAATAGGTTTTAAGAGTACAGAAAACACGCTTATAGTGAACAGGCATATAATGAATCGACCAATGTAATGTGAACTAGTAATTGCTGTAAGGAATGACAGTCTTCTACTGGACTTCAGGGTGGGGTCATTATAAATACATGTGTATCTATAAACAACACTTACCCAGTAAAAGATATTGTAAAGAATGTAATTTCTCTTTGTTTTGATTATATCATATACATTGCACATATACATGTACTTTAAAATGCAGGGGATTTTAATGAGAAAAGCATGCATCTAGATGTAATGAAGGATTGGTGTAGATTTAAACCAAAACACACTCAGATTTTCAAATCTGTACATTTCTCATTTCACAGATTCAGATGATGGTCAGAAACATGATGAGGCACTTTGTCTGAGCCTGGTCCAGCTGTTGATGAAGATTCTTGACAGAGACCTCTTGGTGAAGTTTGTACGCACCTTCCTCCTGGAATCTAACTCGACCAGTATCCGCTGGCAGGCTCACAGTCTGTTACACAGTATCTATAAGAACTCCAGTTTGTCTGAGCAGGAGAGACTCCTACAACTATTATGGGATCTTTGGAAAGAGCTACCACAGCATGGACGGAAGGCATCTCAGTTTGTGGATCTGCTTGGCTACTTCCTGTTGAAAACTCCACAGACTTCTGAGAAAAAAGTAATTGAAGTTGGATAAGTTTGAAAAATAAGTGAAACAATTTTACTGTAGACTAAGAGTATGGATTCTTCCAGATGGGAGCTGTATCGGTGTCTAAAATACAGGAAATCAGATAATATTCCTCCCTTTTTGAGTCTTTGAATTACATATTAAAGATTTCCATAAATGTTGTCAACATATAATCTTCTTAAATCTCTAAGTTCCTGTTAAACCTCATAAATTTGATGTACACATATAATATACATGTGTGTTACTCACTGAGACTGTTCAACTAATTGCAGACAAAAGAATACCTAGATAAAGCAGTTGCTGTGTTGAGACAGGAAAATCAAGTTTTAACAAACCATCATAATGCCCAGATATACAAGTAAGAAGCATAAAATAGTAGATGTAGAAAGATTGATTTGGCAAAACTCTTAAGTTGATGTTCAAAGTAACATGTAAATGTTGTTTACAGCATGTTGCAAGGTCTAGTGGACTTTGATGGATATTATCTGGAAAGTGATCCTTGCCTTGTTTGTAACAATCCAGAAGTTCCATATGCTGTGAGTATAGTAGTTTACCTTAGGATTTCCCATTTTTCTTGTGTTGTTGACCATGTAATAATATGCATACTTTTTCTTAACAGAATTTGAAGCTGTCATCCATCAAGGTTGACTCGAAGTTTACCACCACCACACAGATTGTGAAGCTGGTGGGAAGTCACACAATCTCTAAGATCACTCTGAGAATCAGTGACCTGAAGAGAACCAAAATGGTCCGAGTTCTGAACATTTATTACAACAACAGAACTGTACAGGCTGTGGTGGAACTCAAAAACAAGTATATACAGTGCACTATAGATGAACATGATTATCATTCATCAACTCTTAATTTTAAGTCAAGTCACCCTTTTCATCAATCGGAGTTCTGCTGCAAATTAATTTAAAGTCCAGTATTATTTTCAGAAAAAGTACTTCATCTAGTAGTACCAATTAGAATGTTACAATATGCCATATTATTATTATGTTTACCCTTTCCCCCATGTATATTCTTCTCATATTGTACATGGTATGTACAGTTTAGTACAGATGTGAAGTCCAAAGTCACAAAACATATATCCAGGTACCTATAAATATTTTTTGTTTTAGACCTGGGCTTTGGCACAAAGCCAGAAAGATGACCTTGACCACAGGTCAGACAGATGTTAAGGTTGAATTCCCTATCCCGATTGTGGCCTGTAATCTGATGATAGAGTACGCTGATTTCTATGATAATCTCCAGGCCACAGCAGAGACGCTACAATGCCCCCGCTGCAGTGCCTCAGTGCCTGCTAACCCTGGAGTCTGTGGTAACTGTGGGGAGAATGTGTTCCAGTGTCACAAGTGCAGGTAATGGCTGAATTTCTCATTTTCTATAATACTTGATTTTCTCCAAAACTTAGCCTCTGTGGAAAATACCAGAAAATAGAAGTAGAAATTATGTTAGTTGTAAAGTTTTCCATTGGCAAATAATGGATAGCAAGATATCAACTAGATGAAATGTATCAACTGTCAAAACTTACAACAGTCTTGTTATAAATTATTACATTGAATACATAAATTGACTGTTATTTCCTTTACTCTTTATAGAGCCATTAACTATGATGAGAAAGATCCTTTCCTCTGCAATGCTTGTGGATTCTGTAAATATGCCAAGTTTGACTTCACTCTGACTGCCAAACCCTGCTGTGCTGTTGATCCCATTGAAAATGAAGAGGACAGAAAGAAGGTATTTAATCAAATACATTCTTTTTTAAATGTTTTCAATGTTCTAACTTTTTTTCTTTTTTTATGTGCATAAAACAAGGTCAAATGTACAATATCATTGTGTTTCAGGCTATTGGAACCATCAACACCTTACTGGAGAAAGCCGACAGGATATACAGAAATTTACAGCAGCACAGACCACAACTAGAAAAGCTGCTAATTCAAGTAAAAGAACATGGATCTGAAAGGGTAGGAAGAATTCTTATGTATTCTTTCTCATTTTGATGATACAGTACATAAATATGCTTGCTTTAGACTAAAAATTTAGGCTGTTGAGTGATCAAATGCTGTCTATACATTAAAAACTTGACCTTTATTTGTGTATAGGAGGAGGGGGTTAGTGCCAGTGGTGCAAACAGTGGAAGTGTGCCAGGCAGTAGTGTCAATAAGTCCATACAACAACTGGCCCTCAAGTACTGCAATGAGTGTAAATCATCATTTGATGAACTCAGCAAGATCATTCAGGTACAAACAAAATCACTCGCTTGTGTAGATTTAAGAACCTTGATTTGCTTTACTAAATTCTTAAAAAAAAAGGTATAAACTCAGAGGTTTAAGATGGAATTTATACTTAAATCAGTATTGGTGGCTCTTCAGAGTATTAAAATGTGGAATTTTTCATATTTATACAGAAGGTAATGGCTTCTCGTAAGGAGTTAGTGGAGTATGATTGTCAGCAACAGGAGGCTGTGGCCGCTGCCAGCCGAGTCTCTCCAGTCACAAGTCCCCGAGATATCACGGAATCACCACTGAAGGCTCGTAAAGTACCCAGCTGTAGTAAACCACAAGGGAAGGGGAGGTAAGTGCATATCATGTTATCTTTGACATCACTTTGATCAGGATGTTGTAAATGAATTTGAATGATTGCAGTAAGTGCTTGTTGGTATGAGTTGGAGGAGAATTTGCTGTTAAAAGGTTCATTTAATGTTAACAGTGCCAGAACCAGTAACTGCTTTGGATGTGCAAGTGCTGCAGTGGAGCATTGTATTACATTACTGAGAGCTCTGGTCACCAACACCAACCTCAGACAAATGCTGTGTAGCCAGGTAAAATAATAGAGCTAAATAAACTGAATGGTAATCTTGCTTTGCATAAATGATAGGAAAGATGAAATATCCGAGGAGATATGCTAAATGTTTTTGTTCAGAGGAGGTAATCCATTGATTTATTAAAGGCAATATAATTTTTTTTTTCTATAGGGCATGATCAAAGAGCTAATTGATTATAACTTGAGACATGGCACTTTGCAAGTCAGAATAGCTGTGTTGTCTCTGCTGTGTATGTTGACAAAAGACAACCGTAAAGGAACTGAGGAAATGAACAATTTAATAATGAATAGGATAGCAGGGGCACTGAAAGGACATTTATCCAACCCAGATCTGGTAAGGGATTTGTCTTGGTAGAGATTCTAAAAGCTCATTATACTGACTCTATCTTGAACTTTTGTTTTAAAATTGATTTTTAATTTCTGAGTTGTTTGATTTGTTAAGGGTTCCTCTGTGAGACATGAGATCATGCTGCTTGCCACATCGTTGGAGCAAGAGGACAGTTGTTGGGAACAAAGAGTCAGATGTGGTAGGTATCACACAATCAGCTTTTGTTTGCATATGTATTTCCCAATATGTGCAAATCTTTTAATTTTGGTTGAATTGAACAATTGATAAAACTTATGGATTTTATTCCCCAGTAATGAGGTTGTTCCTGATGGGAATGCAGATGAAGCAACCAGTGATAATGGACACAATAACCCTGCCTTGTCTTAGGATTCTTCAGCAACTGGTCAAACCTGATGGAGGTGCTGGAAAGAAGGTTAGCAAGCTCAGTTTATGTTAATATAGGAAAAGCAATTAAAAAACTATGACTCTATATCAAAATGTCAGTACTAAGATTTTCAATGAATTATGACCTCTTTTTTTCCAGGAGAAGCAGAGCCAGGAGATCGCTGTTCCCCTGAAGTATATGTCAGCTGATCTACATGTAAACAGTAAAGCTTGGCTATCAGGGGATGTCAAACACTCATTCCAGGCCTGGCAAAAGAGACTCCCAAGAAGAGGTATAAAAGGGTGTTTTTACATTTATCACGTTTACAATGTAATACTGGAAATGCAATTTTTAAAAAGCAGTGCTAAATGTTTGCAGGTAACAAATTATTAAAGGGTTCTGTAAAAGCCTGTCAGATTCAATTATATTTACATGGACATAGCAAGATAAGTAAATTACAATTGGTATTATAAATTTGGCTTCTTGTTGATATAGGAATTGCAGAATCTGTTGAAAATAAATCTGAAAAGAAGGAAGGCAAGAAAGAAGCAAGAGCCTTGTATTTGATGGAAAAGTATGGCAACAGGTGGAGAGAGAAGATGTGGAAAACTCCACCTATCCACCTGAAGCTGACCCAGACAACATGGCTTCAACAGGCCATGTTTACACCCTCGTCCCGATCCGCTCGACAGACAGCCTGTAGTATCATTGAGTCTATCTCGCAAATACCATCCCGTAAAAAGGAGATCATTGACATGCTTACCAAGTAAGCTTTTAGATCGCCAATTTTTTAGATTTTGGTATTGTTTCAAAAGAAACATTTTGAGATGAAAAAAAGACTATATTAAATGGGTATAAATTATTTCTTCTTTCATTGAAAAGATGCCTGGATGAGATCTGTAAGAGTGGAGAATGTGCCACAGAATTCCTTGGTCTCTTCAAACGGATGATCAGTCAGCCTCACTGGAAATGTTACCTGTCGATCAGAGGAGTGCTGCTGCACTTAGGAGACTTAATCTCCAAGGTTTGTAAAAGTGAAAGTAACAATGTGTCTTTATCCATTTGAATTGTAAATTAACAACTGCTCTCATACTCTGATTTCTTTTGTATGGATTGTAGGAGGTAGAACAACTGCAATATTTGGAAGAGACCACCCTCAGTTCTGATTTAGCTCAAGGATTTGCTCTAAAAGCCCTAACAGGTAAATTAAAAAGGATATACATGTAAGACATCTTATGATTGTGAAATTGGAAATTCAAATTGCATTAAATGTCTTTTAAACCTACAAGACAATACATTATGTTCTGTACATTTCAGAACTAGTATCCCTGTTTGTGGAACAAGATGTGATCAAACATTACTACAAGAACAAATTGGTTGGTTATGTATTAAATGGCTACTTGTCCCTGAGGAAGCTAGTGGTACAGAGGACCAAATTGATAGACGACACACAGGACAAACTTCTGGAACTGCTGGAGGAACTCACCACAGGTATACACACTGAAGGGGCAAGAAATGTGTTGGTATATTGTGAATCTATTTTATTGGGGGGCACAGTAAGAGATTTTCTTGAAGTCTATTACATATTTTACTGTTTGATTTAGTTTTTGCAAGAGAAAAATATATGTTTGTAGGCACTGAGTCAGAAACAAAGGAGTTCATGCAGGTGTGTGTGAAGACGGTGAAGAAATATCCAGATGATGACTACAGATCCCCAGTTTTCATCTTTGAGAGGCTGTGCAGCATTATTTTCCCTGTATGTATAAATTGAATTCTTCTTTGTCAACTGCTCTGATAGCTTAAGGACGCATCATTTAAGAAACTGAATAATAATCCTGTTATTTTATTTGACAGGAGGAGAATGATGTTGGAGAGTTTTTAATGATTCTTGAGAAGGACCCTCAACAAGAAGACTTCCTGCAAGGAAGGATGCTGGGTAATCCTTATAGTTCCAATGAACCAGGATTGGGACCTCTGATGAGAGATGTTAAGAACAAGATTTGTCAAGGTAAAATTTTTAGATAAACTGTATTTTAAGTTTCCTATTTTGATTTTATATCAAGAAGAGAGAAATTGGACAAATTTATGGTGAAATACATGTATCATTCATGAGTTTAAGAACTTTTTATAGTTTACAAATTCTTTTCCTTGTCTCTTAATTTTATGGGTGTTGTAAATTTTATTCACAGATTGTGAGTTGGTTGCATTACTGGAAGATGACACAGGAATGGAGGTAATGATGATTTACTTTAATGAAAAGCATTAAAATGTCTAGATGAAAAATGTGTCAACATGTTTTATGTTATGGAATGATTTCATGTACATGTACGTGTAGTTACTGGTGAACAAGAAGATAATCAGTCTGGACTTACCTGTCAGTGAGGTGTACAAGAAGATCTGGGCTCCAGAGCATGGTGAGGGGGAACCAATGCCTATCATCTACAGAATGAGAGGGTTACTGGGGGATGCCACAGAGGACATGGTCAACTCTCTGGACTCCAGCTCAGGTACACTAAAGCATAAGCTTTATATGAATGAAATTGTATAAACACACTTGCAACAATAAAAAATTTGAATGTTTTAGCTAATCAATTGTATGTTTTGCCTTTTGAGTAATATTATATGAAAATCATACCAATTCTCTGTACAGAGGAAGATGTGGATAAAGAAGAGGTGTATAAAATGGCTGCTGTATTAGCTGAGGGAGATGGTCTCAAAGTTATGCTCAATAGGTACACGCTATTATGTTCTTCTTTACATAGCATTTAAGTTTGAGGAGAATTTAATCAAGTGTCAATATTGTTTAACTTACATGTGTCTATAGTGTAATTCTTGGTTTCTTTCACAGACTGGCCACTATAAAGGACCTTGTTCTTGGTCGACAGCTGATGACTGTGTTACTGAAGTTGTTTGGCTTTGTGGTAAATGTGAAGGCTTGCAGACAGGAATTGATTAAGCCAGAGATGAATACCATCAATATCATGCTAGGGGCCCTGAACCTAGCTCTGTGGGCAGAGCATGAGAGTGGCACCAGTACCAAGGGACAGACTATCACAGAACAGATCCTACAGATAATGGAGGTCATACTGTTAGAGGCTAGCAGTCAAGACCCAGAGATATACACTGTAAATGTCATTTATTTCCTTTCATTTTGGGGGGTGGGGGGCAAAGACTTTATGTAGTTTACATGCATGTCTGTAAGGTTTAATTTGAAGATTATTTTGACTTTCTTTTGCTTTAAATAGCTAGATCAATAAAGAATTAATTGAGCTATTTAGTCGATTGAAAAAGCAAGATTATGTCATTTGCTTTATCAGTATATCATTATGAAATTGCTGTAAAGTGAGGGGTTATCATATTAGAGTTTCCTGTTAATTTGTAACTTACAGGTAAAGGCCATGCAGATTTCCTTACAAATAAACCATGGGGGTTTGGGGTTGATATCCTTTAAAAGTCTATTGTCGGACCTTGTTCCTTTTTGTCATAATCCAGAGACCAGTATTTACATGTATGATAAGAGTATTTTGTATTGAAAGTTTTCTCTTATTGTATGCTTTAGATGGTCAACTTACCATAAATTTTAACTTGCAGAATTTTTCCAAACTGTGTGGCAATAAGGACCAGTTGTTAATGTTACTGGACAGAATCAACAGTCCATTTGTGAGATCTAATCCCAGCGTCCTTCAGGGAATGATGAGACTAATCGCCTTCCTGGCCTTTGGAGAGGAGGACAAAATGCTTGTGCTCCTCAATCACTTCAAACCATACCTTGACTTTACCAAGTAAGTTACGAGAACAAATATCTCTTTCAAGCTTTTATTTCTTGTATTTTCTAGTTTCATTTCTGTATTTCTTTAGAAGAAGAAGATTTTATTATGTTGCATGCATCATAAATTTGTGTTCAAATTAAGTAACATTTTGATTGCATTTTAGATTTGATTTGGAACATACTCAAGACGAGACTGTACACCTAGATTGTTTCTGTGAGGTTGCTTGTGGAATTGAGGTGAATTTATGGTATCATTTTAAAGGAATAGCAATAGTTAATGCTCAGATAATTGGTGTAATAATCTTTCAATGCCTTAACTTTAGTTGTTTTAGGTCTTAAATAAGTTATGGCATATTTGATGAATCTCTGGAGACTTAGCCACATTGCCTTTGACACATTTTTTGCTTTATTTCAGAGCAATGCTAATGGAATAAGACTAAAGAACATGATAACAGATCATGGCATCACCAAAATGGCAGTAGACTATATTTTACAGAATTCTCCCAAAGTGAAAACTCTTTTACCGTAAGTGAAACATGTTATATTGCTTATATTCTTAAATTGCATAGCTTTTTTTGATAACTCTAAAATAAAAAAAAAAATGACTAATAATAATGCATTATAAAATATTTTTAATGCTCCTTTGGTTGAGTATTAGACACCTTTAGCTGTAAATCTTTAATGACAACTGAATTTCTGGGATTTATAATTTCTCTGTGTTATTTCAGAACTGACACAGAGAACTGGAAGGACTTTATACAGAAGCCTGCTTTGAGTTACGTACTGCGACTCCTGACGGGGCTTAGCCAGGGCCACCCTCCCACTCAGCTCCTGATTGGGGCAGAGTGTATTCCTATCCTCCATAAGCTGGAGCAAGCTTCCTCTGATCAGCACATAGGGACAATGGCTGAGAATTTACTGGAGGCTCTCAGACACAATGAGGAAGTAGCTGCAAAGGTGAGAAGCTGCTCCACAGTCGATTGCGGTAGCCCAATGGACAGTGATTTGATTAAAATAATTCCTTCATTTAATGAAATGAAGTGTATTACACAAATTTATGACATTCAAAAATTTAGTGTGTCAGAACACATACTTATGTACAATATATAATTTATAAAAATTGTCTGATCTTGATAGATTGAGGATTTCAGACAACAAACCAAAGCTGAAAAGAAAAGATTGGCCATGGCCAAGAGAAAGAAACAACTTGGAGCTTTAGGAATGAAGGTATTTTAACAGCTCTTTATTTAAGAGGCATGACGTGTATTTTTTTGAAAAATGTATCCACATTGATGCATATACCCTGTCATTCCAATTATAGACTAATGAGAAGGGGCAGGTAACTGTGGAGAGTTCCGTTCTAAAGCAGATAGAAGACCTGAAAGAAGAGACAGGCTTAACCTGTTGTATCTGTAGAGAAGGATATCGCTACCAACCACAAAAGGTAAAGACTCTCATGATTCTATACTTAGGGAATGTCTTACAAAGATATTAATGCCATGATTTCGGTGTATTCGTTGGTGATTTGCAGGTTTTGGCTATTTACACATTTTCTAAGAGAGTGTACCTGGATGACTTCGAGAACAAACCAAGGAAATCTGTTGGTTATACTACAGTGTCTCACTTCAATGTTATTCATGTGGACTGTCACACAGCTGCTGTCAGGTAATCACCATAGGCAGTTTTACTTTTCCATTCATATGGAGGATAGATTGCAAATTAAAGTTTTCTTCTAAATGTAATGTTTTGATATAAATGGGTTTGAAATTTTTAACCTTTTTTTGTAGACATGCTAGAGGAAGAGAAGAATGGGAGAGTGCAGCTCTACAGAATGCCAACACTAAGTGTAATGGATTGTTACCCCTCTGGGGGCCTCATGTTCAAGAGTCGGCATTTGCTACCTGTCTGGCAAGGTAAATTTCATTGAGACATGACAACATCAGTCTTCTACAGAATATACCATGTTACAGTTATTACAGATTCATCTTTTATTACTATAAGTGCCTATCCTTTGTAGACACAACACCTATCTTCAGGAGTGCACTGGAGTCCGAGACCCGAGCTATCCATACAATGTACATGACCTGAAGCTGCTGATAATAAAGTTTGCTCAGGAGAAATCCTTCAGTGAAGAGAGTGGAGGGGGAGGAAGACAGAGTAACATGCACCTACTCCCCTACATTATGCATATGGCTTTATATGTCATCAACACGTAAGTAACTATTCCTCATTTAAAAATTTGTAAGATGAGTAGAGAATTCATTGTTATTAACTTCCTATGTTTGTATTCAAAATTGCATTTTTCCGCACATAGGACAAGGTCTGTAACCAGAGAAGAAAAGAACTTGGGGAATTTCCTTGATGCTGCCAAAGACAAATGGATTGAAAGTTGTTACGAGGTATTTAATAATGCTTGAAAACTTTCTCTTACTAGCAGTTATATATACTTTCAGAGTTTTCTCATATTTCATCACAGTTTTATGAACTTAATGGAGATATTCATCATGATGATATGCAAAATTCACAACCTAGTTTTTGAAGTCTTGGTGGGCAGTGTGTTTCCTTAGTTATTTACTATACTATAATTAAATCACTTGTATGGCTGTTTGCAGACTGAGGGGCCTCTGTACTGGACCACTATGGCTCTCCACATTTTACCACATGCCAAGTGGAAGGAGAAAAGAGTCCAGCTGTTGGATCGACTCATGGTTCTGAGTCAGACTCGACATGTGTCCCCAGGAGGAGCCAAGACGTAAGAAAATTTCAGTATTAAATTCTTAGCACAATCTTTAGCCGTAATTTTCATCAAATTGAAATTTAGAAATGTACTGAGTAGACTGAAAGAAACTTGAAAATTTCTATTGGCAAACATAATTATTATTGTTATGTATTGTCTATTTTACTGGATGTGTAGATTGGCAGATAAAGCAGTAAAAGAATACAGTGTGTACAAACCCTGCCTAGTGTTCTTTGGAATCATTAATGCTGTTTATGAGAAAGTATTTAAGGCAAGTAGATTATAAGACTTTTCTATTCAATATAGCGTGTTGTTAAGGAAGTTGAATTGCTTTTATGCTCAAGTGTTATAGAGAAATAGTGGTCAAAGTGTATTTTATTTACTTAAAAAAACTTGCATAATTTCTAAGCAATGTGAAAATTACACTATTTTGGTTATAAAATTTCATTTTCATTTTTCATATACATGTATATGCATATGGGGTACTCATGTACATAAAGATGAACAACCTTGATTTCTGATTTCTTTTGTTTGGGTTAAACACATGCTGTTTTTGTTTTATAGAAGGTAACCTTGAGTGGAGACAACAGCTGGAGCTCGGCAGTGGCAGACTACATCAGAAATAATGACAAGGTTGTCATTGAAGCCTGTGACAAGGTGCTGGGCACTTATCAAGACGAGATGCTGCCCTGTGAATCATTCTCAGAGTTCTGCGATGTTGTTGGTAAGTTTCAATGTACTTCATGCAACATTCACTGAAAACAAGGATATTTATGTGTGTTGTTCATTAGAAGCAAGAACATTATTTGTAGGGGATATTTACGTAGTACTGGGATTAACAGGAACTTAATATGGTAAAGGGAATTGGTACACAGAGGCATACATGTACATGTATTTATGTGGAGAAAAAACCTTTCTTATTGTTTATTAAGCATAAATTACCCCCTCTCATTTCCACATTTACAGTACTTGAATATACAACTGGATAAAACAAATACCTTACCAAACAAAATGTGTTTGTGAAACACCTTACCAAACAAAATGTGTTTTGTTTAAGTTTTTCAAAAGTAGGTAAAACTCCAAGGTCAAGGTGAATGGATTACAATTGTTGGTATCCAAAGGAAGGTCTTGTCACAAGGATTACATATGTGAATTATGAAAGCCCTAGCACCAACGGTTCAAAAGTTATGGCCAAAGTTAAAGTTTTTCAAAAGTAGGTCAAACTCCAAGGTCAAAGGGTCAAAGTTGTTGGTATCCAAAGAAAGGTCTTGTCACAAGGATTACATATGTGAAGTATGAAAGCCTTATCACCAACCGTTCAAAAGTTAGCTCCAATGTTAAAGTTTTTCAAAAGTAGGTCAAACTCCAAGGTCAAGATAAAAGTTGTTGGTATCCAAAGAAAGGTCTTGTCACAAGATTTACACATGTGAAGTATGAAAGCCCTAGCACCAATTGTTCAAAAGTTATGGCCAAGGTTAAAGTTGTGTAAAATTTTGCATAACTGGGTCAAACTCCAAGGTCAAGGTCAAAAGGTCAAATATGGTGGTACCTAAAGAAAGGTCTTGTCACAAGGAATACACATGTGAAATATGAAAGCCATAGCTCTAACCAATCAAAAGTTATGGACAATGTTAAAGTTTTTGCAGACAGACAGACAGACAGACGGACGGACAGGACAAAAACTATATACCCCCGAATCTTCGATACGGGGGCATAAAAATGCAGCTTGAATAAGTGTTAAATGATAAAAATCTTTTTTCAGGGCTTCTGGAGGAAATACCTGACCCAGATTCCTACTTAAACAACTTGTTTGCATCATTGCCATAGTACAGTGTAATGACATGCTTTTGTGTGTGCTTTTTCTGTGAATTCTTTTGGACAATTTATCAGTCAGTATAGATTCTTTATGATGCAGAATTGGATATTTATACTTAATAATCCATGTAGAACACTTGTATACAATTTACTTTGCAATTGGAAGCTATGGTATTTAAGCTTTTGGAAAATATTGTTAAAGTTCATAAATAGAGATATGAAATTATTACAATTGCAGTGATATTGTTTTGGATTTTTTTTTGGTAAGCTTTGTTGATTTTGCAGGAAAATTGATACCTATTTCTAGCTTTGCTGATAATATAGTTCAAAAAGACACTATACTGTATGTATCAATTCTTTTTTTATGACGAGAAATATTTCTGTGTTTATGTTTATAGTATAAATAATATGAAGATGAAAAATATAGTTAGGTCTCTTTTCCCTCAAAAATTGTCTGTTCTAGATTTTGAACTTGCATGTTTATGTGTTTCAAAGGACCTAGCTTTTTACATCACTGAAGTTTGGAAATTTGTTTCTGATAATTTGATTTTTGCAAATGTGATAATAAATATTAAAGCCTCACTTATTTAGTAGTATAAATTGTAATTAAACAAATTTCTCTCATGTCTGAATTAAAATTCATTTATTACATCCTTGGGGAAAAAAGACCATATACATGTATATTTCTGTTTATTGTGAGGTAGAAATGAAAAAAAATGAAGGGGGGGGATTCAGGACTTTTTTTAATTTGTCAAACCATTTTGATATGGAGTGGTTTATTGTCTAAAAAGAAAAGTTTAAAGGTTTAGTTTGATGTTAACATACAGGGTGTCCCAGAATATATGATACCGTTTCAAGATTCTGTAAAACCTTATGTAATGAATATTGCATTACAACAAATGACGTTTTATCTGTGTAATGATAATGTCTAGACGTAGCACAAAATTCCTTAACATGAGACAACAGTGCCTGTCTCGGTAGTAACTTCTGGATTTTCATCAGAGGTAAACCTTTTATATATGTTAGGGATTCTGGTTTGAGTTTAGCAGTAGTAACCTAAGACTAGGATTGATAATTACAGTTTCAAATGAGGGTAGCTAGCTCATTTTGATTGAAATTGCAGTTTTTTGCAAAAGGTTGATTTAAATTTGTTACATTGCAATTTCACAAGTGTAAGAATTTTTGGGAATATTTTGTTGCTAAAAAATCGTACTTATTTAAATATTTTAGAGACATATATCAAGGAAATTGGCCAAGGGATGTGTTTGTGGCAGGTATTTCAAATGGTATCATATATTTTGGGACACCCTGTATATTTAAAGGGATTTTGTTTATGGCAGTTTTATGCTTTTTGCAACAATGCACAGGAAATATGCTTCTTCATGTGTGCTGTATTCAAAGAATAAATATTGTACTGGTGTGATTTCAAGTTCTTTTTTCTTTAAAAAAAAGGAAACTTTTTAATGCTACATATTATGTTTTATAGTGTTGCCTGCAAAGTAGAAATTGCATCTGTTTGTGTCACATTTTACCATGATTCGTATAGATTATAGGTTTGACATTTGGGGATTTGCAGATCATAAGAATTTTTGCCAAAACTATCAAAATCATGCAAACTTAGAAATCTATATGCTTCTGGACATCTTGGAGGCAAACTATCAGGGTAAGCAATGAAATTCATGACCCCAGGATCAAGGGATGTAAGATGAGACTATATAAGTTTGACATGTATTGAAAATGAACTATTGTACAACTTTGATTAAAGCTCTTTAAAATGGATATCCAGAAGGCAAACTATTTGCATGATTATACAAAAGATGAGATAGCAGTGTACCAAAATATTTAATACATCTAGGGGTTCAGGCCCTTGGTTGTGCTAAGTCAGTCAGTCTTTGAAAATCTTTACTTGTAGATATCTAGCTAGCAAGTTGTTTTCATGATTATAATAATCAGCTAGTCTTCTACCAGCAGTGTGAAATTTATGTTGGCTGGAACCAGGTTTGGGACCCATGATGGGGCTTATTTTGACATACTATAGATGCACTTTTTTCTCATGAGGGATTGATTTACGCTATGTACGCAGTCACAAAAATTCAATGAAAATTTGTCACAGTGTACTTAATGTAACCTGAAGTCTCTGATGAGACTGTAGCTCTACAGGTTTATATTTATAACAAAGAAAGAGAAAAGTAGCACTTGGACTTGAAACTTTGCAACAGCAATAAATAGAATACAGATCCTTGGTTTTGTCAAGATTTATTGCAATCAGACTAAAAATGTAGGAGGAGTAGCCTCTTGAAAGTTTACATAAATTTCTATTTTTGGTAACCATGTCAACCTGATTAATCAAAATCAAAAACCGATAAATGCAACTATGTATCTCATTGTAGTCTACTTGCATGTCAAGTTATAATAAATTCAGACCAAACTGTAGGAGAAATAGTGTTTTGAAAGTATTTCACAGAAATTTTTATTTTAGTAACCATGGCAACTCTGCACATCAAAATCAAAAACCGATATATAGTCTACTTGTGTGCTAAGTTATTCTGAAATCAGACCAAAACTGTAGGAGGAGTAGCATTTTGAAAGTATCTCAAAGAAACTTCTATTTTCAGCAACCAGGGCAACACTGTTCATCGAAATCAAAAGCCAATGTACACACTTATGTATTTTAGTGTAGTATACTTGTGTGCCAAATTATATTGAAATTAGACCAAAACTGTAGGAGGAGTAGCATTTTGAAAGTATTTCAAAGAACTTTCAATTTCAGCAACTAAGGCAACACTGTTCATCAAAATCAAAAACCAATACAATGAAATATGTATCTGTAGTCAACTACATGAATTGTGTATATTGAAATTGGACCAAAACTGTAGGAGGAAATTGTTTACAGACAGCTAGATGGATGGATGACAGACACCTTACTATCACATAAGCTCTTCTGGTCTCTGAATAGATGGCTAGCTGCTCATTTATGTAAAGAGCTTGCTTGATAGATGTCCATGAGGAAAGAAGAAAATTTTCAAGAGGGTACTGTATTTTGAAAATATGTGACTGAAATTCATTTTTTCTCCACTTTTTCTTTCCTATAGATGTCATATACCAAAATTGGTTGAAAATGGTTTAGCTATTTCAAAGAAGCAGAAAACGTTTAAAAGTTTATGGAAGCCTTATGGACAAGAATAAAAAGGAAATATGTCACCTAAGTGACTCAGATGACATGCAAAAAAGTAACAGTGTTTATGCAGATTTTATTAACTTTTTCACACCACATAAAATCATGTGAAATGTGTTTAATTTATAAGACATAAATTTCAAAAGAAAAATAAAACAAGCCAAAATGAACACACAAACTATTTTGGTTTTATTAATACTTATTATTCTTAATTCACTAACAACAAACTGTCCATGTAATACTTTAATCAGTTGGTTTAAAGATGATATTAAACAAAAAACACAAGTTTGAACAACGTAGATCTAAAACAATGACCGACTCATTAAAACTGAATTTCAATTACTTGTATTTGGGAAAGGACAAGGTATGACAATGGCCAAATTTGGCCCTGTATATGATATAAAAATAAAAATAAAAACAGTTAAAATTGTGATTTTTTGCAATTAAAATATTTAAATGATGCTTGTTTTAAAACCAGCACTTATTTTGATTCAATGCATATATGGAAATTCTGGTGGAATTTTGTCCAATTTGAGATAATTTTTACTTCAGGAAACAGAACACAAGCTTGCCTATCTGAAATTTTCACACACAAAATGCATCAGACACTATTGAGTGAAATATATAAATTTGATAGATAGGCAATCTTGTACTCTGTGTTTTCTGAAGCAAAATGTGCATTAATTAAAATTGATGACAATTTTCATAAAAATGAGAAAACTCAGATATGGACACATTTTTGTGACCTTCCTATAACCTCTGTGTATCCTTTCACTTAGATTCAAAACTCATTCTGTAACAGAGATGATGACAGGTTTTTGAAAATAAAACATTGTTTTCAAAGGCACCCAAAACCAGGGGCAAAAAAGGGATCTTATCCTATCTAGTCCTTTGTGGCCATGGTTAGTATTTTGAAAAATTTTAGAGGGGTCAATTACAAGATAAATGGAATTAATGAAAAATGAATCTTTCTTTCTTTGACTCAGTTTGACTAGACTTGGTAAAAAAGTTTTTGATGGGTGTGAGAAATTTGGTGTAAATTCTAGCAATATCAATTTTGTCTCTACTTTACAATGAGTTTGACAATCTATGATCAGGGGTGGATCCAGGAATTGAAGTTGGGGGGGGGGGCAAAAAGTAGGCAGGGGTCTGGGGGCCGCCTTGAGGCTCCCAGTGGGTCCAGGGCAAAGCCCTGGTGGGGGGCCAGGGGGGCGAAGCCCCCGGAAGCTCCTGGATTTTAGAGATTTTGTAAGGTAAAAAAGAGGTCTACCGAGTAGATATTTTTACATTTTCTCGACGAAACTATGATTTACGTTAACTTTGACGGGTGCGCCCCCCCCCCCCCCTTAAATCCGCCACTGATGATTTGATGAATTAAAATATAGGTAATCAGAGATTACAGAGCTCACCTCAACAAATGTTGTCTTTAAGTAAGGCAAAGTCCCACACTAAACTAATAATCTAGGAGTGTGCATCCCTAGATGCAACATTTATGCAATTTTGGTCTGATAGGGCTTGCAGTTACTTGGGAATAGACTTATCTGAAAACTTAAAACTACATGTAGTCACTCATCCAGAAAATTTAAGTCAAATCCAGCATCTGAAGCAAGTTTTGAGATTGTTGGTCCCTTGATGCATCATCCATGCAAGTTTGGTCAATACAGGGTTTATAGTTACTTGGAAATGACATCTGCTCCAAAAACTTTAACCTGGTTACTCATCCAGAAAATATAGGTCAGATCCAGCATCCAAAGCAAGTCCAGTAGTGTACATCCTTAGATGTATCATCCATGCAAGTTTGGTCAATATAGGGTTTATAGATACTTGGAAATGACATCTGCTCCAAAAACTTTAACCTGGTCACTCATCCGGAAAATATAGGTCAGATTCAGCATCCGAAGCAAGTCCAGTAGTGTGCATCCTTAGATGTATCATCCATGCAAGTTTGGTCAATATAGGGCTTTTAGTTACTTGGAAATGAAATCTGCTCCAAAAACTTTAACCTGGTCACTCATCCGGAAAATACAGGTCAGATCCAGCATCCGAAGCAAGTCCAGTAGTGTGCATCCTTAGATGTATCATCCATGCAAGTTTGGTCAATATAGGGCTTATAGTTTCTTGGAAATGAGACCTGCTCCAAAAACTTTAACCTGCTCCAAAAACATTAATCTGGTCATTCTTTAGCTGAAATTGCAGCATCTGAAACCTTGACTGGTACAATGAAACACACTAGAAGCATCCTCCATGCATCTCTGACTAATATAGGCCATAGAAGTACTTGAAAAGAAAACTGTTCCCAAAACCTTAACCTGGGACGCCGACGCCGGGGGTATTACATAAGCTCCCCCAACTTCGTTGAGGTGAGCTAAAAATGTTGATTTTTGATTATCATGACAAATGAGAGGGTTGCCTGAAAAAAAAAATACATACACAAATCATAAACAGCAGCTAGAAAATTAATGTGGTAAACAATTTTTGAGGTTGAGGTAAATTACTCTAAAATTTTGTTAAAGAAACCATGCAGGACTGGCTTGCCCATTTTACAGTTTCAAATATCTCTTTTGGTACTTTTTGGAATTGGAACATTTTAAAAGTATGCTAAATATTTTACTCAAAAATTAAATTATTGAATCTGTTATTTAGCTTGATATTATATGGACAATTATCATAATGGATTTAATATAAATTGACTAAAAATTCTGACAAGAGCTTGGCAATTTTCTACATGCATGGCAAACCAAAATTTACAATAAAACTACACTTGTAAGGAAAAGTAATTGAATTTCGGTATCTTGTGTAATTGAATTTCGGTATCTTGAATATCGATATCTCGAATACCATGGATTTTTTGAAGTGATCGAGTTGGAAGTCCCAATCACTTATTTACCTTCAACATCTCAAATCCTCAGATATTTTGAAGTTTTTTTCTAGGTCCCATTGAATTCAAGATAATGATGTTTGACTGTACTTTCTTTGAGTAAACTTTTTCAACAATTTGTTCAATAACTAATTAAAATATGAGATTATAATATGACCAAGATAAATACAGTTATGAAATACAAAATGGCACTAAAAAATTGAACACTCACCATATACATATATGTACCTGTACATTTAGTATACTTAGTAAATTTTGCATCAACATTTTTGCAAGGAAGTACCAACTTAACTTACAAACAAGTATAAAAATTGATATTACATGGATAAAGGTCTCTGGTAAAATCAAATATTCACACATTCATCTTGAGATAAAATTCAAAACACATCACAATCAAGCTAATGATGCAAACATTTAAAAACACATGATCAATAAATAGTCTTTCATGAAAGAAAAAAAAAAGATCTGTTGCTCAATAATTTAAGGAAATTAGCATACAAAACACTACTTAAATACAATTCAGCCATTCATTTTAAAATGCTTAACCGGTTAATAAGGTGTGTTAATCCTCATCAATTGACTCTAGATAGCTCTTCAAATTCAGTGAATTTTGTCTTGACACTGATAAATTTCTAATGTCTCCTAGTTTGATTGGACATTTGATGTCCTGGTAATGTTTCTGCCGTCTCTGAACACAAAACTTGATTTTTTCTAGAATGAGGTCCCTAAACAACAAGGTGTTGTACTCTGTAAGTTTAGTCAATCTCTCAAAGGATTTTTTGGGATATTTGAAGTTAAATGTGGAGTATGGCTGCTGGGGATCATCAAAAATGTCAAAATCTGCGAATTCCTTCTCCTCATCTGTAGTGCGCTGAACACCTGAAGACAGAAATTTAAACATTAATACGGTACAAGTACTTTTTTTTCTCCACACGGTATTAATTCATGCTATGTATGTGGTCACCAATTTTCATGAAATTTTCCTGAAAATTCGTCCTAGTGTACTTAAAGTACATTTATGGCACATAGTAGCAATCTAAGAAATTCGTGTAATTTTCTCAATCTCCCTTGCAGAGTTGTCGTTCGTTTCTCTCTCAGACACCTCTGCGATGGGCTCACGTCAAGATTTTTGACATAACGTAAAAAACATGAGATTCCAAGGATTATTTCAAATTAAACTAATAGTTCTAGATATACTTAGTAAATATCTACCTTAAAAGAGAAACATCAGCGCAGGCATTTTTAAAATTGTAATGAATTTAAACAAAAGCACTATTTCTCATGCTTATCACTGTGATATACGCGAGCCAATGACAGAGGTGAATGTATGAGCCGATGGTAGAGAGTGTAATTTTCTACCCACTATTAAACTGAAATTGTGTTTCCACAGAATTTTGACCCCCTGGAAAAATGAAGTTCACAGTATTCAGAACATTATTTTGATGATTTCTGACAATATATATGTTTAGCACAGATAATCCCAGATTCTTCAAGTATTAAAAAGATGAGTTTACAGAACACAATGCTTCAACAGTAACAAAGTAAAATTTGACCTTGACATACATATATATGGCATTGACCAATGAAGCTTTAGCCTTAAAGATGACAAATATGAAGTCTTCATTTACTTCAAAGTTATAGCAAGATTAACAATAAGAAATGTACACCCTTCAAGTTTTACTTTTTTTTCTCTCCTTCAAACTACCACCAGCAATATTCAAGACTGCTTGATAAGAAACCTATATGAAAGTAAGATAAAATCTTCAAAGAATTGACGGATGGTCAGGTTTAACAATTATTATTTAATTCATTCTACAGATTGTTAATTACAGATTATATACCAGCTAGTATATACGGTATATAAATAACAAAAAGAACAAATTTGGAATGGGTTCTAGTAACCTCCAGTTTCTGCGTTCAATTTTGTTGATACAAATGCAAGAAATAAACATTATGACAAGATACTGCAGCTAATACTGTGATACTTTTTTTCAAATTTAATTACCTGGCTTAATCTCATCTCTGAATTTGATGTTGGCCAGCACAAAGTGTAGGACCACTGGACACTTGGGATCCTGTGGGTCCTCAAACACATAACATTCCTTACGACCCTCCACATCAACAATTTTGGGATCTATTTTTGGAAACGGCACTTTGTTCAGATTAGCCCACTGCTGAGCTAACATGATTTCCTGAAATTTGTTATAGTCAAAATGTATATATATAATATGTATATATAATGACAAATCAATATCAGACACATGTTCCTGTCAGATGGAATTAATATACCAACAATGTTCAACTACACATGGTCTAATGACAATTGAAAAAAAGGATAAATAAGGTAAAACTGGGGGAATTTTCAAAATTTCACTGTTAAAACAATTCTACATGGCCAGTGAAGTATAGCACTACAAAACTGGTACAGTAAAACTCGTTTAGTACAAACTATTGCAAATTCACGGATATAGCGAAATTTTCTTGGATCCCCAGCTATATAAAGTTATCAAATTCCTTATATGGATATAATGAATTACAGATATAGCGAAGTAATTTTACGGGTCCAGTGACTTCGTTTTAACCGAGTTTTACTCTTTTTAAATACTGGGTATTTGTCACTTTTTGTCTAAATATACAATACATATGGTTTACAATGGTATAATTTATGTGTTAGATCACACATCTCATAAGATACATGTACAAATGTCTGATATGTATAGGCAGATAAATAATTCCACAAATGCCATCTTTAATATAGAGTTGAGCCTTGGCAATTCAGGTGTCAATTATCCAGACAATTCAGCTTCCAGACAAAATTTGTCTGGAACAGAATTTACATTAATATCTACCAATTTTCATTATTCTGAATGCTTTATTAATCCGGACACGTCATTAATCCGGACAATTTTCTTGGCAACACAAGCATCTGGATTAACAAGGCTACACTGTATATATATATAAATACAATTGAACTTTGGTATCTTAAACACCGATATCTCCAATACCATGGATATATTGAAGTGATTTAGAAGTCCCAACCCACTTATTCTTTAGGTATTTTACCCTCAATATCTCAAATCTCCAGATGTCTAAAAGTTTTTTCTGGGTCCCATCAAGTTCAAGGTAATAAGGTTTGACTGTACTCAAGTATAAATGACAGCAACCATCTGCCATATTTTTTATAATGTTAAATTAATAACAGTAGTCCTTATCTATAAAATTAAGTTAATTGAAATATCATGAAACTTAAAATTTATATGTCTAATTAGTTTAATAATGTTACCTTAAATGGCAAAGCTGTGTCACTGGGCCTTGCACTGAAATCAAATGATAGAATCAAGTCCACCTCCCTCTGGGGCCTAAGGACAAGGGAGTAGGGGGAATTGAAGGTAAGACCCCCATCAACAACGTACAGCTTCTTTATTGTTGTGGGATACAACTCAAAGATCTTTGAAAATGGATCTGAAATACAGATTAAGAGAAATAATAAGTAAAAGCCAAGACTGAACAAAAACTTTGTTTCAGAAAAATATATAACACAATATTTTAGTACATTGAACCCTGTTTTTTTGTTTTAGCATAACCCTGAACATGGCTATAAAGTGCATGTATAAATGAGCTTTCATTTCAAGGTTAGTTTTAACATAGTTAAGAGCTAGAATTAAGAAGTTTACTTATGTCTTGTCTACCTAATCTACACACAATGCAAGAAATGAGAAGTAAAGAAAACCAGTGGAGAACACTGTATATATAGACTTACTTGCACCACTGAATGATGCATCAAGCTCATCAAATGAGGGACTGCTGGTGGGCTCAGCAAATGGTGAGAAAGGGTAGCAATTGGACATGGACAACCCCCTCATAAAGCTGTGAACCTTGGCTGCTCGGCCCTCGATGGATTTCAGTACACGGGTGCTCTGGTACAGGTTTTTAAACATGTCCTTCCAGAAGGAGGGTTTACTTGAGGTCTTCTTTTTGCTGATTTTCAAGGCTTTTTTTGGTTTTGTTTTGTGTTTTTTCTGTGATTCTGAATCCTCGCTGTCTGATTCACTTGAGTCGCTGTCTTCATCTGACTGGGTGGACAGATCTTGTAGTAGTTCTTTTTCTAATGTACAAAAAAGAAAAAAAGAAGCTTTTATTTATATTTTCTTTTTACACACAATAAAACATTATTTCTATACAAACATTTTAATTTTTGTTGCAGAAGATAAACCAATTTTCCTTGATTAATAAGAAATGTTGGATCCACCTACCCATTTCCTTCCTCTCCTGCTCTGTGTCCTCTGCTATGTCTTGTTCACACGTGACTTTTTTGTCGTCCCTCAACAACCTGGATATCTGTATACAGAAAGCACTCCCCCACACACCTGTATAGAACAGACAAGAGGGTCGTGCACTTTAATGGTCACCTGAGTATTACCTTCCAACTTATTTAAAAAGAGTTAGTTCCCTTTGTCCTGTTGAGTACCCTTTTTCAGACCTGTTTACCCATATTGTTGTCTTTCAGTATTTTTTTACATTGTATTAGATTTGTCAGTGAGATTTGGCATTTCCCCATAAGATTTCACTTTTCATCTATTGTACATATATTACTAGAGAACAACTTTCTGAATACCAAAAATATACATGGTCTAATAACAAAAGATAGTACCTTGATTTCTTTCGAGGGGTTTCTGTCATTTTTAAACCGCCACGTTTTGGCAACCTGACATCACTCAGTGTTAGAAAATTTTCTCTTTTTTAGCAATTAAAAAGCGTAAAACTGAGACATCATAACGACAACTAGCTGCTAAAATCCAAATGAAAGGATTTTCCAATTTCCGTATTTTCATCATAGCAAAACGTGAGACATATTTTGGACTCAAAATCCATACAAAATACGGCAAAATCGTAAGAGTAAACAGGTCTGCTTTTTGTAAAAATTTCACAGGCTCCCATGTAATGGGTTATGATGAACAAAATTTTAATCTACAAGGCTATAATATGCTTGCCTGTTAAGTTGATATTCTTTGAGAAGATTGCTAAAAATTTTACTCTGTAATGTTACATTAATTTTGAACCCCATCCCTGCCGCACAGACCATGGTTTGATCAATATTAATAAGCACTACACAAGGACGCCTGCATCTAAATTTGACAAAATGTACAAAACTTTGTGGAAGTTTTGGTTGAAAAATGACCCAGTGGTTATAGAGAAAAAGTAAACAATGTGAACATTAGATTATGCATCAAGACAGACACAGATAGCAATAGGTCACCTTGACTTAGATGATCATAAAAGACCAGTCAACATTCTAAACGCTGTCTACATACCGTAAAGATACATAAATTAGCACACTCAAAAATTTAGCACAACCTTCCTCATCAGCTGACTAGCATAATCATAAATTTGTGCATTTGGAACAAAGTTTTTTTATGCGTTTGTTTATTAGTGTGTACTTGAATTAGCTGACAAGAAGCAGTGCAAAAGTTGCTAAAATATGTTTACTGGTACTGCTATAATAAGTACAGTTACCAGAAAGTACACAGTCCTTATGAAATATAAATATACATTATATACAGGATCTCCCATGATTTGTAGTTGGATATGATTTTTATCCAACGAGTTGTGTGTTTTTTTATCCCCGAGCCTTGGCGAGGGGATAAAAACACACAAGTTGGATAAAAGTCATATCCAACTACAAATCATGGGAGATTCTTTTTATCCCATGTTTAATACTTCACAACCAATGTTTTACATTGTTTTATATAGGACTCCACTTTATTTTACTTCATAACTCTAACGCAAAAACCATTGTGACATCACAACTGCACTTAACTGTGGGTTATGAAAAAAATATCCAATGAGTCATATCCACGGGATAAAGGGGTAAACATGGGATAAATACAGTTAAACTTCATTATCTCGAATGCCAATATCTTCAATACTAGGGATATATAATGTCAAAGTAGCTCTGCAGTCTAAACCACTTTTTCTTTGTGTTTTACCCTGGTTATCTTGAATCATTGGATATGTCTCAATTTAATCTTGGTCCTGTTGAGTTAGGGATAATGAGGTTTTACTGTATATGTATTTGCTTCACTAAGAAGACTACTAAGCTTAGTTACCCATGAGGAAATGGAGAGGGGGCTCTTCATACTGTTTGACTAACTGCCCCATGAAGAACTTGCTCCCAAACAGCTGACTTTTCATAAATGTTCCATACTTAGGTAGACCAATTTCATACGGAGTAAATTCCATCCATTCTACAAGACAAAATTAATTCTTTAATAACAAATATCATTTACCTATTAAGTACAATTACTGTAAATTAACTATTACTGGTTATGATATATTATCAATTTAAGCTGTTCTATTTATTGTTAATGAACCAGTATGTTCCTTATGCAGAAGATGAAATTATAATTTCTATTTATAATAATAACTGGAAAGTTTAATACCATGAAAGACTTCAGCAGACACATTCTTTTTAACATGGAGGCAGGTATACAAAGGCAAAGGAACATCAGCTTTCTTCAAGATGTTCTGCTGATCTGTCAACTTGGAATCAAGTCTCTGTCAGATAAAAACCAAAAACTACTGCCAAACTAAACTCTTTATCAGACCCTTCTCACATTAATGCATAAAAATATATATTTCAAGCAAATGAAACCAGTCTTTAATTCTCAAGAAGCAATCCTACACATGCTCTTCATCATATTGATATATGTATATAGTGCAAAATAATATAAACACAATGACCATGACCCTAGAATCTTCTCATTCTGTCACACTTGAAACAAAAAGGGATGGATAGAAGGAGAAATTGACATACAAATATTACTAATGTTATATTCACCCCCCCCCCCTCCTTTCTGCCTTTAAATGTTTGGGGGCATAACATTCTTAGTAGTCATTAAAAGAAATAAAGATTGCCTTCTGACACCCTGCAAGTGTGGTAACCAATACACCACATAAAGAATTAATGATAGACCTATACCTGAAACTGAATGGTTAATTTTTAATACAAAAACTTTGTCAAACCTACAAGTATACTTTTTATTTCTTCATACACTACACCCTATGTTCTCATGTGTCAATGATTAGAAGTAAAATGCATTATAATTATTCTATTCAGTTGTACCAACAGATCCTTCACAGTGTCTGAGGTTATAATTGACACGCTACTTAATAAAATTACATTTAAAAAGAAATTGTAAATGACACATCTTCTTAAATAAGCAAACAAATTTTTTATCATACTATAACAAGAAGACTATCAGTTACACTGCTTTATAAAAATTTCTGCAGATCAAGTATTTCTAAACTATATGCAATATGAAAAAATACTGTTTTTTTTTTTTTATTTAGGTGCAACAACAGATGTTAAAGTATCAAGTTGCATTAATCAATCAACATTTTACAACTTTTAAAATACTGCATGATTGTCAGTGAATAACTAACTAAGAGATACATTTAATTCTATAATAGAGATTCTAAAATAACCAAAAAATGAATCTAGCTTATAAATACTTTAAAGTGCTCCATTATGAAAGGTGATCCAGAATCAAGGAAGAGTTGAAATAAGACTAGGGACAGGTAACAGTTTTCTAACACTTAAAGATAAATGCAACCATTACAACTAACAAGTGTGTGCAAAACCTTACGTTTTTGAGGATTGTGTCTCCTACTAAGCAGCCAAAGAAGTCTGTGAAACTGACCGGTTGACCCTGTCTTCGTTTCTGTACAATCCTGGAGACGTAGGTATACAGACTCTGTGGTTTTAGAAGCCAGAAAGGACTGTGTTCAATGTTCCTCCCTAGTTCTTCCTGAAGTTCCCCCGGGGTTTTCTTTGGCCAGTCTGGATGAGAGTATAATTGGGACAGATACCTGGAAAAAAACACCTTAAAGTAAGTACTTCACACATATGAACTGAGGCTTATCAATCTGGTACAAAGTACTATTATCCCCCCCCCCCCCCCCCAAAAAAAAGAATTGTCACACTTAATGAATTAAAAATTTGTTATATAGCGTGAATTAAAGTGCTTAGCTATTTTTGTAATTCCCTGTATATTACCATGCTGATCCTGAGAGTCCTCCTGCGTAAGTACACATGTCTAGTATGTGACTGTCCACCAGAGCCGTAAATACCCCACTGTAGGCCGTCATGGCTCGGAATCCCCCACCAGACCCTATCACACCTATATTAGGAACCTACAATTAGAGTATCAGGGGAATGGGTCATATATTCTGTCAAAAGTTTACTGTGCTCTGTTCATATGTTCAGTAGATTACATCTCCATATATCCATCCTTCTTTTAATACACCAGCTCTAAGATACACATGAGGTTGAGGAGACAAAAAGCCAAAAATAAGTTTTCCTTTCAGCAGTAGTTTTTAATATTGGGAAATGAAATGATGGCAGAATCAGGTGGTAACAGTGAAGTATTAAATACAGAGTGAATTTGCTGTTCCACCTTTCCTCAAATGTTTTTTCACAATTTTTTTTTCTGCTTTTCTGCAATTTTTTAAAAGTAACTTTTCAGTTAGCCAAGTAATATCTGTTGCACCCTGTTTACCACAGGGTGGTGAGACAGCTAGGATTTAACCTGGAAAAGTCTTCAAAATGTAAAAGGTCATTAAATCAATACAACAAGCACTTGGTAAAAACACCGAAAACATCACTAAACATGCAGCCTGTCTAAAAATGAAAAGCAGTCTTGTTTGATCTTAAATACATGTATTTACATGTTGGTGCAACTGCTGCTGCAAGGACATATCCAATTGATTTTATAAATTGACAACTGTCTTTCTGATGGAAACATGTGACAACTGTCTCTGTTGGAATGTAACCCCATGTGAATAAATTTGCAGAAAAGCAATATATCAAGTACTTGTGGAAAAGCATACTAGAGGTTTTGAAAAAATTGTGTAAGAGCAGGATCGCTAGTGAATCACTTAATTCAAAACCTGCTAAATATCAAATATAAAACAAGACCAAAATTATAATAGTGCTTCATTTTGTGGGTTGATTTTTATTTTTGCTAAATACTTTGGAATCATCATTTTTCGTGGGGGACCAATGTTTGTGGATCCCCCTTACCTAAGAATTTATATTCCCATGAATGTTTATTTTGTAAATCATATTGATTCATTGAATCTACAGTATAAATGAATAACCAAAGAAATTACGTCCCCACGAACATGTAAAATTTTGCTTGCCCACAAACACTGACCCCCCCCCCCCCCCCCCCCCCCGAATTAATGATTCCATAGTATAGATGATTGCCACTGTCTCTTACATCTCTTTCTTTTGTTGGTGCATCATCACCTAAGATTTTCTTCATAGCTTCAAAAACTTTCTTTCTTCTCCTTTCTACAAATGCTCTCTCTTCACTGCAGAGTGTTAAACTAAACCTAAGTTGGGGCTCACATCTAATGGAAAAAAAGTATTTGTCAGCAAGTGAATGTTATTTATATATAAGTACATTCATAGCAATCAATAGATTCACAATGAAGACTTTGAAATAAAAGATGTTCATTCATAAATCCTTATTTTTTTTTTTCAAAGGTACAATTTTAAATTAGTAAATTTATCTCATGAAAATAATTGATTGAAATATGGGATATAAATCTCTTGCTTGTTTAACAGGGCATGCAGTCTAAGCCACTAAATAGTTGAATTCAATCAGATTTAGATACTGTCAAATTGACAAGATAATTAGCAGATATAAATTTAAATCTCTATCTGAAGGAGAGAAAAAATGTAGGGGTCATGAAAAGATTAATTAGTTTGCTGCAATACAAAGAGGTCTTAGGTTTGTATAGCCTATATGTTATATTTGCTTATTAAGAATGACAGAGATTTTTTATTGACAGTTTCCCTTCTTAGTTTGTAAAGAACTAAGCATGCATGACTGGTTTTGGTTCTAATAATTTAATGCAACATCGGGAATAGAAAATCAGAAGTTCTCTCAAAAGAATATTTTTACTCATTTGACTGGAACACCACAAATTTAACAGATAAAGTTTTTAAAATTGATGGTAAAAAGACATTTTATAGTAATTTTCCAACTAGAAAATAAAAATTGCATGTCTCAAAACCAAAAAAAAAATTCAAACATAATAAACACCAGGACATACTAATGCTCACTAAATAAGCACATTTATTATATACCCAACTGTTTGTCACTCAGTTTTACTGTTGAATTTATGCAATCACGTGACGGTGTGATCCGACGTTCCGGATCACCACACTGTGGTTTTCTGAATCCGTATCACCCCTCTCTGAAACTGATGACGTAGTACACAGATAAATGACGTTTTTATTCTCGCGCATCAAAAAGTTCCTTGACAAAATGGTTTGTTTATAATGTTTAAAAGTTATGCAATTGATCCAAAAAGTTTTCTTTTATTATATTTTGCTAGTTGTAAAGGGGGTATATAATAAATTTATCATTATAACAGTAACTTGATCCGAAGAGCCGTATCACGTCTCGTTGACAGGCGCGGATCATCAGATCAAACTCGACGCTTCGCGTCTCGTTTGATCTGATGATCCGCGCCTGTCAACTTGACGTGATACGACTCTTCGGATCAAGTTACTGTTATAATAATATATATGTATCTCGTGAGGCTAAAGATGGCCATGGTGTCTGTATTAAAACAGACATGTATATTTTCAAAAACAAAGGAAATTTTTATTGACTTAGTGCTTGGTTTTCAAGTGACTGAACACTTCGACAAGTTTTAAATTGATAAATGCATCCCTAGTTTTAGGTCCCAATGCTTCCTTATCATTCCATTTTCTTTATAAATCTTGCATGTATACTCAAAAGTCAGACAAAATATTTATTTTACATTTTTTTAAAAAAGAATTTAGCCATGGAATACTATTAGTTATCAAGGTTCAATCAAGGATGTATGGGAATTTACCCCGAGTTTTATTCCATACACTCTGAGGCCATAGGCGTAAATCCCCATACACCCTTAACTGGACTTGGATAACAAATTTATTTCGTATGTAACCAAATAAATTCTTTCTAAGCCCAAGTCCGGTCACTGGTGTTTCAAACAAGATTTACTATGTGCTACAAGAGCTTAAGATATATGAGACAATGTATGCAAACAAGGCATGCTTAAATTTTTGAAGACTAATATCCTGAAAAATTAGTATTAATGATTTTCACTGCATCTTTACAAAATAACAATAGGGTATGTTATACATGTTATCTAGATATTAAATCAACTGATCTTAAATGACTCATATGCAAAATATAACTGTGCAATGTTTTAACACTGCAAAATCAAATGAAGTTTGAATTACAGACATCATAATCCTAATATCAACCTCAGACTTTGTTTGCCTATATATGTATGAATATTTGAATTAGGCTTAAAAAATAAACGTTGTGCAATCAAAAGCAAATACTAAGTATAATTTCTTCTAGTGCCTGATTTATATGTACATTTCAATGAAAAGAACATTATAACAATATACCTACCCATGGTGTGCCCACATTTCAATTATAACTTCTGAGGTCTAAAAAAAAAAAAAACCCAAAGTATATATAATGTTGAAATCACTTCATTTTACAATTATGAATTTACATGTATATCAATTTATCTGTTCATTATATTGACCTCACCTCGTTAAACTTAAGAGTGTGTGTTTCTTTAGAATATGGAAGAGCATCTAGTGTGATCTTTTGGGGCTGTCCTAGCATTTCATCATAGGTGTAATTAGCATCCATTAACGTTACCTCTACAAAAAGGAACAAAAAATCCAGAAAACTAAACAATGTAAGCACCCAAAAATTGCTTCAAATTAGAATAAAACACAATGGAAAATCATATGACTTAATATAGAAATGGCTTGACCATAACATAAAGTTGACAAAATAGGGAATCCTTTGTTTATCATTTGAAAATTCACTCTAGATCGAAAATTTAATTAACAACTCATAATTTACATAAATGTCAAAGATATGACCTTCAGACAGTCTTAAATTGTATAATTATTTCAGAATCAAACAACTCTAACTTGGACAAACAGAAGCAGGGCTGTTTTATTTTTCATTAGCTCTAATAGCAATATACAGTCAAACCTCGTTATCTTGAACTCGATGGGAACGAGAAAGAACTTCGAGATATCTGAGGATTCAAGAAATTGAGGGTAAAATACTTAAAGAATAAGTAGTTGGGACTTCCAAATCACTTAGACATATTCATGGTATTCGAGATATCAGTTTTCGAGATATCGAAGTTCCACTGTATGTGTGAAAAGAAAAATATTACGACATCAAGTGCTAAAAGTATTTATTATCTGCAGCCAGATCTTCTTTCCTGTTTCAAATGTACCACTTATAATTATGAATTCACTGTGCTGTGCAATTCTTAAGTAAACAAAAGTCATCTACAAATTATCACTTAAAAGCTAATCTACATCTTTATGAAGTCATTTGATTCCCAATATCTGACCACATTTCTTCATTATCTTTTGACAACAATCCCATATATAAGAGATTTAGGAGAGCGTAATCACCTCTCCACAGTCAATATTGCTTTTTCCCAACCAGGAAGCTTATATAAAGTAAGGAAAAACAACTTCACATTAGGTTCCTGATCTCTTTTTAAAATAAACCTTACCCTATTTGTAAATTATGTGCATTTTGGAACATTTTGAGAAGAATTAAAAGATCTCATTATACAACCAAGCATGCTGTATCTAGTGAAGAATAGAAGAGAGTTCTGTTAAGACGTATAAGCTGCCTTTTCCACAAATCTCTGGGGACTGATTGAAATCTGTCACACACATCAACAATTGAAGCAATTTACTAAGACCTGAAAAAATGAGGGTTTAATTGCTTTTCTAAAGTCTAAAAAATCATATTCATCTTTTTTTGGAAAAATACTTTAGAGACCTTTAATTTATAGTTCAACTTGCAAAAATAACTTGATATTTGAAGATTTTGTCCTCAATTTATATCATTTGTGAAACTTTGCATCCCTTTAGTTAGACTAAGCCTTCCTTAATTGGCCTGGGGTCATTATATGAACAACACCAGTAATTTTAGTTCAGTAGGATGCTTGTAAGTTTTAAATACCACTTCAGAATCAAAGGTTAAATTAATGAAGAGGGAAAACCCTCTTAAATCCCCCATCCCTTTACTTTCCACCTTAAAGACTGTGGTATTTTAACAAACTTATACCAAAGAATACTTTTTTCTGAAAGTGCAAACGGTTAGAATAAAGGAGTGAACGTGAGATACTAGAGACAGATGAGTTGGCTACATACTTAGATCATAAAAACTCACTCAAGGCTTAAGGTGGCATTACCCAAGAGACTCAAGGACGTCTTAAATGAACTTTTAGGTCCTGCTTTCAAGGCTTTACTATTCAGTATATTATTGGGATCAAATACTCAATAGCTCATGTACAAGTACCATACACATACTGGATTTCTTACCGACTTCTGTGGGTATTTTAGGGTTGAGGTAAAACTTAAATGTTTCGTTCCACTCCGGGTTTGTGTTGTTGTCTATTGTACACGTTCTTTGGTAACAGTTTGGGGCACCTTGCACCATGAGCACCACATAAGGATCAGGGGTATCCACTGAAATATACACAAAGGAGTTTGATTCCATCTTCTAATGTGAAAGCTATAATCTTTTACTTCCAAAATAAGCCCTGTTTATATCTAAAAGATAACATTACTCTGGGGTTTTTGGATTTTTTTCTATTAAATCTTAAAAATTTTATTCCAAGACCACTATTCAATATTATATGACATTTTTTATGTGGTGCTTTTTTTTTTTCAAGTGAAGGACTGGAGGCAAATGAAACTTGTTAACTTATTAGAGTTGCCAATACTCACTTTTATAATGTTTATGCAAAGAAAAAAAGTAAAAACTGTCAATTTCAACTGAAATTAATTAATTTAAATGGTTTCAAAATGTATCGTTAATTTTGTATTAAAAAAGTATGTTTTCATTTGGTTCTTATTAGGTAGGCAATGATATAGGTATAGTTTAAATTGTATTCTGTATACACTCTAATTACATTACAATTGTTACTCTGGCAGAAGTGTACAGAATGACATTTGCTCTTTCAAATTGCATGGACTAGAATTCTGGGAAGTAATTTTTGTTCCTTTATAGAGGGATCATGTTTCAAAACACATAATAATAAGTGAATAAATAAAGTAATAAATACTTCCATTATATAAACATAAATCATGATAATAGATTTTTCTGATGTCAATTCTTATGAAAATATAATCACACCACTTTGTAAAATTCCAGAAATAAATATGAATGATTCGTTTGAGTATGGGAATAGATACATATAAATAAGCCAATCCTGGTATGAGTAATCAAATGTCAGTCCATTCACTAAGGGACTTTAATTTAACTTCTCTATTCATGTGATAGTATTTCGCAATAAGTACTTGGATTGACTTACACATGTCCTGATAGTAGCCCTTTGTAATATTATTTCCACATAGTACACGGACATATAGTACGGCACATGGATCATGAGTCACCTAAAAAAATAAAACAAATGTCCTAGAAAAAAATCTCAGCAATTACTAGACACATGCATGTAATTGCATGTCTACTAAAAAGAAATCCATTAAATACAATATAGTCTAAAGAATTCATGATGAAATGAAAAAATAATCAAAATGGGTATTTGCTACAGAAATAAAATTTATGCAAAAGCCGTAGACTATTTTTTGAGAAAAAGCAACTGGGGAAGACATGCTGTGGCCTGAAAAAAATTCTTTTTAAAACATGAAGGAAAATCCTTTTAGTTGCTATTCAAAGTATGTTTGTCAAAGAAAGAATTATTAGCTAGAGGAGTTGCTTGTATTTGCAAATATTTTCTATTATGCAACTCTATTTGAACAAAATGTATTTATTACTAGATAAATGCGGTTTGTGACATGACCAAAAATTCATTCTGAGGTCATTAAGTGGTTAACACCAATTCAAAGTAGCATCTTATATGAATGATAAGTTTGACAATTTTTTCTTATATCATTGAGTTTAAAAAAAAATAAAACACCATATGAGCTTATAATAATAACTGACAAATATTTGTTACAAGTAAGTTGCAAACATAAATAGAAGTAATAAAGTTATCATTTATTAAAACATTTACCAGGATATAGATATGGGTTCATGATCAAATCTGCATTTGGTCACATGATCAACACTGTGTACTGATACATGGTTAAAAATGATACTTTATTTCCTAAAGATGTAGGAAAGAAGTTATTACAAGGAAGAACTAAACAGTAAAACTCAAATGCAGTGCTCACCTCAAATATCTGGAATGGGTCAAATCTGGAATAAAAAGACACATCATCATTGATAGACATAAAAAAAATACGGTGCACAAACCAAGAAATGAAAATATTCTTCTTTAATGTCTAATAGTCTGACACTGTTTTCAAAACTACATGTGCATGTGATGTGTATTCTGTCTAGACCTGCATGTGTCAAAGAAAACAAATATAGAAACAGTTCCAGTGGGGAAAGTTTGAGCCAAGATAAAACATTATCATAGTCATGATGTTATTGTAAACAAACATAATTTATGAGAAAATCGGTAATAAGATTTAGCAAATTATCATGATTAATGGATAGAGATCACTTTTGCTTCAAAACAATGAAAGAATTCTACAAAATAACAAAAATATGTTTTGAATATAGTGAGTTTATTCATTCATGAGGCAGTGAGTTCCATGGAATGGCTTTTAAAGAAAGATATCATGTATATGTAAAGATGACAACTTGTAACTTAAGATACATGTATTACCTAATTTTTGTGCAATTTACATTTTAATGAAACACTAACAAAGAATCTATTTTAACTACCATTTTAAACATATATTTATTATGAAGACCAAACAGGAAGAATTTGAATCCTATTTTAATTAGCAACTAATTTTTGGAGCAAAGAAAAACTAACTATATTATATGTATAGAGACTTCTTCATACAGCTAAGCTGATGTGGCTTATATTACCTCTGTCCTACTTTACATCTCTAATGTATAAGATTTCCCACATGCTCCCTTTAAATTTCCAGGAAGTTTAAAGTAATTAACCAACATGCACTACCAGTAGTTAGTAAAAGAGACTTTTTTTTTAAATTATAGTTCCTTCTTGCATAAAATTTGATATATGCATTACTTACGTATTGTTGTTCATCTTGAGGTTAGAGGACATGAGCTTCAAAGAAGACTCTTTTTATCTACAATGTCATAAAATCCTTGAATTAAACTATGTAACTCACTTACACTGACCATTTCAGTATTTATTGTTATATAGTTAAAATGTCCTACACTGTAAGGAAATGTTTACACAGCAACAAATTACCAACAAACTTCATTGGCTATATGATCTTATCTGAATTTAAGTAATAAATATTTTTGTCTGTGTTTAAATGAGGTGCCATTTCATTCATGATATCTTGTAGAATCATTTCTGCCAGAGTAGGCTTGAACAATGGACAGATATAAGATTTTTTTTTCTCTTTGATAGTAAGTTTTTTTTTTCTTGGTGAACATGAAGTTAAATTTTCACAAATTGACTTGAAAAATTCCTTTGACAAAAACCCTCAGCAATTACATTAAGCTACTCTCAAAATTTAACACCTATTTTAATTCTACTGCTTATGGAAAAAGATTTTTAAATTTTGAATGCATTTCTGTTTATCTTACCTGTCTGAAAATTGTTCCAATGTCTTCAAAAGAGTACAGTTGTCTATGCTGGAGTTCCCAGTCTCATACAAAATTGTTCCAGTGCCTTCAAAGGAGTATATAGTGATCACTCTTTGCTAGAATTCCCAGTCTAATATAAAATCTTTAATTGATTTGTTCGGCTTTGTTGAAAGAGCTATACAAGGAGATTGTTGTAACACATTCAATGACATTCACGATTTCTCCCCTGTATATGTAATATACGTATACTCCCACAAAGTTAAAAGTATTCCCTCAGGATAGATTTTGGAATTTCCAGCAAATATCCTATATAATATGACATCTGTATAAATTCACTGTAGCAACAAACACACTACGTATGCAGTAAACAGACCTACTTAACAAGGACAATCAATTATTAACAAGACAGAGTTAATTACTAGTAGTCCTTTGTTAAAGAAGCTTTAATATCAACTTTTTCTTGGAATTCCTTCAAGCATCAAATGTCTCTTGTATGAATTAAGCAGTCAAATTAACACACACAAAAAAGCTACCCTATCTGCAGTGCTGTATGTATACATATGGAAAAGATACATTTATATATACATTGCTAGATATGGTTCAGAGAACATTTTAAAAAAGATGAAATTTTCTAATTCAAAGAAAAAGGATGGAATTATATAAATGTATATATATTCGTGTTTAGGGGGAAACAGTACCTAACCCATTTACTGACATTTTAAGCTGAATTTCCAGCTTAAATACATAATTATGTTAAATAAAACTAAAACTTACTATTATTAGAATAAGTAGAATAAAATGATGATCAGATGGTAAATATGATCCACCAAATAAGAAATAAAAATCATGCCTGTGTCAATTACAGCCTAGTTAAACTGATGAATAAGGAAAGCATTCGATGAATGCCCCCCATCTTTTTATAAACAGGAAGGAGCACTTTCAGTGTCTATAGTATCCAATCTATATAAAGCACGAGAGATGTCAAGTAAATCATGTCATCATAAAATTCACAAATTTTACTGAATGGATCAGTTTTTTTAAAGACATAAAAACTGCATTACTATTAAGCACATGGATGCATGCACAGTTAATTTTCCATGATGTGCATGAATCCTTCAGGGAAAGGATGTTAAAACATACCGTATATAAATTTAAAGATGACTGGACTGCTTTTCAGCACATGAATCTGATAAGATAAATAAATTATCTTTCAGGGTTGGGTGGAGAATTGAAATTCAAATGACACAGTCATCATTAAGAATTGATGGGTTGAATGATAGATATTCCAAAAGCATTCAGAGTATTTAATAAGGAAAAACCTGAACAAACTTGAATGTTTCATTTGGTCCAATGGATTCTTTAAAATATATATGGACTGAAAGTCATGCAATATGCCATTTTTATGGTGAAAGAAAATAGTCCAAGGATTGGTATAAGGAACTTTTTCTGTTTTAATGCAAATTGATTTCACTCGTGACGTTCACAGATGCTTGATTTAAAAGTTAGTTGACTCTGTCCAATCAATAAACATATGCTATAACAGTAAGTTTTAAAAATAAATCTTTAAAGAAATCTTAATACCCAGAACTCTGAAGAATTTCTGGAGAGGAAACAACTAAGGAGAGTAAATAAGAATCTTCAATATGTCTGTTTAAATCAGGTGGGAGATTGATCAGGACCAGTTTTTTTTACCTGAAGCAAGAGTACAACTTCAGTGAAGGAGGAGTCTGAAGGAGTCTAACTTGACTTCCCCAAAAGTCTATCCTATTTACCAGATAATCTTGGGCAGTCACTGAGCCTTATTTAGTATTAACCCTTCCATCTCAATCAAGCATAAAGAGCACAACTTCAGTGAAGAAGGAGTCCCAACTTGACTTCCCCAAAAGTCAGTCTTAGATGTATTTATATGAGATTAATGTTGGGCAGTCACAACCTCATTTGTATTAAACCTTCTATTTCATGAGCATTTTAGCCTGAAGTGGACAAATAAAAGCTGAATTAACAGAGTTCATCAATCTGCCCTTCTCCTGTTGAGATGAATATCATATTTAGATCACTGAGGAAATATGGTTATAAAAGATTGAATGGCCACAATCAGGTATACTCCATACCCTCTGGACAATATTTATATACAGGGCCCACATTTATATACATTATTAATTTTACTTTACAATATGGGGTGGTCAGTGTTAACATTACGCTTTATTGGAATATTTAACCTCCACTTCTGAGGATTCAAGGGTATCCCAGAAAGGACTCTCAACCACAAGTAAATATACTTATCTTATTTATTTAAAGTATAAATGATACTACTGGTAACATATATTAAAGAACATTTTTATTGCAGATTAAATAACATAAAAACATTTTTGTAACAAATTTATGATTTTCTAGATAAAAAATCATAAGCTGCTCTGTACACTAAAATGGTTCTTTGAAGAAATAATTCTTTACTCGTTGGTGATTGTTTAAAATCCTTGACTTAGGGATACAAAATTCATTAAAAGAATTCAAAAGTACACCTGAAAAGCTTTCAAAGATGTCCAGTCAATTCTTACCTCAACTATTGGTCAGGCGATATATACTTATTCAAAGAAAAATTTAAATGTTTCTTTCAAACATATGCTTACAATGACTATTTATTTAGTTTTTAATCTACAGTAACAATAGCAGCTAGGTTATAACGTGTTTTGGATAATCCAATTGACTATTAGTCCACACCTGGATTCTGGCGATCTCTAATTCAATTACAAAACTGATTTGCAAAAACCCAACTCTCCAGGTACTTGAACACAAATTTCTACCATTAAACCGATGTAAGGTAGGAATTTACATCTACTTTATATTCTTATAGTCATTCAGATATGATCTCAATATTTCAATGTGCAAAAGATCTGTATCTTTTTATAGCTACAATAATCATTTAACAGAGATTAAATATTTAAATATTAATCTAATTTGCATCGTATTTTATCTAGTATAAATGGAATTGGGTGCATGTATACCAGTAACTTTAAGTAACCTGCTTAAGCCCATGCATCTAGACAAATTATTCATTTTAATTTAAAATTAATTAAAAATGCTTTGCTTTTTTATGCATTCACCTTTCTTGCAACATCATTAATTAATACTAAAGATCCATGTAAATAATATATTGATTTTGAATGAACTGGAAATATTTTGCACTTAAAGGAATGATTATATTGACAACTTTTTGGAAATTTAATGGGAAAAAATTTAAATTCACATTTCTCTATAAATAAAAAAGTTTTCAAAGTATACCCTACACATTTACCAATGTAACACATGTTAATAATTTCACTATAATTATTAGGTTTTAAGAACATTAAATTCCAATACAGGAATGACAACTCATTAGCAATACTGTCTGCAGTAAACTGATGAAGAGTTATTACCCTTTAATATTTCAAACTAATGAAAAAAAAAAAATGATGGTGCAGGGTAAAAAAAAAATTGTGATTACATACGAATTCCTAGACAAAAACCAACCTTCAGCAATAACAGATATGAAACAAGACCTAGCAGGAGTCTACAATTATTTCCAATGTCTCTACAATTAATTCCAATGTCTATTTCTTCTAATATCTGGTCAATCTCCAGCAATACAAACCGACAAGTCTTAATGAAAGGAGGCAACAAAAAGAAGAATTTTAATTACTGCTGCAATATTCTTGGGAAGAGTAGATAAGAATGCTGATATTTTGTTTTCAAGATTAAATGCTAAACTTCCCTCAGGGTCATTTACCCAAATACAGAAGACACTTAATCATTTCTCGCTTTTCTCCTACAGATTTTTTCTTGTTTTTTGGGTTTTTTTTCGTTTGTTTGTTTGGTTGGTTGGTTGTTTTTTACTGGCTTTATATCTGAAGATACAACAATCTGTTTGTATATACAAAAAAAAAAAAAACAAAACAAAACACAATAGCAATAATACATAAATTGGCTTAGCTGTCAACTTTGGGTATATTCTATAGAATTAAAATCTCATTGAGCTTAATTAACACACCCTTGTTACAACTAAACCCTCAAAGGCATTTTAGAATGTAACTGTAAAGTGGATTGTTATATAAGGAATCTTTAATTGTGATGGATTTCAAAAGTACCTATTTATCAATGAGAATTACAATTGAATGTTTTAAAAAATGTGCTCAATAAACATTTTTAAGTTTCTTTGTACCTGGATAAAAAACCTGCATTCATTAAACCCCGAGGAAGCCTCCAGCTACCACCATACTGATCCTCTTTCCTTCTGATATCAAAATAAAGGGTACATGAGCTAGGATTTGAAATTCCAGGTAAGCTTGTACAAGAAAATTAATTCTTTTAAACTAAATAAATGTAATAAAATCAAGTTTAAATTTTTCTTGGTTGCATTCAAATCATCACGTATGCAACCTTGAAAACTGATTTTTTTTTTAGGGCTTATCGAATGTTTCCTTTATTTCGTAACACTGAATTTCACCTATGTTGGGTTTTTAAGAAAGAAAGAAAATCGGGGTGCAATAAATTATAAAGAAAGATTTTTATTTAAACAATAGGCCCCAGAGCCTCGAAGGTCATCTGAATATCATGGTGTTTTTTTTTTCCAAGATGTCCAGCTTTGTCTCCTCTGGGATGAAATGCTTATCTCAGGTGACACGAATTTTTACATTTGGTGAGAACACTGTGTCCTTTGTCATTCTGCATGAAGCTTTTCTCCTAATGCTCAGCAGTAAATATATTTTTAAAGATATAATGAATTTTAGATAATTAAGATATGATCAACTTAGACCTACCCTGGGATCTGAGACCTGGGGTCAAAAATTCTATAACTGGGGTGTTAAAGGCTTAATTACCACTTATTGTCACCATGCATACTGTTTGCTTGTGAAAGGAATAAGGAAGATTTTATAATAAATTTTCAATATACAACTTTTTAATATAGCCCCACATTGAAGCTAGAATTGAGGGGACATGAATTGGGTCTATAGTGGCTAACTGCTCATTATTATCAAGTAAGCAGTTTTATGTTATGTGTCAATGAGTAGTAGATTTTCAAATATGTATGCATGTTCACTATACGGCCAATTTAGTGCTAGCCTGGTGCCAAAACCATCTGTCCAGGACTTACCAATTTCACTATTTTGATAGAGGACTACCTTCTTATGACTGAATTTGGTGACCTATTAATGAATTCGATCTAAGATTTACCCTTTACTTCATCAAAAAGTACCCTCTTTCATGAATAAAAAAAAAAAACCAATGGGATTGAAATATCACTTTAATATGCCATATTCTAATAATCTAATAAGAGCTAATAGGACCTACCCTTTTCTATCATTTAAATGCAGCATCATTCTCTTTTTTTCTCAAGAAGTCAATTTTAACATTGACAACATATCAGTTGACACAAAGAATGTCACCCATGACCAATTCAAGAAACCAAACATCATGCAACAGATGCTTTAATATATTTAATATATTTCTCATGTTTCCTCAGGGATTGTTCACAGCTAGACTGTTTTCCATACTGGGTGTAGCTAGCGTACATGCCACAGCTAGACTGTTTTCCGTACTGGGTGTAGCTAGCGTACGTCAGACACCCCTATTATTAACCTCCCTTTGAATCATCTAACAATTATAACCTCCTAAGAATGTGAAATAATCTGTCAAATACCAATCATAACCTAAGAGGGGAAGTGACAAATGAAGATAAGAAATACACAACAAATAGATTTGAAGATTTCCCATTTTTAAACATTATGCATTCAACAAACAACAATAATCTCCTTTTACAAACAAAAAAGTTGACTAAGTATCTCCAAATTAACAATAAAGCTACTTCTGTAGAGTGTTAAATGACAGAACTGTACATAATTCCGAGTATAACCACCTATACATGTTATTTTGTTCTGATTACACAAATCAGGAACAGTACTGACGACAACAATGCAACACTATATTCCGGCTGATCAGTCAAATTTGCATGATTGTTACTAAAAGAGGAAATTTTACAAATGTTAATAGCATTGACACAATTATTTTTGGACAAACCAGGAACTCTACATGCTTGAAAACTGCAACTCTTTTTGATTGTTATGCAAATTAACTAATCGACCAAGTCTGGCTGTCTGTAAGAGGAAGAAATTTAGGTTAATTCACACCAAGTCTAACAGATTAAATTCTTCACATATAACAAGAATTACACTTTAATTTTTGGATAAACATATCAAAATTGTATCTATAGCAAGCATACCTTGGTTACTAACACAAGTTGGCAACATAATAACTTCATTTTACAGTACCCTTATCAGGGCATTCCCTGACCACAGTCAATACATGGTTCCTATATTATCAAAATGGGCCAGTAATTAAGTCAGTAAAGTTGTGATGTACACTGGACTACAGACGAGTGTCTCTATACTTTAGCTTAATTGTGGGCCACTATATGATAAAATGTGTTGACTAAGTCAAGAACCATTAGGTCAAGGGGATGGACAGTCCGACCCACTCAAAAGCTTAATAATAGGAAGTCCAGTGTTTGCTTATGCAATAAATACTCAAAATCTGAGATAATATATAAAGAATTAAAAGACATTCTTGTAGTATTTTGGTAGTGCACAAGGACTAATCTCTTAAGAACAGTTGAAATTCTTCATTCATAATTCATCAGAATGAATGTACCACTTTCCTGTTGGTGAACAGTGAGTTTCTGATATCTTAAAAATTACAATATCCTGCATGAAATTTGATTTTTTTTTTAATTCTAAGTTTCAATTTTTAGGTACCGTTGTGTTTTTTTTATTCAGGGTATAAAGTTCTCTTTTCCAAATGTATACATGCAGTCATACAAAACCTTGATTTTTCTTAATCTGTAGTTTTATAAAATCTGCATTCTATTTCCATCACATTCAACTCAGTGTCATCTCTCTCCATCTCTTTTTACAATAATGACTTATGTGGAAGATTAAAACAAATTCCTGTCTTCTTTTCAGTATGCTCTCATTTACAAATTTAAGCTTAGAAATACAAGCAAAAAATGGATTGAAATACAATGTACGAGAACAAAGGGGAAATAACTTAGGTTTGAGGGCTTACTTGCATAGCATTTTTCAAGGTCTGCAAGTATTTCACAATTAAAACCAAGGAATAAAGGAGTCTGATGTAATACAGCTCAATCAACCATTTTCCACAACTGTTTTCATCTAAAAAATAAAGTAAGGAAAAACAAATTAATCCAGGAAATTTGTGTCCTCTGCTTAAGCTAAAAAGAAGAGCAAGGAAGACCTGAAAATGCAGATGGAGAAAGAAAAAAAGATTGACCTTGACCTTTTTTGGTCTTAAAGCCAAGAGGGGTCTTTCTTGGGTTAAAGAAATTTATTACCTTAAATTTCATGGCAAAAACTTACAGAAAACTGAATTTATCATCTGAAAATACATGTAATAATTGTATGAATTTCTGACCGTGGCCTTTGACCTTTTGAGCTCAAAATGAAATTATAAGGTGTTTTCTTTAACTTTAATTGACAGGAAATCATTTTTATAAGACATGAATTTTTACCTTGACCATTTGACCTCAAAATCAATAGAGGTCTTTTTTTAAGTCATTGGGAGTAATGATATAAAATGTGATTGAAAATTAAAGCTCAAAGAAAACAAGCTATTGATAATATCAGTAATCTCAGAGCTGGTCTTTAAGTCACAAATAGCTATGATATAAAATTTCATTGAAAAGGTTCAAAGAGAACTGAAGTTATCATCTAAAAATCTTTTTTTTTTTACTATGAATGAATTTTTGACCTTGACCTTTGACCTCAAAATTTATAGAGGTCAACTTAATGTCACTGGGAGCTCTAATATAAACGTTCATTGTAAAAGTTCCAAAGGAACTAAAGTTATCATCTGGAAACCATTTCTTGCTATATATGAATTTCTGACTTGAACTTTCAACATTTTTACCTCAAAGTTAATAGGGGTCTTCTCTAGGCCATAGGGTGTTGAGATATAAAATATCATTGAAAAAAATCAAAAGATTGTTGAAATATTTTCCTGCAATAAAAGTCTCATAGACAGACAGAATGACAGACAGCTAGAAAGTGCCTAAAGAATTTTTTTATGTAATACAACTACTATTCTATAATACTATTTTCATCTATAAATAAAGCAGTACTAGTACCAAAAAAATGCCATTCAATGCATGCAAATCATGTTTCCTTATTTTCTGAGGTTTATTGTAAAATGAAGTAATGACATGTTTGGCATCACCACAGTAGGTAAATTTTTGTCATCTTCTACTAAATTAATGGTTCATGTTAACTCATGCATCTTTTCCATGCATGCATGAGCAAAATACAGTATAAACCATATTCTTCTATAATCACCATTCAGCAAAAAAAAAAAAAAAAAAAAAATTCTAAAGAATGTTTTAGTAAATAACAAAAGACCTATTTAACACAAGCATGAACTCCACTCATAAGCAGATTTTGGCATTCAAAGTCCTTCATAGCAGAGAGGAACACCTGTAGAAGATATTGTGCTGACACGAACTGCAGAAAGGCTCTCTCAGGTAAAAATGACAATTGGAAGTTCATCTACGTTCTAGTTGATCGGTGTAGCACTGATTTTAATCGTGATAGGGAGAGGTTCCTAATGTTGACGATTTTGGAGTAAACTTTGTGTTACTTGAAACATTTTGTGTGGGATGAATCAAAAACTAGTTCCGTTTATTGGAGAATATAAAGCATTCTCATGACGGGACAATTTTGTGCAATATTTTGACTGGAGAGTAATCGGAAGTTTTTAAAAGTGCCATCATTGCATAGGTAAGAAATGCACTCAGGTGAATCAGACAATATCTGTAATAAAATTACAGTAAACTTAATGGAAATGTAGAAACTTGGTTTATATACTTACATGCATCCTGACTCAGATAAGATAAAAATCATTTAATAATTATGTAAAAATTCAGTGCCATGAGAAAGGGTTACAGGCTATAAAGTTTCTCTCTGTGTGTTTCTGAGAGTGGGAAAAGGGTTTATTTACACAATGACATGCTTAATTTGGTAACATTAAAGAAACAATATCATGGATTAAATACATTAAACTGTATATCAAATCTTAAAGAAGTCCTACAAAACTTTTCTATATAACCTGGTTTAAGTAGCATTTCAATCATCACTTTTGATTTGACACAAAATAACATTAAATCCCCACCCCACCCCCCACCCCCGAGTCTGAGCGCTCCATGACTGTGGCAAAACTCTAAGGTATTGAGCTTGGAACCTAATTGGAATCTTAAGTCAGGTGCCCTCCACACTGAACTATCTAGGCTGATGGTGAGATGGTATTTTAAAAAAATGTCACGCCACTTTCTTTGCAGTGCTAGAACCTATTTTTTGAATTCTTAATTGTCTCCCTTTAGAAAGATTTGAACTCTTATCACCAAAAATGCTTTGTGGCAAGTTTAGTTCAGTGGTTTTGGAGAAGTTGAAGATGTGAAAAGTTTATAGACAATGCATACAAAAACTGAAGCAATAGCTTACCTGACTTAGGTGTCCCTATAAAATAAAACACAAATTTTAAGTAGCAAATTCTTTATTGAAATATGTAAATCTTGAATTACAATATTGGTACTGACTCAACTGCATCCCATAAAAAAATAAATAATAAAAATGGATTTCTACTTTAGCACTTAAATTTTTCAAGAATATGCAATTTTTTGCAGGGCATTTTTAAACTTTTCCCCCAAAAAGATGAAAATTAGATTACTGTAATTATAAACCAGTGTAAATAGAATTTGAATAAACACTACAAATATGCAAAATTTTCAGAACTAACCAATCATGTTAAAAGCCATTAAATATACCTTTGTATTGATTGCCCTGATTATGTAATATGCAGAGATTTCAAGATAAATTGCGATTTTTTTTTTACGAACCCAATGCATAAAGTTTATAATAAAGAGAATTTACATATCTGCATGATAAATCAAGGACCTACATTATGTAACCTGCACGATTTAGGGCAATTCTAAATGATAAGAAACATTTTCCTTCAGAGACTTCATCCCTAATATCAATTTTTTTACCCTTTTTATTTTATTGAAAACTTGTTGTCATCATTTTATCTTCATACTGGAGATGGTATTTTATGAATTTAAATTAGCATAATTCATGAGGATGCTTAGACACTATATCATATATCACACACAAATCTTCAGCGATGTATTCAAAAAATATCTTTAAAAAAAAACAGAAATGGAAATTAACCTTGTGGTATATACCATCTCACATTAAAGTGAAAATATAGAACAAATTTCTGACATTTTTTTTATAGTGAAATAGGAATTATGTGCAATTAACCTCATAGCTAGGTTACAGCTATCGGTTACTGGCAATGTGCTGGGTTCTGGGTTCAAGTCCTAAATGGTCCAAGAATCTACACATTAAAAATTATGATTTCAGTTCAATCACGTAAAATATTTGGCTATGTGAGAAATTTTATCCAAACATCCAACAACTATAACTTCTACAGTTTATACTTCATTCTTCTTTGCAACTGAATACATGTTTACTAAACTGAAAATAATTCACAACACTGAAAGAAGCATCTGCATGCAACATCCCCCCCCCCCCCCCCAAATAAGAATTTCCTTAACTTTAAATATAATCACACTAAACAATTTTAAAGGTACATATTATATAGAATTTCATCAAGCAAGGATTGTGAAAGTGATTAACATGTTGTAATCTTAATGAATGACCTACGATAAGGCTTTTCAATTTATAAACAAACAAATCTAGTAGTATGTAAGTTATAATACGCTAAACAATCAGTAAATTATACTTATATGGGTGCACGAATATAAAAAAATTACTCATGGAAGAAGCCCTAGCTTCCTCTATTTATGTTAACATTTTGTGTAGTGACAGTCCATTAAAGAGTAGCGCATTACAATGTGTGATTTAATCATTTTAAAGATATCTGCTCCTCAGTCAGGAATGATAACTCTTAAAATTATTATTTAATTTAAAAAGTCTCAAAATGAAGCTTGAAATTGAAATCTTTTTGTGCAACAATTTTCATTTCATGCATCTCAATATGATTCAAGGTTTTTTGAAGTCTTCAAAATGGTATTGTAAAAAATTGACATTTGTACCTCAAGAAAGTACAAAAATAAACACATTTTTAAAGAAATAGAATTTCTTTCAATCTAGCCTTAGATATCAAATGTTTATTAGCATGATATGAAATTAAAAGTGATCTGTGATGCCTTGCAATGATAGCACAAGCTTTTAACACTATTACTAGTACATATGTATATAACAATTAACTTAATAAACAGAAGAACAAAAGTACTGTATATAAAGCATGTATAAAAAACATGCAATTTTCTGCAAATGCCTCGATACCTATATAGTTTTTTATCCTAAAGTATACTTGTTAAACAATTTTCAATTAGAAAATGCATAGTGGGTACTTTTATTTGCATTTTCTGAAAATATATGCAAGATTTGATAAGTTTCCCTATAAAATATTAAAATAATTATAAACTTTGAAGGAATATCATGGGTAAAAACAATTTTCAGCAAATGCCTGGATACCTATATAGTTTTTTATCCTAAAATATACTTGTTAAACAATTTTCAATTAGAAAATGCATAGTGGATGCTTTTATTTGCATTTTTGGAAAATACGCGAGATTTGATAATTTTCCCTATAAAATATTAAAATAATTATAAACTTTGAAGGAATATCATGGGTAAAAACACATTACTTTGAGAATACAGAGACATTTTTGTAAGCATTTTCATTTACTCGACTCCTGATTTTCCAAACCTGAGGATCAGACTACCTTAATCAGACTGTTTTGGCTGCCTATAGTAGTAGACCATCAATACAGCTTAAAGGGTTGAAAAATATCAACTTAATTCATAAACAAGCTTAAACTAATCTCTAAACATAAAAAAGAAAAATATAATATCATTAACCTTTATAGAAATGACTAACTTCTTGTGAAATCATGCGATGATTCTCTTTGTAAGGGTAAACACAAATGGCTTTTTCATGACTTTGTAACAAAAAATAATTAAATCAGATACGTATCATGCTTCACCGACTCAAAATGAAGAAAATCAGAAAGGACACACATGAATAAAAGTCCTGCTTCTTAAACCTCATCTTACAATACTGGACACAATTGCCCTCAGCAGACATCAGAAATTAAAATCTTCACACTGTTCATTTATCCTCTACATGGAAACTTCTAAACTTATAATAATGAAGGAATATCTTACATGATTTGAAACAGGTATGTCTGACAGTCTGAATATTTTACAGAGAATTCAGAAATCAAGCAATACCTCAGGTACAATCAACATTTGAGAACTTTTATTTTAAACTTTGATGGTATCAGATATCAAAAAGGTAGTAAGTACATTTATTATTCCTTTTTGTTAAGTTTTATGTACATAAATATATGAATGAGAAAAAAAAAATTAAAGTGGAATTTTTGCATGATATTTTTAAAAGGCCTTCATTCCCTTATCTTGCAAGTTTTTAGTACCAGTAAATGCATTATCAAGTATACAAAATAAACAATCCAATGTCCCCTCACTAACTCCTAACTTTGACTGAAGGTATTGTTCAAAAAATTTTTGTTTTTGACGCCACTCTCCTATATAACAGCCAAATTGAAACTATCAAGAAAAGGAATAACTACCATAGATTGGGCAAACATCTAGAATACTTATATGCAAGAAACATTTCATTGGAAATCCAAGGTCGGTCTCACCTTCAAGCGGTGTATGAACCCGTTTTTTTAATCCAATTTATTATGTTACAGAACTGCCATCGAGAGGATAAAGCACAGTTAGAATTTTAATTTGTGGTTTAGAAGGTTGCATTGGCATTTTTAAAATTAATATGCTTAGTTTTAAGCTCACCTGAGAGCAAAAAGTTCTGATCAAGTCCATCTGTCGTCTGTAAACTTTCAACATTTTCAACTTCTTCTCAAGAACCACTGGGCTAATTTTAACCAAAATGAGTACAAAGCATCCTTGGGTGAAGGGGAGTTTAGATTTTTAAAATGAAAGACCAAGCCCCATTACAAGGGGAGATAATCAAGAAAGACAAAAATGGGGGGGGGGGGTCACTAAAAATCTTCTTCTCAAGAACCACTGGGCCAGAAAAGCTGAAACTTATATGGAAGCTCCTGAAGTAGTGTTGATTCTATATTGTACAAATCATGGCCCCTGGGGGTAGGGTGGGGCCACAATAGGGAATCAGCATTTTACATTTATATATATATATATATATATATATATATATATATATATATATATATATATATATATATATATATATATATATATATATATATATATATATATATATATTCTTTAAAAATCTTCTTCTCAAGAACTGCTAGGCCAGAAAAGCTGAGACTAAGTGGAAGCATCCCAGGGTATTGTAGATTCTAAATTGTTCAAATTGATCATGACCCTCAAGGGTAACCCTCAGGGGTAGGGTGGGGCCACAATAGGGAATCAGAGTTTCACAATAAAATATAATATATATAATTAAAATATACTGGAAAAACTTTAAAAATCTTTTTCTCAAGAACCACTAGGCCAGAAAAGCTGAAACTTATGTGGAAGCATCCTGAGGTAGTGTAGACTCTAAATTCTTTAAATCATGGCCCCAAGGGTAGGGTGGTGCCACAATAGGGAATCAATTTTACATTGAAATATAATCATGATAATGGAAAAAATCTTCTTCTCAAGAACCACTTGGCCAGAAAAGCTGAAACTTATGTGGAAGCTTCCTGAGGTAGTGTAGATTCTAAATTGTTCAAATCATGACCCCCTAGGGTTGGTTGTACCACAATAAGTATGACAAGGGGGGAAATCTGGTGTAGAACAGCAGGATGAAAGTTACTCAGGTGAGCACTGTGGGCCCATGGGCCTCTTGTAATAACATAATCTGGCTGAACATATTATTGTCAACTAAATCCTGTTTGATATTTCTCACTAAATTTGAACCTCTTAATATTCTCAGAATCATTTTTCCTTTTATCATTAACTACCGGTATTATATGAAATACCTCATTTGTCACCTGTTTTGTATTTTTCAGATGAGGATGACCACACTGTGGAGAGTAATATTCCTTTGTTGTATTATAGCTTCTGCTTTAGGTATGCACATACACGTACATGACTTAAATATTGTTTGAAATTTCAAAAAAACCTCTTAGGGACAAAACAAAAAACTTTTTTTTTGTTTTGCTAAATTAAATATACATGTAAATCTTACAACTCTACATAAAGTAAGGAAACAAAATTCACATGTACTACAATTACAAAGCAGTTTTATGCAACATTTTAATTCTGTATTACAATTTCAGGAGGACATAATCCCTGCTGTTCATACCCTTGTGAAAACAACGGAGTATGCATGACAAGGGGAGATAACTATTACTGTGACTGTACAAATTTAGAGTTCTATGGCAAACACTGTGAAATCCGTAGGTATTTTTCATTTCTGCGACAAAAAAATTTTTCTTTGAGGCAGAGATGAAATTTGATCCCAGGTAGATTAATTTTTGAAAGTATCATTAATCATTTATGTCAACTTGTTATCTAAGGACTCAGGTGTTTCCTTGTGATGATAGGGAGTTTATGAATCTTGAATCTTAATTCAAGCGAGTCTCAATAAGCGATGTAAATAAAAGTGTAGGATGCTACTCAACATCAAATTTATAAGTTTTATTCTTTCTGTTGTTTTGTATGTGTGTGTGCTTTTTTTTGTTTTAATTGTCTGTTTACTTATTTTGTTAATTTTTTTGTTTGTTATTTGTTTGTTTGTTTGGGGGCAGGAGGTGGGAGTGGGTAGGGGTGGGATGATGTGGTTGGGGTCTTTTAACAGCCCCCCCCCCCCCCCCCCCCCCAAAAAAAAAGAACTTTGATAACCAGATTCTGTGACAAATAATATAACATAATAACATTAACATATAAGGAAAAGCACACATTCCAAGGTTCTATAGAATCTCTGCATGATCTTAAAATATTCATTCAAATCTTTCATTTATTTCAGCTACATTTATGAAGAAGATAAAACTGTTTCTAAAGCCAGACCCAGAAACAATACACAATCTTTTAACTGGTAACAAATGGTTATGGGACATCGTCAATAGTGTACAGTTTTTGTCAAATGCAGTAATGAAGAAAGTTTACACAAGTAAGTAATAAATTTTCTATTCAAACATAATTTTTCTTGTTTTATATTTACCAGTGTCCACATTACAAAAGATTCCTCAAACAAAGTGATTTAACTACCAAAAAAAAAAAATCTTTTATCAATTGAATGTATCTTGTATTTTAAAAAAACTTTGGGTTACTACCAACATTGATAACATATGTCTTTCATGTGGTAAACTTTCCAAAAGTAATAAATGCAAGTATATTTTTATCCTATTTAGCTATTTCTTTTCTTCTTTTAGTGAGATCTGATATGGTTGACAGTCCTCCGACATATACATCTGAACATGAATACATCACAGTGGACGCCAACTATAATTATAGTGTCTATACTCGTACCCTGCCTCCTGTCCCCACAGAATGCCCCACTCCCATGGGTGTCTGGGGTAATTACTGTAATTATTTTCTCTACACAGTAAATGTTTGGCAGATCACATATTTTGAAAATTACCCCTTTCCAAATTGCTTAAAGCAAGCATGTGTACATTTATTTATAAGCAGAAATTTTTAGATAACCTTTACAACAAAACATTTTAAGTATAAAAGCATCAGATTCTTAAAAATTAGTAATGTATTAAAAAGATTTTAATTCATTGTGCATTAATTTTTCTTTATTAGTCCTCACAATATGAATTCATGAGACATCCAAAAAATCTTGATATTGTTAAATTTATATTTTATCAACTAAATCTATAACGGTCGATACATGTATCATATTTTTATTTTAAGGAAAGAAGGAACTACCACCTGCTGAAGAAATAGTGAAGACATTTTTTGTTAGAAAAGAATTTATCCCAGAACCCATGGGAACCAGTTCACTGTTTCCTTACTTTGCTCAGCACTTCACACATATGTTCTTCAAGACAGACCTAAAGAAGGGGCCACAATTTCAGTGGGGTGGACATGGGGTGGGTTTTCAAAAATTATCAGTTTTTAAGTAATACATGTACATAATGAAAGATACAAGTACATGGAAAACATGTTCAAGCTTCCTCAAAGTCCTTAATTAGATAGGACAAGGCCTAATTTTATTTAGAATAAAATTTAAATAATACATATAGACATGTATGCACAAACTGTAATAATTCAATTCTGTAAAAAACATTGACATATTGTACAGAAAGAAAATGCATGTTTTTGTTATTGGTACATAAAATCATTGTTGAATGACATCATTTCAGGTCGATGTTTCTCATGTCTATGGCAAGGATAGAGAATCAGAAAACAATCTAAGATCATTTAAAGATGGAAAGCTTAAACACAAGGTCAGTCCATGTATACTGTAATCAACCTTAAGACAAGAAGCATGTTCATTCATATATATGTATTTGTATTTGGCGTTTTACAAAATCTGGGGTGTAAAAGATTCTTCCTAATGAACAAGATCAAGATATGTTTGTGAAACACTGATGCCTCCATATGGCAGCTCATAGCCAAGGTTAAAGTTTTTCAAAAATAGGTCAAACTCCAAGATCAAGGTAATAAGGTCATAAATAATAATACCCAAAGAAAGGTCTTATCACAAGGAATACACCTGTGAAATTTGAAAGCCCTATCACCAACTGTTCAAAAGTTAGGGCCAAGGTGAAAGTTTTTCAAAAGTAAGTCAAATACTCAATGTCAAGGTCATAGGGTAAAAAACAGTGGTACCTAGAGAAAGGTCTGACCACTAGGAATACAAGTGAAGTATGAAAGCCTTAACATCAACCATTCAGAAGTTATGGTCAAGGTTAAAGTTTTTTTAAAACTAGGTCAAACATCAAGGTCATGAGGTCAAAAAGGTGGTACCCAAAGAAAGGTCTTGTGACAAGGAATACAGTTGAGATATCGGAAATCCCTAGCACCAACCGTTCAGTAGTTATGGTCAGGCTTAAAGACATAAAACAGATCACCAACACTTTGTGAGAATGCAGCTGTAAATTTATTTAGTTGACCGATTTCTATCAGAGTTCTTCATCAGAACAATTATACATGAGTTAGTTCTTTATGAAATAAAAATTGCGGGTTGTTCTATATATAATAACATAAACAATTTAGTCCACATGTTGTTATGTCATCCACAATTTCAATGTCTGTATCACAATAATCTGCATTTTTTACTTTATAAAGAACTATCTCATGTATAATTGTTCTGATGACAACCATGATTGTTCTGATGACGACCGTCTCTGGTCGAAACCGGTCAACTAAATAAATTTACAGCTGCATTCCTACTGAGTGTTGGTGATCTGTTTTATGTCTTTAAGTTTATAACTTTAGATACAGACCCTATTGAATACTGTTCAGTATCCACACATGGGAATCTTCCACAAATTTAACCTCAAGGTGTTGGTTTCCATTTTTTCTTTTAGTTATGGTCAGGGTTAAAGTTAAATTTTGCAGACAGACAAAAACTAAATGCCCCTAAATCTCCATTTATAAGGTCATTAAAAGAAAATATGTTCAAATAACAAGATTCTGAAGGCTAATTGAGACTATCTTTAAATCCTTGATACAGAAAATTAATCTATAATCAATAATCATAACATATGTGAATTAAATGGGTTTTTTTAATATTATAGGTTATAAATGGTGAAGAATGGCCTCCCCTTACCTCTGATGCTAAAGTTCCTATGGGGTATCCTAAACAGACAGACAAAGATAAGCAGTTTGCTCTTGGACATTCTTTCTTTGGTCTCTTGCCTGGATTGTTCATGTATGGCACAATCTGGTTGAGGGAACATAACAGAGTTTGTGATATACTGAAGGCAGAGCACCCTGAATGGGACGATGAGAGACTATTTCAGACGTCAAAATTAGTTATTTTAGGTAAGTCCTCAAGTCAAAGAAAATCAACTTTCTATATGATACTTCAATATTCTTAATTTTATTTACCACTTCTGAGGTTAAGGGAGATAACTCTAAACCTAATGCTTTCTTCTTTTTTTTTTTTTTTTACATCAGGTGAAACTATCCAAATAGTAATAGTAGATTATGTGCAGCACCTAAGCAACTATCATTACCAATTAATTTTCAATCCTGAGCTACTGTTTGGTGAACAATTCCAATATCAAAACAGAATTGCCATAGAATTTAACCATTTATATCATTGGCATCCTTTGATGCCAGATGAATTCAACATTAATGGAACAAAATATACCTTGAAAGACTTTATTTTCCATCCTGAGATTGTGGTAAAGCATGGGATGAGGGAGTTTGTGGATTCACTGTCAAGACAACGAGCAGGCCTGGTAGGTACCAGTTCTGTAATATTAAAAGTAGATACATGTACATGTATTGTAATTTCTATGTTTATAGAGAAATATTTTGTTACTTATGTCCTGAATAATTATGACAGAAGTTCTTCATTGCTTGATGGTCTTTTTAAAATTAACGAGAGAAATTTCAATTTTATATGGGAATTTACTCCTAAAAAAATTAATGTGTAAAACATCTAATATTAGGTGATTAAATCCATAAAACATCCTTGGGTGATACATGTAGTTAGAGAATGACTCTTTAAATACAAAAAAGACAAGAAAGATAAACAGAGCAGCATCTTGTATATCTCACTGTTTACCACATGTATCAATTCTATCAATATTAATAATATTTTTCAGTAAATAAAACAAATACATTATACCGGTACCTATATTAAAGATTTTGTGTATTTTTAGAAACTGATAATATTAATAAAATTGATGGGAATGCTGACTACTGTGATCCAAGTAGCTGAATAGAGTTTTTATACTTTTAGTTTGGGCCTCACAATCATGGTGCTTTAACAATCCCTGTTGTGACAGAACTCATCAAACATGGACGTACTCTAAGACTTCAGTCCTTTAACCAATACAGGAAGAGATTCAACCTGAAGCCAATAAAATCTTTCGAGGAACTGACAGGAGAAAAGAAAATGGCAAAACAGCTTGAAAATTTTTATGGCGATATCAATGCTGTGGAATTCTATGTAGGCCTTATAATGGAGAAGAGACGGCACAAGGCGTTGTTTGGATCCTCAATAGTTGAGATTGGTGGGCCCTACTCTGTAAAAGGATTAATGGCCAATCCAATCTGTTCTCCTAAATACTGGAAACCCTCCACATTTGGAGGGGATGTAGGCTTTAATTTGGTTAAAACTGCATCTCTTAAAAAGTTATTTTGTGAGAATATCAAAGGAGAGTGCCCCATGGTCACATTTAGAGTTCCAGATTATAAAGAGGGTGATGTATTAGACATTATCAAACAAAAAATGGAATTATAACAATAGAGTTTGTTTAAATATTAATTCAATTCTATCATTGTCATGAATGCATTTCTGAACAGTTGCATGAAGTGAACATGATGTGTGTGTTTCAATGAGATTTATTAAGGTATGCAGGTACATACATTTTTGCTTATAGAGATCTCATATATTCGTTTTCAATATTTCAGAAGCTTATGCACTCTATTTTGATAATTTTTAAATTTGATCAGTAGAACTCATTCAATTTTGTCAATTAATCTTTGTTTCTAGAGATGAAATCATGAAAATATGTAGGGGGCTAACTAGACTGCATAGTGCATATCTGTTAAAATTCACACATTCATGGAAATGTGTACAATTTAATACAGTCAAACCTTGTTATCTCAAACTTGATGGGACTAAAAAAAACTTCAAGATATCTGAGGGTTCAAGATACTGAGGGTAAAATACAATAAGAAAATAGTGGTTGGGACTTCCAAATCATATCGACATATCAATGGTATTCAAGATATCTGTGTTCGAGATACCAAGGTTCAGCTGTATATAATATTATACTTTTTAAAAATGCATATGCAACATAAGAACTACTAGCATTTAACATAAGTTTTTTATTACTGATTATTCATGTGTAATCAAACATTAATCAGGGTAATTTTTAATTGAGCTCATATCTACACACTTTATTTACAGTATTAAAGATCTAACGAGATCCGAAATCTATTAAAAAAATATTCAACAACGTCAATATGTAAAACATGTGCAATCATCAAGAGTTTGGTCTATTATGTTTTTCTAAATTTGACAGACTGAAATTGTTTTTCTCTTATCAATTTGAAGGCAGCCCTTGAAAGTCAGTGCAAAACTGTGTATGCTATGTGCCATTTTGCATGTTGATAATACTGTATTAGTGATGCACTATGATATGCTTAATATTTAATATTGAGTATAATGACTGTTAAATTGTCATATCAAAGAGATTTACATAAGTAATTACTCTAAAAATGTCCATTCAAGGTCATTTCGATTTATAAGTTTAAGTTTAAGCTTCAATTAGTTTGTTAACTGTCATTTATTAAATAGATTTATTGGGTACATTAAAGTATAGTAAAACAAGCTTATAGCAAACATTCTTATAATAAATTTATGTTTACATTGAAGTGATTTTCGTTCCCCTTGACTTTAGGATATATTTTTAAACTTAACGGATATAATGAATTATGCTTATAATGAAGCAAAATCATCCGTCCATGGCAATTGATTATAAATGTGTTTTACTGTAATTACCCTAAAGATGTCCATTCAAAATCATTGTGATTTATAATGTATTAGATTAAGTTTCAATTAGTTTGTTAAATTGTTACCATAAAATATATTTACTGGTACATAAGTAATTACCTGAAAGATGCCTATAGTATTTAAAGTCATTTTGATTTATATGTAAGTTTATGTTTCAAATAGTTTGAATAGTAGCTAATAGAAGAAAAAATGTCCCATATCTTGTATCTAGTTAAAAAATTCTCTATGGAAATTTGTTATAGAACGTCATACTACTCTTCTCTGACAATCAGAATGTTTCATCATTAATATTCATTTCCAGCAGATATTTTGAGTTTTCTGTGTTTCTTTTATATACATGCATGTACACATATAAATGTATAATATGTCATATATTAAATTTACAAATCTTGATTGCTTTCTACCAAATATAATACCATTTTCCCAGCTGCAAGATCTATATGACCTACTCCTGCTATAAATTCCATCAAAAATAAAATTGGTTGTGAAAGAAACCACATTCTTTTACCAATGGCTGTACTACATAGCTTCTTTATCAAGCATTGTCTGTTGAGTTTATGTTTAATAGCTATAGATTTTTTTACAATTTTCCGAAGAGGAAACTTTAATATACAGTTGTACATATAATTACATGTAATTATTTCTGTTCTGTATAAACTGACTATCTTATCTATACATTATTAAAAGATTGAATTATGATTAATTACTTTATGTAACACTTTTTACAGATAAAATGATGTTGGAATAATTCTAGAGTCTCAGCTGTTCCACTGAATGTTACTCCAGATGGATTTATTTAAAATTACTGTACACCTACATTTATTGCTGGTCCTATTTTATATAATTGACGAATAAAATATGTCCCCAAACATATGATATATAATCATTCCCTTAATTGCACTGCTCTTTTCCACGTAACTATTAAAAAAGTAAACAAAGTTACTTTTCTTCCTGGTCTAGTTGCCGCCGTAATAGAATGGTATGAGGTAGGGCTGCACAATAATATCAATATTCCAGTATATTGCGATTCGTAGAAAGCAGGCGACAACTTAAAGGATAATTCAACAAATACTGCTTTCTCGATCATTACTAAAGAATTTGGGATAGTCATTACATAATGAATGAAGACCCAAATGTTCCATTCAAAACAAAAATTTTAATTTATTGCTTCAGTGCACATAGTATAGGGGTCCAGATTTTTTGTTTACCAATATAGATGGGGAGTGCCTATGATCATAACCATTGGATGCCCAATTGCCACAAGGCTCACCTGAATACTTAACCTTGGCCCTGCTTATAATTTTTGACCTACCTTATAAGTTGAATTTTTAGCGAGATGCAAATATAGCGATTTAGCCGTAAGAATTGGTATATATAATTTTAGTGAGAAGTAATTTTTAGGGATTTGACAATATCTTGCAAGATAGCCTTACCTCCTTAGTGCTGAATGAATTGTTTTAGCGATCTCAACACCCACGCTAATAATGCCAAAATTGAATCCTCGTTAAAAATTCTGTTTATAATAAATATGGTATAGCCCCCATAAACATAACTGAACTTGAATTCACACAACATACTCTAGGACTGGGATCAATTGACTAGCAATTTGCCTTGCTGTATTCAAAAAAATTTCTTTAAAAAAGAATTTCTTTTCAAAATACATTATATATATAAAATTTGATCCTTATTTAATTCAGACACATCCTAACTTCAGGGTTCATATTTATAACTAATGCAATGAAGCCGTCAGACGGTTTTGGTCGCCGGTTGCCAGATAGCTCAGTTGGTACGGCACCTGACTGGAGATTCAGAAGACCCGGGTTCCAATCATGAAAAAATCTTATTTTAAAAAGACAAAAAGTCGCAAATGTCTACTAATATTTATTCTTGGTATTATTTAAAAAACAATCTAAAGCAGAGATACTTTTAACATTACTGCGTTTGAACACATATATAGCCCCGAAACTTTTAGAACTTTGATTGCAATTGCACAGAAAAGACACATCTCCAAGAGTGATTTTTTCATGAATTGTTTTCAGATGAGTTCAAAGTTGAAAATTATCACTGCATCAAAGTGCAATTTTCTTTACTTTCTGGGCAAAAATAATCAGAAATTCTTTTCCAGTTTAACTCTATAACTGTTGTGAGGGCTTGTCCCGAGACACAGTTAGATTATTCTAACTAGGGTACAAACGTACAAGATGATGCATGCAAGGTTTTAAGAAGAAAGGGGACCAAAAAACAAAGAAACAAACCATTAAATCATTATCCCATTTCCCCTTGAAACAACGATCCGGATTTGTGAACGAATGCGGATCAAGTTTTAGACCAACTGAAAGTGAAAGTAAGTAGGCTAATTTTAGAACAGGGGAAAATCGGATGTAAGCCCTATTTATAGGAGTAAAAAAAACCCTATTTCTAGCAATTGACAAAGAAACAGATCTCACTGCGCTACTTTCAATGAAATGGGAATAAATAATTCTAAGCTGAACTGTGCCAGCAGAAAGGCAAGAGAGGAGCCCTATCGCCAGGTGAAGGTGGATGAGAAAACAAAAGATGAAAATGGTACGTAACTCCTAAGAAAAACTTTCAGTTTCAAAAGCCAAAACTTTGTCATGTCTAAAGACTAGGAAAATGTCACAATTTAATTAATATAGAAGGTTGTAAAATCAACAGCAGTGTTGTGCTTTTCTTAATGATAATCAGTACAGTATTAATTAAATTAATTTCAAGTTTACCTTAATTTTCGACTTAGAAACCTTTTGCTTTTGGTTTCAGTATAAGGTACCAGTACCCATTAGAGTAAATACTGTGGGATACCCATTATTGTAGATGGAACATTCTATCATTAAAAATCATGTTGTCTTACAAACCCGGTGAGGGCTTGTTGTTCGAGACACAGATTATTCTTACTACCATGCTTGCATGCTGATCTAAAATTTAACAATTTATGCAGTAATGTTTTAGTTAGAATGTTATTTAACTCATGCAATTGCGATCCTAAATGAATCACAGGCACCTGAAATTTAATCAGTGAGTTGCAAATAAAGCCCTAGATAAAAAATACTCCCTCTCTATATAAAAGTATTTTCAAACATAAATGGGGTAAGAGTTTTTGATCTAGGGTTTTATTTTCAACATATTGATAAAATTTCATGTGCTTGTGAATCAATCTATAACTTTAATTTATAAATGAAGATAGAACATTCTAAGATTATGATGATATGACATACCCCGTACCTCCCAGTGACACATTGTGGTCAGGGCCATTTCTAAGACACAGATTATACAAACTTAACTGTTTGTAAATTAATTTTTAAAGCTGACATTTCTTGAAACCAAACTGAATCTAACTCTTAGGGGTAGATCATAGTTCCACTTAGTTTCTGGATAAAGCAAAAATTGCAATATTGTCTTTGAACTATGAATCAACATCCAGAAACTGGTGGTTTAATTCTAAACTTCATTGGTTTCAGAATAATGCATCACAGCATGGGGAAAATGTCTTTACTAGTGAAGGATTTGTTTGGTTTTGGTATCTTTATATGAAAATATGCCATAAAATACAATATATTCAAACAAATCAATTTCTAAAAGAAAAAATTTCAAAAGTTGACTGTTTCAATCATTATTTACAAAACATGAAGACCAATTTGTTATTGTAATTTAAGTGTTTGACTATCTGCAAATCTGGAGTTTTCAATCTGGTTTTGTTTTTTTATGTAGTCAAACATGCCTTAAGATATATGCCATGTCTATAATAAAGCATCTGCCTTTGTTATACAAGGGAAGGATTCAGGATTCTTCATTGGAGGGGGTTAAAATGGAAAGATATAATTAAATTCATTTGGAATGGCTAGTTTACTAATAGTGCATAAAGACAGTGACATCGATCAGTCTGAGAATACAATTTACATGTGTACTCCCAGACTAAATGTACATGTAATGTTCATATTTTCCCTAATTAAAAATGAAAATCAATTTTAACATCATTTTCATTTTATGATGTTTTAATGGCACAGCTAGTCTAGAATTATTTATATGACATGTAAACGTAAAGAAAATCATGTAATATATATATTTTTTATGTCGATCTACACTGTATTGTAATTATTTGTATAGTAAATAAACTGGAATTATTTTATTTTCAAGATAAATTTATTATCACGTCATCATTTTAGTTTAAAAGCAGAAATTCTTGGGTTTTAGGTGACCATTTGAGAACAGCTGACAAGAAATTTGTATAGTAAATAAACTGGAATTATTTTATTATCGAGGCATTTTCCTTATCACTTTAGTTTAAAAGCTGAAATTCTTGGGTTTTAGGTGACCATTTGAGAACAGCTGACAAGAAAAATGGAGAAAATTTTGTTTCTAAGAAAAATAACTCTGCATCAAAAAATCCAAAAGGTTTGTGTTCTTTTTGAAAATGAAACAACAAAAAAAATTATTAGAAGCAAAAAGAAAAAAAAAAAATCATATTAATCATTATTTGTATATGGAATTTTTTTTCCTTTAAAAAGAATTTGACATTTTATTACCATTTTTTTCTTAATTTTGCAATGAAAAAAAAAAAGAATGGAAAAGAAAAAGAATTAGAAACCTGTAAGCACAGCTTGCAAATACTGTATTTTTCCAATAAATTTCACAGTGGTGGAAATTTTACAAAAGCAACTTAGAATCATGAAAACTTTAAAAGATAAATTCAGTGACATTGAAATTATTTGGTTTCAGGTGACCACTTGAGAACTGATAAGAAAAATGGAGGAGATATAGTGCCAAAAGACAATTCTGCATCCAATCCAAAAGGTTTGTGTGCTGTGTTTCAAAACTGAATACTAGCATGGAATAAATTTAGGAAAGCAAGTTGACCAAATTCCCTGAAAAATAAAACTAATCTAACACAGACTTAATTATTTTGTGCTTCAAACATTTTAGGTCAAACTGTTCAGGAGATTGAAAATCAAGTTCAAAATGGACAACTAAAAGATGAAAGAAACACAAATACAACAAATTCCAAATCTACAGTAGGAAAGTTGGCTGTAAAGGAAAAGGAGCATATACAGAAGAAGGAAAGCAAGGAGATGTACAGTGATGATGAGCCTAAACCATATGGTGAGTTTCTTAAGGACATACGCAACGTACCTTACCTACTGATAATTTTTCAAGATATTCTTAATTTAAGATTATAGTGCCATCAGATGTTTGTCGACAAAAAATCAGCATGCATTACCAGGGGTTTTGAAAAGATATCAATTGATGAAAATTCTTGTATAATTCAAAGAAAAATACACAAAAATTACTAAACACATATTCTAGATGTTTTGTTTATCCAAACTTGTTTTAGAGGAAGTGTACAACAGCATATATAGATATACAAATGTAGCACACAATTCCTTTAAGTATTGGAACTCTTCAACTCCAGGGAAAAAGATAATAAAGTTCAAACTACGTTGCGTATGTCCTTAATGTGCCAATCAAGTTTTAATACTTTTGGACATAAATACCTCTTACATGTTTACAATAATGAATATTCATGGAAAATTCACAGTCTGATTAAACCAGCCCCCTTATTATCACTTATCATCAAGATAATGATAAGAGAAGGGGCCTGTTTTTTTTTAGTTATTCAGACTTGGCCAAACCAGGACTACATTAAAAATGACAAATGGCACATTTGAATATACATAAGTGTATTTTATTGAATAGATAATGTGTCAATGGATCTTTTTTTTCAATGGAAACTGGTGATTTTATTCAGAAAAGATTCAAATACAAATTGTGCTGTTTATATTGAATTGAAATGGTGGCTCAGATAATTAATAATTTTGGCATCATAATTTCAAAATCAATTTTCTTTTTACACAGATTTTGTTAAAGCTATAAAAACAGATTATGTAAGTGGAAATTTCACACCATCAAAAGGAGGTTCAACAGAGGTCAAAAAAGAAAGGGACAGAACAGTTGATAAAGATGAGACAAATCCAAAGTCTGTAAATAACCAAACAGGATCCAGTGATGAAACGGAAATAAAACAGAGTTATGGCCCTTCTTTAACTGATGGTGAAGATCCTGACTCCGGTGACCACTCGTCTTTGGAAAAAGATTGTCTCCCATCACTGAACAGTGAAGACAGACGCGAGGGACTGGGGGAAGAGTTTGTAGATGCAGATCATACTGAATACAATGAACAGCAGGTACCAGATTATTGTAAAAATAAATCATTTATGGGTGTTTTTAAAAAGTAAGAATTAACCAAACAAAAAAAAGATGGACCAACTGCATGGTACTTATTATAATTTGAAGATATCCTGCTCCTCCTTTATCTGACTTTTAGCTCACCTCAGCAAAGTTGGAGAACTTTTGTAATACCCTCAGCATTGGTGTCGGTCCAAGGTTAAAGTTTTTGAAACAGATTGCTTTTCAAGTATTTCAATGCCCTACATTGATCAGAGTTGCATGGATGATGCTTCTAGTGGATGTTGCTTGTAGTATGTTTCTTTGTACCAGTCATGTTTCAGATGCTGCATTTTCAGCCAAAGAATGACCATATTAATGTTTTTACAGCGGGCTAAAGTTTTCCAGGGCAGATTAAAGTTTTAGGAGCAAGTCTCATTTCAGTGTAACTATAAACCCTATATTGACCAAACTTGCATGGATGATGCATCTAAGGGTGCACACTACAAGACTTGCTTTTGATGCTAGATTTTACCTACATTTTCATGTTGAGTGACCAGGTTAAAATTTTTTGAGCAGTTTCATTTTTAGCTCACCTGAGCTGAAGGCCTAATGTTGACCAAACTTGAATGGATAATTTATCTAAGGATCATGCGAACTATCAGTCTTGCTTTGGATGCTGGATTTGACCCACATTTTCTGGAAGAATTACCAGGTTAAGTTAGTGGAGCAGCTACATATCAATGTAACATCTGACCAGTGCTTTTCTGCGACTTTATTTTTAGAACCTTGTTGCTTTTCCGCAACCACTACTGCTTTTCCATGATTGGTTTTTACTACATTGTATCTCCAGGTTTTTTCATGGCTAATGGAAGAGGTACGAAAAAAAGTCTCGGAAAAGCTAAAATTATAACCTCGGAAAAGCAGTAAAACTTGTTGCAGAAAAGCAGGAATTTTTTCACAGAAAAGCTGAGTCAAATTGCAGAAATGTGAATTCCCGAGTGTAACTTTAATCCTTACCTAGACCAAACTAACATGGATGCTGCATTTAAGGATGCACACTGCCAGACTTGCTTTGGATGCTAGATCTGACCTTCACTTTCAAGATGAGTGACCAGGTTGAAATTTTTTTGAGCAGATCCATTCCCAAGTAACTGTAAGGCCTATCTAGACCAAACATGTATGGCTGATGCATCAAGGGATATACACTTCCAAACTTGTTGTTTTTGATGCTAGATCTGATCTGCATTATCTGGATGAGTGATGAGGTTGTACCTGTGAGCAGGTCCATTCCCAAGTAATTTCAATCCCTACCTGGACCAAACTTGCATAAATGTTGCATCTAAGATGCACACTACTATAGTTAAATTATTTTAGTGTCGACTTTGCTTACTTTGAAATAACATTTGTTTAGGTGAGCTATGTAATCATTGATAGAATTTTTTTTTAATTTTCTACTGAATATCCATGTGTGTATATATTATCCTTAAAAAATTAAATGCATAGCTTTTAATTTTATCTTATTATAACAAGGAGAAATCTAAGAAAAACACCACCCTGTCAAAAGATGATGAAAACACTACAGAAAGTGATGATAGTGATGATGATGGTGATGAAGACAATGATGATGAAGAGGAGGAAGGTGGAGGTACTCTTGGAACCCAATGGGGGGGGGGGGTCCACAGCTGAGAATGACTTAATTATTACTGATATTTATTATTAAATTTAGTAGAATTGGAGATTTTATACATCAAAAAAAAGTGTCTTTACTAATTGTAGAGTCTCTCATGTTTTGAGCAAGAGAACAGCAAAATGTTAACTGATTTGACAATGTGAATTTATGAGATTTGTAAATAATTCTGAATACTGGTAACTTAAAATTTGTTTCAGTTCCAGGAAACTACAATTTTGGATATGTAACAAATATGATTATTGGCAAGGGGAAAATTATAGACAGAGAAACAGTTGTTACATCAAAAACCAGTTCTAGATCCAAAAACAGTTCCAAAGCTAAACACAGTTCCAAAGGGAAAAACAGTTCTAAAGGCAGGAAAAAGTTTGAAAAAGGTATTAAGGCAAGGTGACAATGAACTATGATTTCTATAGTACAACTGTGGAATTTGCATCCTCTGTGTCTTGGGTTCAAGCCCCAGGGAGAGGAAATTTTGAACTTTAAATGATCTTTCTAAGTTAGTGAGATCAAGGTCTAATAATTTGGGGTCAAAGAAGGGTTTTAAAAACATCAAGGGATTTACTCCTTGACATCTAGCAGAAAAAAATTATTACTTACATGTTAAACATGTTGCAAGGATCAGTATTTTCTAAACTTGTAATAAGGTGGCTTATGTTAGCTATATTTTTGAGAAAGAAATGGTGACTGGACCTAGGGGACCATTTAGCCTCCTTGTGTAGATTGCTGAACCAATGGGGCATAATTTACTTTAGATATCTTGGGAAAAGGAATATCTTAGGACAAATTTGTATAATATCATTTATGTTTTTTTTAAACCATGTGCAGAGGTGCATTCCTAAAAATATCATCCTGAAGGTCCCAATTCAAAATATTAATCATTTCACTAATAAGTGATTAATATTTAAATGTATCACATGTTGACTCCTTTAATATGGGTGGATATCCTTCATTATTTTCATTTCATAATAGTAAATGTGAGGCCACAATGGTTTTTGAGTGAGAGTGAAGAAGTCAAATAAAGTGGATTTAATTCATATACATGTACATGTATAAAAACAGTGTAAAACATGTGATAGCTGTGTGTTACACATGTGATAAAAGAACCACCCATTGTTTGTAATTGAATTTGATTTTTATCAAATTCATTTTGTGTTTTCTATCCCCTCACTAAGGCTCAGGGAAAGAAAACACACACATCATAGCATAAAAATCATATCCAACCACGAGCCATGAGAGATATTACCGTATATGTATCTCTATTGTGATTTTTGCTAATACCCTGGTACTTTGTTGTTATAAAATTACATGTGTCTTTTGTAGGCAGTAACAAGTCAAAAGGAAAAACAGTGAATGCAGAAAATGTGCGTAATTTAGGCATTGGAAAAGTTAATGTACTGAAGGAGACGACAATTGTAGAGCATCCTAAGTCAGGTAATTAAGAAATATCTACTTCAAGTATATTTAATCAAAAGTTGAGCTGTCTGTCCATCTGTCAATTTATATAAAACAAAAAGATTATAAATTGTATTAAGAAAAATGTATGCATTAATAAACAATCCATATTGGGCACTGACCGAAAAAAAGTATATAATTTGTGTCTGGTCTATAGCTTTCCAATGGAGATACATTTGGATTTCATACTTCACCCAAAGATTACTGTGGAATCATTAAAGGTTCGTGGGGACGTAAATTTGTGTATTGTCTTATACCAACAGAAGGAAATACGACTTTGTAACCAGTTTATTAATTCATGGAGGATGTTAATTCATGGATGACAGGTACTTACAAATTCCACGAAAATTGAGCCACCACAAAATCTAATGATTCCACAGTACTTATGACCAGAGAGTGTATAAATACCTTGACCCTTGATCACTAGCAGAAAAATTGTTGAAATTGTGGCCAGTCCATAACTCTGTAAGAGGAAAATATTGGAAGATGATATCCAAACAAAGATTATTCATGAGCTGAAGGCGAATCAAGGTCTTGATTATGGTCCATGGGCAAGTTCAAGGTCACTGGCAAAAATAACCTAGACAAGGGTCATTTAGCAGGTTCAAGATCATTTTTTAGCTCACCTGAGCTGAAAGCTCAAGTGAGCTTTCCTGATCACCCGTTGTCCGTCGTCCGTCCGTCTGTAAACTTTTCACATTTGCAACTTCTTCTCAAGAATCAATAGGCCAATTTTAACCAAACTTGGTACAAAGTATCCTTGGGTGAAGGGAAGTGTAAATTGTTAAAATAAAGGGCCAAGTCCCCTTACAAGGGGAGATAATCAAGAAAAGACAAAAATAGGGTGGGGTCATTAAAAAATCTTCTTCTCAAGAACCACTGGGCCAGAAAAGCTGAAACTTATGTGGAAGCATCCTGGGGTAGTGTAGATTCTAAATTGTTCAAATCATGACCCATGGGGGTAGGGCGGGGCCACAATAGGGAATCCAAGTTTTATATTGAAATATATAGGAAAAATCTTAAAAAATCTTCTTCTCAAGAACAACTTGGCCAGAGAAAATGAAACTTATATGGAAGCATCCTGGGGTAGTGTAGATTCTAAATTGTTCAAATCATGACCCATGGGGGAAGGGCGGAGCCACAATAGGGAATCCAAGTTTTACATTGAAATATATAAGAAAAATCTTTTAAAATCTTCTTCTCAAGAACCACTGGGCCAGAAAAGCTGAAACTTAAGTGGAAGCATCCATTGTTCAAATCATGACCCCTGGGGGTAGGGCGGGACACAATAAGGAATCCAAGTTTTACATTGAAATATATAGGAAAAATCTTTAAAAATCTTCTTTTCAAGAACCACTGGACCAATAAAGGTGAAACTTATTTGGAAGCATCCTGAGGTAGTGTAGATTCTAAATTGTTCAAATCATGACCCCCGGGGGTAGGGCGGGGCCACAATAGGTATATTAAAAGGGGGGAAATCTGGTAAAGAACAGCATGGCCAAAGTTAGGGTACTCAGGTGAGTGATGTGGCCCACGGGCCTCTTGTTTGAAAATATGTTCTTCCTTTCCTGCCATATCTTAAAATGGACAAACATTGGAAATTCATTCTTAGCAGAAGGATTTTTTAGGAGTCAAGACTGTGTTAGGACTTTGATGACCCAAGCTAGTTAATAAGGTCACTTGAGCAAGCTCAATGAAACTTGCAGAAAAATCTGAGTCTTGTCTTTATCTTTTAAAGAAAAATGTATGCAGCACTTTAAAAAATTGCATTAAGGGAAGTGCAGTATCTCTAGTTCAACATATTGCTCACTTATTTGCAGTACATGTACCAACAAAAGCTGAAAAAATAATGCATAAAACAGAACCGCTGTGGCCTGGACTTCCAGTGTCCGACATGGATGAACTTCGTAAAGTGACATTTTCTGTTGGAATGATTCATGGATTCAAATTGACTGGAAGTGTGTTTAGAGTTGGGAAGGACAAAATATTTACTGCATGGCATGTAGTTAGAGGAATAATATGTAAGTGGAATTGTTTCAAACCAAATACTCAAATGTACTATCAAAGATCAAACCTTAGCTATTTTTTTTTTCATTAGATTGAATGGTAGAATAATCATCTTCCTTTACCTATATGTAAAGTTCAGGGATGTAATAATTATGGTACTAAAGAATACTGTTGACAGAAAAACTTCCCATTTAAACATCAAAAGTCAAGGGGGATTCTAATGGCAACATCCAAAACACTATATCCTGATATACATGTATGTGTGAAGTAACAGATCATCCTCAACAAATTTATAATTTTCATTTACCAGTGTCAAATGTGGAAACTTAAAAATCAACCTAAATTGTAGTATAATGTACACATATTTTTCTTTTGTTTTACCTTAATAAGTAAGAAGTTTTAAAATTTACTGCAATTTATGAATATTTCTATGGAATAGGTAATCACTTTGCCATAAACAATTGTTTTTACCAGGTAATATGTGGTCCTGAGAAAGTATACACATTTTTTACTTTTCAAAAGATGCAAAATTCGTGTCTTGGGCAAATTCTTATTACCTTGGTACCAATTTATCTTTATCAAAACAGTTATGTAACCAGACAAGGTACATAACCTGTACAAATAAGAATAAAGACCAGTTGACTTTGATTAAAATCATCTTTCTTTCAGGTGTTGATAATCATTCCAGAAGGCTGGATTATAAACGTTTGGCAGACCCTGGTGTGTTTGTAGACTTTGGGTATGAAGAAACATACCAGGCAGACTGTATGAACAGATTTCCAGTAGAACCCAATGTTCTGTACTACAATGAGAAACTGGACATTGCTGTTCTTCAACTGAAGCAAAATACTTATGGAATGCCATTTCCAAAAGCACTGACAAACTTCGATAAGTTTACACAGGAAATGCATGAAAATCATCCAATATATCTGGTTGGGCATACAAATGCACTCCGGAAGAGTTTGGACTTGGTTATGAAATACTGGCATCCTTTTGATCATCGTATCAAAGAATTAAGTGAGTGGTATGAGAATGAATTTGATTTTAAACATGGATACGGTTTTACTGGCATTAAAGATAAAACCCGCCTTCTTTTTCAATGCCAATTTCGCCATGGAGCATCTGGTTGCCCTGGTTTTATTGTTCGATCCAAGGGAGATATACGGGTGGTAACTGTTCTTCTGAGGGGATTCCCAGATTTCTACTATTTCAGTAATTTCACAGAGGAAGAAAGGCTAAGAGTTCCTATAGACAAACTAATACAGCAAGGTTCTGACATGGAGGCTATCTGGAAGGATGTGGAAAGTAAAAACAAGGAACTCTACAGAGAGATTTTTCATTACAAGGACTATATTTCTCATTCAGAGAAAAATCAACCTGTCGCTACTCCTTCAGAAGAAAAAGTTCTGAACTTTCCCCAGAGTCCTGCATCCACTGGGAATGAGAGGAAGTCTGAAAGTTCAGGTGGTGCTGTGACCTGCATACCCAGAGTAGCTTCAGGGAAAGATCCTCTGGTGATGCTTGCATCAGGTAAATCTCAGGCCATAACAGGAAGTGACAAGGTCCCAACAGAAAGCACTTCAGATACTGGTGAAAAGCAACCTGAGGCTACAATCCACACTCAAGAAATCCCTGTACAGCATGAAAGAGTCCAAACTGAAGAAAATAATACCAGCTCCACAGTAGGATCTCAGCTCTCTGGTGAAAGAAACAACACCTCAGAGCAAACTGTTGATGATGCACAAACAGTCAGGAGTTCAGGTGGTGATGGAAGTCGTTGCTCCACCTCTTCGTTTAACAGACAGATGTCTGAAATCACTACCTCTGCTTTTGAATCAGAATGTGCAGAGATCAGACAACAAGCTAACAACAGCAAGTCTGCAAGTGCAAGCAAAGTGTGGTAGTAATCTACACCATAAACTGTGATAAAAGTGAACTATGCCCTCTCCCCCCTTCCCTCCCAAAAAATTCTGTGCCAATTACATTAACTTGAAAAATTTCCCAATGCAAAGAATTGAAATTAGATTCTGCTTAGATGGAGCAGCAGAATTATTTTAAAACAAGTCCAGCAAAGAAAATTTTATTTAAACAAACCTTATATGTATAGATTGAACTGTTAATTTTGTCATTTTCAAGTGATTAGTGTTGCACATTGAAAGATGGATAGGCTACACTAACATACATTACATGGACGTTCTTTTTCTGGGCAAAGCTTTCATAATACATGTGTATTAAATTTTGTTTTGTTTATATAATGATATTCATACATGTATATGAATCTAATAAGTTGTGAAAACTTTTAGCAAAAATTCAAGAGGAGCATTTTATTTCACATCTTATTGTAACCTCACTTAACAAGGGTATTTTTCTTTCAGAATATTTTGGTTGTGATCCAAGTGTAGTATTAAGTTGATTAACATAAAAGGTTGTAAATATTCATTGTACATATGTATCAACTTTCCAAAGAAGTCTTTCATATTTATGTCATATTAAAGATACTCCAAAAAGTCAGTTATTACAAGTTTTATTCAAATTTTATTGAAAGTAGAAAAAATGTTGCTGATATGCATATAAAATGAAAAATTATGCATGAAACATTTTCAATTGTGTGTGATGGAAAATGTTATGAGACAGACACAACATTATCTGCATACAATTTATTGCTTGTTTTTCTTGCAGTGTTTTAATAAAACGTTGTGGAACTGAGTCAGATTTGCATTGGTTCTGACACTCTTAGGATCAAAATGAGTTCTACTCGCTCTGTATCCTTCTGATCTCAAAAAGCTCAGCAGTTTTCTCATCCTGCAAAAAAATCACAAAGTGGATGTTGATTTTATCTTTGAAATTCCTTTTTTTTTTTTAAATATTCATTTTGAAATGTTTCTTGAAGTGGCTTGGGATTAAGTTAAATACAGTCAAACCTCGTTATCTCAAACTCGATGGGACCGAGAAAAAAACTTCGACATATCCAAGGATTAAAGATATTGGGGGTAAAATACCGGTACTATAAGAATAAGTGGTTAGGGGTTAGGACTTACAAATCACTTTGACATATCCATGGTTTTCAAGATATCAGTGTTTGAGATACCGAAGTTCAACTGTACATACCTGTACATATAGTTTGAAATGCCTAATCATGTCTTGACTTTTCATTTACCAATGGCAAGACTCAGAAATGCTAATTGTATTTAATTTGAACAACCAATGTACATTCAATATGAACAAAAGAAAAAAAAATATCCTGGTCCAGGAATAGAATGATTAAACAGGAAGCCCATGGTAATAGGGAGTTTTTCTAATATCAAAATTAATATACACAATCTACTTGTATCTGATATACATGTATATCATGTTTCTCAAGTTGCTTTCCTAAACTTTTATAGCCCAAACAAACTTTTAACAAATTTCTTTAATAAACAACAAACATTAATTGTATTTAGATTCTCCCATAGAATTTTTTGTGACTTGTGAGTACACTATATCAGTTCTTGTATCAATGCTTGTATTATGTATCTTGTATACTTACTTTGGAATGACAACATCTTTGAATCTCCTTTTATGTAGGTTGATGTAAAATGGAGGATGGACTATACTAGTGTCTTTTGAGACACCTATTTTTGGCTTTTTGGAGACTGGTTCATCTGTATCGCAGAGTAAAGTGTCAGAGAAATCAGAATAAGAACAGATAGCTTCTTCCTGGATTGTCAGCAGAACTTTCTTTAATTGTTCACTTAATACTGGTAACTCATCTGATGGCTTCAGTAAATTTGAGATGAAAGTGGAATCAAATATTTTTCCTGACCTATATTGATAATGTGGTAACTGTATCAATTATATATCTCATAGAATATGATAAAATAAATAAATAAATAGTCTTTAAATTTGAATCACTTGTCTATAAAATACATGTATCTGCAAGCAACTTTGTTTATTTTATAAACAATTTACACCATAACAAAGTTATGTGACGGTCTAGCTCTCTGTGCACATTAGCTTACCATGTTGACGTCACAATATTAAACAAGTTACTTTTCCCCATATAAATTAGGCCCTGCCTCCTTATATATAACTTTAAAGTGAGCTGCATTACGAACATTCATGATTTTATTTGGAACATATCGGTACTTTTCATATGATTAAAAGAAATTGCTAGGTGTTCCGAATAAGTGTGTATTAGTTCATCAAACTGACGCACCTTTCTGCAGGGAATCAGTCTTTTTATGGTGATTTTCAGGGAATCAGCAAAGTATATCGATTTACTCTTATAAAGTGAAAAATCAGTAGAGGTATAATAATACAAAGTAACTTTAAAATTTAAGTATGCACAAGCACTAAAACTACCAATGTAATTTGCCTAAAATTATAAACTGTTACAAAATTTACTTCATTAACCTTAATAAGGAAATACATATTATATAGAGGGGAAAAGTGATAAGACCAACAAGAGGTGCATATTAATTTAAATTTATTTCTTGTTAACCATTCTTCTTCTCAGATGTCATAGAATCAGTTAAGAAATATGGGTTCAGTGTCAGAGCTGTTTTAGTTATGAAACAAAGTTATCTCCCTTGAAACACAATATATTTTTGACTGAAGAAAAAAAACAACTTTATCTAATATTATAATAGCAGGAAAAATCATTCAACACAGTTGGAATTGTTTAGACACAGTAAATACAACTGGAATTCTTTAGATACATATAAATACAATTATAATTGTTAAGATACATATGAATACACACCACATTGGTCCCAGTACAACAGCTGTTCTTCCCGGTACCTCTTCATGACAGGAACATGGCAATAAGCTGTATGGATTTTCTGTTAAAAGAGTTTTGTACAATTCACTATGAGATGGGGTCTATTTGTCACCTGACTAATATCAGTAAAGATTGCCATTTAAACATCAATTGTTTTTTTTTAAACTCTGTAATAAGACATACCATGGTAGATAAGAGAAGAATTTTACTTAAATTGTTCAGATGAATGAAAGGGTAAAATTCAAAGGAAAAAAATAGGCTAAAATATCCTCCATATTTATCAATATTAAATGCAGTTGCAATGAAATTTATGCTTGATGTTAAGTATGTACTGGACTCGAACAATTCGTATCTACTAGTGAAAGATCATCACAATACTCAAGTTGTATCCTCACCTACTAGTAAAATAATGCTGGTAAAATTACACATGACTCAAGTTACAACCTCCCTTACTGGAAAAATTACACCACATATGACTTAAGTTACAACCTCCTTCCTTACTGGTAAAATAACACCACACATGACTCAAGATACAACCTTCTTTACTCAAGTTACAACCTCCCTTAGTGGTGAAAAAACTCTACATATGACTCAAGTTGTACCCTCACCTACAGGTAAAATAACACAACACATGACTCAAGTTACATCCTCATCTACTGCTAAAATAGCACCACATGATACACAATTACATTCTCACTGGTGAAAAAACACTACATATGACTCAAATTATAGCCTCACCTACTGGTTAAATAACACCACATATGACTGAAGTTACAGCCTCATCTACTGGTAAAATAACACCACATAATACTCCAGTTACATCCTCACCCACTGGTGGAGGAACACACATATGACTCAAGTTACATCCTCACCCACTGGTGGGGGAACACCACATAATACTCCAGTTACATCCTCACCCACTGGTGGAGGAACTCCACATACGACTAAAATTACATCCACACCCACTGGTGGAGGAACACCACATACGACTTAAGTTATGTCCTTACCAACTGGAGTAAGACAAAAATATAGCCTTACCAACTGCTGTTTGACCACCATTTAAGACCAAAGTTATACTCTCGCCTACTGATCAAAGACCACAAAGACCCAAATTATATCCTCACTTATTGGTGTAATACCATCATATAAGACCCATGTTATATCCTCTCTTAATAGTGTAATACCACCACATAAGACCCATGTTATATCCTCTCTTAATAGTGTAATACCACCACATAAGACCCATGTTATATCCCCTCTTATTGGTGTAATACCACCACATAAGACCCATGTTATATCCTCTCTTATTGGTGTAATACCACCACATAAGATCCATGTTATATCCTCTCTTATTGGTGTAATACCACCACATAAGACCCATGTTATATCCTCTCTTATTGGTGTAATACCACCACATAAGATCCATGTTATATCCTCTCTTATTGGTGTAATACCACCACATAAGACATATGTTATAACCTTACCTACTGGTGTAAGACCACCAGGAAGAAAACATCGCTCCTCACAAATCTGACAATGCAGTTGTTCTTTAATCTGATCCAGGCTTTTGTCAGCATTTTGTGGTCCTCTGCATACCCTCAATACAATCAAAAAAGTGTCCTCTATGCAGGCTGTCAGTAAAACATCCAGTCCTTTGTTACATCTAGAGGCTGATCTGGTGGATAAACAGTAACATTACATGTAATACTAAAGCAGAAACTGATAGTTATAAAAATTTTATACTGTGCAAGATAAGCAGTTGAATGGTTGTTTGGGTCTGAATCTGGGGGAAAGGAAATGTATTTAGTTTGGCAATTGAACCTAAAATCATGGAAGTTTTTTTTTAATAAGGTAATATAACATAAACTTTGAGAAATCATTTTTGATCTATGAAAGGGTAAACAATTTGTCTTTATAAACCCATAATATCCTGATATATCGCTGTAGCAATTCATTAACTCTAATAAAATTTATAAAGTAATAGTCTCATGAATCATTTTTGTTGACTGTTTTAAATGATATATAAATCAATAGCGAGAACATAAACAAAACATAATCTTCCAACTACAACAAAATATCTTAATTTCCATTTTCTTTTATATAAACAGAATAATTCACCAATGACATTGGATAACTGGGACAGAAGTTTTGGACAAATATCTGTATTATGTGCAAAATTTTATCAATTACCGATATCATGAATACTTGGAATAAGATGGCTAACCTGACAGCACAAGCAATGATAACTCTAACAGCCATCTCCCTCATGTAGTCCACCTTCATCACATGGGCATGACAATAACGCCTTATCACGTTAGCTGTCCTCGTAAACTGAATAGAAATGTCTGATGATGTCAGACACAACAAACCATCGTTGCGTAAATTACTAAACACAGAATCAAAGTAATTTGTCACATGACCTTCTGGTTGAAGAAATCTACAAAATGTAGAAAATTCTACTCACTTTTATGAGAATATTCATATAATCCAGTCAGATAAAACTATTACATACTGGTAATTTGTTACACATTTTCCATTAACTTGATGCTTTAGCCAAGTATATTAAATAAAAGCTGCCTCAACATGACTAATATGCCTGCCATGCACACCCAAAAGACTGGATACTGACATCATGTGCAAGTGCACATTTACATCTCCTCTCAAGTCCCTTTTTCACACAGAGAGAAGAAACTCACATGAAATCAAAGGCTTCCAGATGTAATAGAACATTTGGTTGGCACTGACAAATGTGAACTTCATCGTCTTTCTGCTTCAGCTCAACATCACCGGGTTGTCTTTCAAATGAAAAATTAAATTCAGACCACAGAAAATCTGAAGCTTGACAGTTTCTTTTGATTGCATCTACTGCTTTGTTCTGTGCTATGAGAACATTAAGCTTAGATGAAAAGTGTTTCTTCCATTGCAATCCAGCAATGCCTGTAAGAGAGAATAGACTTGAATAATGAACTCACAAACAGAAAGCAAAATAAGACTGATAAAGTGCATTTAAAAGTTACCATCTTCATTCTGTAAATCAACACAAAAGATTGGTTTTGAAGATAGCGTTGAATTGAGTAGGCGTAGTATACATTCCCTGAAAAATATATGCACATATTAGGCTGAATTTCATTGGAATATAATGAACAGTGGAAAATTTCATTGAGCACTCAAGTATTGGACTATAAGCTTTTTCATATGGCTAACAAATTTTGAATGAATCATTAAATGTAGCTACATAGCTTGAATTACCTACATAGCTTTATTTAGCATGTTTAGCTACTTGAAGTAGCATAATTTAGATATTTTGATGCAAAAATCTCAAGTATGCTACTACTAATATTTGTACTATGGAGTTCTTAAAAAAAGCAACCCAGAGCAAAGATAGTTTTAATTTTGTTGCTTTTGAACACTTTTAAGCAACAGATGCATTTCCATTGTTTGAATAAGTGTACACCACCTTGTGTGTGGTGGGGTATGGATATTATTAGTTATCCAGGTCCAATCAAGGGTGTACAGGAATATATCCACGGTTTTATTCCATACAACCTGAGACCAAAGGCTGAAAGATATATGAAATACAACCCAAGGTAAATTCCCTTTCATCCTTGATTGGACCTGGATAATGAATTTATTTCCTATGTATCCAAATAAATTCATAGTAAACCCAAGTCCACTCAATTCTTTGTAAACTGTGTTTAAAGCTATCGATAAGATTTACTACAAAGCAACATGACATCATGTTATTTGCTTTTTATCATAGAGAAACTATACATTGCGACGTCACGTTTTTTACCCCCGGCTCAAGTCGGGTGTACGGAAATTTACACCTGACTTTGTAACCAATCAAAGCTCGCGTTACAAACTACATAGGAAAAAATGTTCTTTACCCCTGCCTCAAGCAGGGTGTACATAAATTTACACCCGGCTTGCTAACCAATAAAATCTCATATTACAAGCTAGATAGGAAATAAGTATATGATCACTTTACATTGTACTGAATCAATTATCATGTTAACCAGAACTGGTCTTTAGTTTTTATGCCCCCGGATCGAAAGATCCCGGGGGTATATTGTTTTTGTCCTGTCTGTCTGTTTGTCTGTTTATCTGTTTGTCTGTTTATCTGTTTGTCCGTTTGTCTGTTTGTCTGTCTGTCTGTTGTCAACTTTAACCTTGCCCATAACTTTTGATTGGTTGGAGCTATGACTTTCATATTTCACATGTGTATTCCTTGTGACAAGACCTTTCTTTGGGTACCATCATATTTGACCTTTTGACCTTGGAGTTTGACCTACTTTTGCAAAATTTTATGAGACTTTAACCTTGGCCATAACTTCTGAACAGTTGGTGCTTGGGGTTTCAAACTTCACATGTGTATTCTTTGTGACAAGGCCTTCCTTTGGATACCAACAACTTTGACCTTTTGACCTTGACCTTGGAGTTTGACCTACTTTTGAAAAACTTTAACCTTGGCCATAACTTTTGAACAGTTGGTGCTTAGGGTTTCAAACTTCACATGTGTATTCCTTGTGACAAGACCTTCCTCTGGATATCAACCACTTTGACCCTTTGACCTTGACCTAGGAGTTTGACCTACTTTTGAAAAACTTTAACCTTGGCCATAACTTTTGAATGGTTGGAGCTAGGGCTTTCATACTTCACATATGTAATCCTTGCGACAAGACCTTCCTTTGGATATCAACCACCACTTTGACCTTATGACCTTGACCTAGGAGTTTGACCTACTTTTGAAAAACTTTAACCTTGGCCATAACTTTTGAATGGTTGATGCTAGGGCTTTCATACTTCACATATGTAATCCTTGTGACAAGACCTTCCTTTGGGTACCAACCACTTTGACCCTTTGACCTTGACCTACTTTTGAAAAACTTTAAACTTGGCCATAACTTTTAAATGGTTGGTGCTAGGGCTTTCATACTTCACAAATGTAATCCTTGTGACAAGATCTTCCTTTGGACACCAACCACTTTGACCTTGACCTTGACGTTTGATTTTTATTTAAAAAACTTTAACCTTCGCCATAACTTTTGAACAGTTGTATCTAGGTCTTTCAAATTTCACAGGTGTATTCCTCGAGACAAGACCTTTCTTTGGGTATCAACATTTCTTATCTTTTGGCCTGGATTTTGAGTTGCATTTGAAGAAACTTTAACCTTCGCCATAAGCTGCCATATGGGGGCATCAGTGTTTCACAAACACATCTTGTTGTTATTTCATTCTAGAAGTAACTGTTTGATCACAAATTAACTGTTTTGTATAGTCCCAAACTATCACAACTTTGATTGCAATTGCACTAAAGGAGACACATCTTGAAAAGTTATTTTTTATGCATTGTTTTTAGATCAATTCAAAGTTGAAAACTATAATCACTGCAGTAAAATGCAATAAAAAAAATCATTTAAAAAATAAGTGTGATTTACCGGTAGTAGCTAAATAAAGCTATACCAAGTTGCTAAATAAAGCTATGCTGGTAATTTAAGCTACCTAGCTAATAGGGATGCACGATTTTATCTGTATACCAGTATATCCTGATTTTTCATTGTGAAATACGTATCATGATACGGAGACTAAAATATCGGTATTAAATATATAATTTATTATAAATTCCGAAAAATAATTCACTTATTTGTTCAAAATTTAAATAACAATTGCTAGAAGTGTAAAATGTTGTACCGGTAAAACAACGGCATCCTAGCATCCAAATATGCTTTGTTTATATATAAATTAAAATCTAAAAATAGTTTAATTACATTTTCACAATAGATTTGTTAGAAGAATTATATATAATTATTCATTTAAAAAAATAGTAAAAATCAAGTGTAAAAATATCATGATATTACCGTGATATTCATGGAAAAAATCGTGATATATTGCGATACGAAATTTCTGCCAATACTCATCCCTCATAGCTAAATGTACCGATTGTACCAGACCTGTCATAAATAAATACTGTAGTCAGGACTATAGCTAGCAACAGGTCTGGTACAATCACCAGATTTAGCTACATAACTTGAATTACCTACATAGCTCTATTTACCTACCTGAAGTAAGCTTTATTTAGCTACCAAATCAATCTTATTTCTTATATTGGCATTTTTCTCGGGAAAATCACACTTTGATGCAGTGATAATTTTCAACTTTAAACTCATCTGCAAACAATTCATGGAAAAATCACACTTGAAATGTGTCTTTTTCTGTGCAATTTCTTAAAGTTTTGGGGCTATATATATTCTCTATTGAGAAGTTGATGGCTCGTTTTAATACTAAAACGAGCCATCAACTTCTCAATAGAGAATAGGGCTATATACAGATATACAGCTGATATACAACAATTAATTTGTGATCAAACAGTTTAACTGTGAACAACTGACTTAATCAATGAACATAAAATATATTGCAATACATTTCCATTGAAAGGTAATAAAACTTATTTCCATCCTTTTTGTGCCCTATATGATAAAATACGTTCAAAGCCATTAAACCATTTCACACTATGAGTTCGAATTTACTCTGTTTGCAATATAAAATTCACTAACACTGGGCATACCTGATTACTTTCAACTTGTTGTTATTTACATTTTGTTTTGACTTCTTCTCCGAGCCTGTTTTTACTGTGACTTTTACATCAAACTCTACAAACTGCGCAATTTCAATACATGTAGAATTATTTGAGCGCAACACTTCCATTACTTCAACTACTCTTACCTTTAGTTTACAGAAGATTTCCATTTTAGATTCGCACTGAGTTGATTCGCATAAACAGATAAAATTCAGTTTATGGAATGCTAATGACAGTAGTTCATCAATACAGGGACTAACCAGTTAGTATACAGTTCCCTGGTGAATGTGAATTAAGAATTACAATAGGGACTCGATTTCAGGATGTATTTTGTGTATTGTATGTTCTAATGCGATCAATAAAATTAAAAATTAAAACCGCTGAAATACGGGGTGAGAAAAATAAACAGGGTATATACTCCGAAATGGGAGTTTTCTGTCCCATCATGCAATTTACAAGAAGAGAAACTCTTGGTTGTATTTTATCTTAAAACTAATTTCCTTTCACTTCCTGAGCATAATTAGTGATGCAAACTACCATTAACGTGACATAAACACACGATCATAATTATAGTAAATTCTTAGACATACATGTACATGTATTTGCCGGCACGTCGATTTACCCAAATGGACCCAAATGGAACTCAAAATGGACCCAAATGGAAATCAAATGGAAACCGAATGGAATATTAAATATATATTATCGTATTATCAAGTTGTTACTTATTTAAAATGATGAAAATGATGAAATGGCGAATATTAATAAATTATTAATTTCTAATATTGTATTTTAATACGATTTAATTTTCTTTAGTATTATATATACATCGGCAAAATTATGCCCCCCCCCCCCCCCCGTTCCCTCGGCCATGAAAACTATATAAATTTTAAAATGAAATACTTCAATTTTGTATTCAATGATATGCAAAAGTTATTACAAATAGAAAAAAGAAATTACTTGCATGTATGTATGTACTTTTGTATATGTTTTAGTAGTCTGAAAACACACTGTTTTTCATTTTATATGTAACATGGTTGTATGCCAACATGTTTGGTGAATCAATAAATAAATTGAAATTGAAAATTGTATTTTAAAATCAATATTAGAAATGAAAAATTAATATTCTATATTTGCAAGTTCATTATTTTCATCATTTTAAATAAGTAACAACTTGAGAATACGATGATATATGTTTAATATTCCATTTGGGTCCATTTGATTTCCATTTGGGTTTCCATTTGGGTAAATCGACGCACCCTGTATTTGCTTTAAATCTATGATAATCGATGCAAACAAATCACATTCAATTAAGCAAATTAGGAAAAATATTGAATATAATACATTTCAGTGTTTTATAATTTCAAATATCTATTGTTTTTTGTCTGTTCATCAAAATATAAAATATGAAACCTATAATGAACAATATTTCAACTCAAAATACACCATCCTGTAAACCAATCGCCTATTAGAAGAACACACAATACACAAAATTTACACAATCTTGAAACTGAGCCCCTATATAGAATAGCATTATCATAAACCCCCGATTTTAGAGTGAGATCCCGGATCACTTAATTTTCCTTATCATGATAAGGTGATTTGATCTAGTACTACTATTTGAGATGACGAGCTAAAATCCAAATTAGTACATGTCTCTGTTACACTGCTGCAAGGCCATCGGACCGAAGGTGCGTTGGAGGGTTCGAAATTCACTATATACAACTCGCAAAACGCGAGTTAGAATTCCCAAATTGCGAGTTAAAAATTAGGTAACTCGCAAAAACTTGCGAGTTAATTTTTTTGCATTGAAACTGTAACAAAATTACATAGTATGACAGAACACAATGCTTTTGATTTAAATCAGTAATTTAACTAAAAGTCACACTGTAGTTGTATTTTGTGTATTGTACAGTAGTTACTTTTTCCTTAAGTTACATGTACAGCATGTATTTAATTTATATATAATTTAACTTTATATGAAAATTGCGAGTAGTCTTATAAAATTGCGAGTTCACTTTCTTGGTACTCGCAATTATTTGCGAGTTGTAATTTTAGGGAGTTTCTAACCCTGGTTGGGTGGACCCCCCTTCCCCCCCTTTCAAAAAAAGTACATATCTTTTTTTAAATAAAATAAATTCATCATATGCAATACTGTTTAAAGTACTGCTGCTAGATTTTCACTATAAATATGTGAAAAATTACTTCGAGAATGCAACAGAACCCACCAAGATGATAGAAAACGGGGCGGCCCAGTACTACTTTTACTACATCTACAATCTGATTAAAACCAGATCTTTGTTATCTAATTCTGATAGTGCTGTACAGAGACGGAGCATAACAAAGATCTGATTTTAATGAGATGTGTCAGTTATATATTTTGTTGAAAATATCATTGGAGTTTTTGTTAAATTTTTAATTGCAATGGGCCACCGTAGACTCTAGACCCGAACGGCACTCGGCACTCATCGATCGATTCCGTAGGTCACGGAATCAGACGAAGTTTGTCAACTGTACACATCTCCGTTTGTTTCATGTCGCGATGGAGGGAGATACAGTTGAAGGTACACAGCTTCATTACGGCGATTTCATTGTCATCGCTGGATATTTTGCTTTTGTCTTATTTATAGGATTATGGGTATGTATTGAGATATATATATTTCTAGAATTTAGAATGCATTGTGAACAAAATAATGTTTGACACAATTTTATGACGTTTGGGTCTATCGAACTGGTGCATCTGCATGTGAGATGCTGCATACTCCTACTCCTACAAGTAATACATCATGACATAGGCCTAAATTTAGTTGTTTTTAAAAACGTTAAGGGTTATTTCAAGTAGAAATGAGTATGAGCCATTAATGCTGGTAAAAATCAATGAAACGTAAATCCACTGAAGTTTGAAAGAAAAGGAAACAAGAAAATTTGCGGTTTTCGACAATGGAATATTCGCGAATGCACTAGCCTAGGCATGCTCAAGTAACTTAGTTGGCAAATATTAGCGTTCGAATATTCGCGATTAAATGTATCTTTCATGTCCATGGAAATCCAGGCTTGCTATTTAAATTTTTAGTTTAATTAAAAATGAGAAAAAAAATAAGGTGACTATAGTATACACGTGGATCAGCTAGATTCCAAATTTTCATGATGCACAATCTTTTTTTTTTCTCTCTCTTGATCAATTTTTTTGTTTTGCTGAATTGCAGAAAAATGGGGGGGGGGGGCAAAATAGACATGTTTTTGCTTCATGTAGGAGAATGAACAGAATGTATTATAGGCCTATAGATCTATAATTTTATTTGTTGATAAACATGGTTACCTATATTTTTTCAGTAACATGTACAATTAATTTTGAACAATTTTACATTTTTTAAATCAAATAAATAGAAAGAATTTGATTATTTTCTATACAGGTTATATGTTCTTTGTTTTGAACATATTAAACAGTATTTTTCCTAAGAATTGGCTATTGGCCAAATTGACCACCTCAGTTGATAAAAATGCTGCTTAGAAATCAAAAATTTAAAATATAATTGTTGTAAAGCCCATAGAGATTTTGTTCCTAAACCCCAACCCCTAGCCTGTTACAATTGATCTCTAACCATTTACTTTGAAATAAAGGGAAATTTAAATTATTTATTAAGATTTTAGGGATTGACATAATTTACAAAAACTTAGGTAGTTTCTTTAAAATATTAAGCATCATTTAGCTTCAACAACTTTCATTTTGTAAGGATCCTTAGATCCTGTATTATAATAGTTAAAGAAAGATTTGAAAACAATTACAAGCAACAAATAAATATGAAATACTTCAGTTGATATTAAAATGATGAAATAGTAGTTCTTTCCAAAGTTAAAAGCACAGAATATCATATAATAAAAGTACATTAACTTAAGTATGAACCATTGATATCTTTGTAGCAAACACCACACTTATAAACTCAGTAACTGACAATGATGAAAGAGAACAAAAGTTCCAATTTTATTTTCAGCTCCATCCTATTTGGACAGGATGCGAATACATATAGAGTTGTCTTAATTAATTGTGTCAGAGTTGAGTGTGATCTCCACGTTATGATATTTGTATTCAGGAAAACATTTTAATACCCTGCATTGACTGAAATATTTTTTTTTAAAAGATAAAATATTATTGTAATATTTATATGAGATTCTCAATGTTAAAGTTCAGATGATCTTTATTATATGTCACCGTTATTAAATTTAAATTCCGATGTTTAGTTGGGCATTTAATCTTTGTCACTGACATGTAAGACGTGTGTCTCGTGTAATGGAATAAATATGAACCTAGCATTGTATTTAATGCATGTATAGCCTATCTAAATAGATAGATTAGATTTCTTCAAGAGGAGCAACTAACTTTCGTGAATACACTTGTATCTAGGTTAATAACACTCTTTGCACAAAAGATTGACCAAGCATATATAGCCTTTTTTGTAAATGTTTAAAAACTAGGTAATGAAATGGTGTTCAAATTTTTCCACAAAGTTGAATAATTTATGTAGAAATTTCTTTCTACTAAACACTTTGAACTCTCAAAGAAAAGCCCAGTAAAAAAAAAATCCTAAAATCTTTAAAATTATGTGTTCTTTTATTCAGTAATTTAATAAATTTATATTTGATAAATAAATATGAAACAAAGAAACTTGATGACATAACTTTGTAGATAATTATAGACCTAGAAACCACCAGTATTATTGAAGTACATAAATTCAATAATCAATGTGTTTTCATAAGGAAAATCCATAAAATCATTTATACTTTGCACAAAGAAAGTTAAAGCACGTGATGATCTGATGATGAATTACATATACACATCACTAGGAACATAGGTGTCTTAGCAAACAGAGAGAGGAGAGTCCTCTCCAAATCTCAGACCATCTCTCAAATATGACATGGATCCTGTCAACCATGGAATTTTACAGTGTATTTAAGGTACAACTAGGTCCTCTAGATTGATTGTCATTTGCATCTGGTCTTTTGTAGGTCAAGATTGCTCTATAATGCAGCCCCCCTCCCCCCAACCCACTCTCCTCTGTTTCTTTACAAATAAAAGATAGTGAACCTTAGTATCATAATAAGTTAAACAATCTTCAAAGAGCACTGAGCACTTTGGTCTTTTCAGTGTGTTCAGATATATTCAAGGGAAAGCTTTAGTACTTAATTCACATTAACCAAGACAGAAAAGTTGTGTGACACAGATGGGATGATATAGTTTGTAACCAAACCAACAACATTCACTGCAGTAATGGAAAATGCACTGATGTGTTAAATTGCAATACAGTATGCAGTCTTGCAGCCACAACAACTTTTGATTCATAAGAAAATTAAAAAAATATTTGTATTTAGATGTAGTTTACCAATTGAATGAATCTTTGTTTTATTCTGTTTTAATATATACATGTTTATTCATGAATCAAGGGTCCTCAGGGGGCATATACAATTATTTCGGAATGATTACATATAAAAATAATATTAAAGTATATTGTAGTTAATAAGAAAGAATATAAATCATATCTATCATGAAGGTACAAATGGAAGATTTACAAAAGGCTACCACAAATAAGATACTCGTGAAAATGCAAGATTTGCAATATAATCACAATAGTCTGAATCTGGGTCAAAAATATTGAGTAGGAAGAAAGTATTTCCCAGGGAGTATATCCTTTAAGGACAGCTATAGTTAAATGCTTGGATCAGTAATGCATGAATTTAAAATGAGTTTGAAAGGCTAAATGTAATTTTTATTTTATGATAGAATTTTAAATTTAATGCATTAATTGAGATCAGTTTTGAAAGCAAAAAATTTATTTTCATATCATGAGGCCAAATTAAATCTTTAGATAGTATTAACAGAGGTACATGTAAGAGAAATGAAGCCAACCCAGACATGTTTATTTTAGATCGATGTGATTATTTTTTTCTTTTTAACAGGAAACAGGTTTTTCAGCTCAGGTTTCACAAAGGGTTATTTTTCTGGTAAGCTGAAACTGGTCAATAATAAACTAACTGTAAGATATGGTTTCTGAATGTTTTTCACAAACCAATCCAAATTGTGTTAAGCTTAAAAAGCAGGTAACTGGAAATTTTATTATTCTTATATAGCAGTTGTTCAGTGCTCCAAGGGACATCAATATTTATAAATTTTCCCAAAGTTAAAATTGATTAAATAACATTTACTTCAATTGTGAAATTGTTTTCACAGATCCAATTGATTATAATGACAGCAAGTTATATTTTGTTAGTCCTGTAGTGTGAACCATGATACCCAGTAAAATAAAAAATTAAAACAAATGATTGATGACCACCAGGACTATGATGGGAGCCACAGTAAGATCTCTCTCTACTGATGTAAAAACAGAAAGTCTGTGATATCATTATGTCAAATATTTTAATTTCCTCATAATCTAAGAGATTCAGGGACATATAGTTTATATATATCTGTCTGTCTGTTTGCAAAAAATCTTTAACCTTGCCCATAACTTTTGATTAGTTGGAGCTACATATTTCACATGTGTATTCCTTGTGATAAGACCTTCCTTTGGATACCTATAATTTTGACTTTTACCTTAGAATTGACCCACTTTTGCAAAATTTTACCAAACTTTAACATTGGCCATAACTTTTGAATGGTTAGTGCTAGGTCTTTCATATTTCACGTGTATTTCTTGTGAGAAAACCTTTCTTTGGTTACCAACAGAAAAGTTAATTGTGACCTTTTGACTTTGACTTTGGAGTTTGATCTAGCTTTTGAAAAACTTTAGCCTTGGCCATAACTTTAGAATGGTGGTGCTAGTGCTTTCGTATTTCACTTGTGTATTATTTGTGACAAGACCTTCCCTTGGGTACCAACAATTTTTTACCTTTTGACCTTGACCTAGGAGTATGACCTACTTAAAAAAAAATTGAGTCTTGGCCATAACTTTAAAACAGTTGGTGGAAGGTCTTTCATGTTTCACTTGTGTATTCTTTGTGACGACCTTCCCGAGGCACCAAAGTTTTTTTACCTCATAACATTGACCTTGGCATTTGATCTACTTTTAAAAAACTTCAACCTTGACCATAATTTTTTGAATGGTTGGTGCAAGGGCTTTCATATTTCACATGTATATTCCTTTTTACAAGATTTTTTTGAATCCAACATTTTTGATCTCTTGACCTTGACAATGGAGTTTGTCTTGCATTTTAGAGACTAACCTTGGCAATGATCTGTCAGGGCTCTCACACCACTTTTTTGGAATGGGACTGGGGCCATAAAGATTGGGAAGATAACAACCTTTTGAGAATTTTTGGGATAACCATTTTACTTTAAAACCATGATATATATATATATATATATATATATATATATATATATATATATATATATATATATATATATATATATATATATATATGTTGAGTTTCTGGTCTTTGTTATCAACTAAATTTCAAATTTCTGTTTTACAATACAGAGGAATATGAATAGCAAGTTTTGTTATTATATATCAAGCTATATTTTCTTTAATTTTTGGGAGAAATGACTATTGGGGAAAATTAACACATGCATTGGGAAAAAGGTACTTTATTTGAATTGGGAATAGGGCCCTTAAACAGCCCAACTATAGACAATCAAGAACCCTGGCTGTCATATGGGGGCATCAGTGTTTCACAAGTTTTATACATCTTGTTTCCTTTTTGTGCACCTTCTTACTTCACCCATAAAATGTGCATTGTTTCAGTTTGCACAGTAATTTTGAGTGAAGTTGTAAAGGACAATCAAAAACAAACCATTGTAACTTCTAACACATGGTTAGAACAGATTTTTTTTTAGATTCCTATTCCAGAGAATATTTTCTTTGCTCTTTTGGAAAATCTGATTTATTCTTATGTCCATAAACTGTACCTGGGAAAAGACTGAGCAGTGACCTGGGATGTTAATGGCTTTGTAGCTCTTTGTAGAGCTAGGATCTTGAATGATATGCTAGCCTAACAGCTATGTAGGAATAACAAGCATTAATTCACACAGAATATTCAATAGACTTATACCTAGCCTAGCAGCTCTAGGCCAACTGCTACAATCTAGAAAACAGCTCTAGATCAAACATTTTAAGTTCAGAGGTCAAGGTTAAAAGCTAAGTAGAATTGTGAAAATGACTTATCTGATCTATCTATTAACCATTTCCTTAGTTGAGTCTTGTATGTGTTTTAATAAAAGCACCATCTCAATCTAGAGATTATCTTTTCAAAACTGTCATAAGCAGTGCAATTCTTATACTGAGGATATAGATGAAAACGATAGGGAAAATTAGAAAGTAGAACACAAACATTTAAACTTAGCCAGTGCATTAGAAATTTAGAATATATTACAACTTAATAAAATATGCTAATATCATAATGAGAAATGGGCAGTAAGAACACTAATACATTTTCCCACAGATCCATGAAATTCAACATATAAATGTGTTGAAATCTTAGAGTACATATTAAGAAGATATAACAGTTTTTTTAGCCCCTGCATCAATTATTGACTAGTCTGGTCTTCATTCAGTTTACCAAAGTTAAATAGGCCAAGGAGCCAATAAATTCCTCTGTTACTGACTGTACTAGCACAGTACTAGGTAACCACATAGGAGTTTTGAGTGTTTGCAATGGAAGGAGCTTTACATTTATCTTATCTTTTTCTTTGGGAATACATTTATCTTATTAGGATACATCTAGGACATATATAAGGAAAAGAAAGCATACAAAGAAAAGAACAAAGATAGAATTTTGAGGTTAAACACTCACAGATACCTGTAATTGTGTACTCCAGTTTAATTTTGTCAAATTTTTATGTGTACCAAGTATTTTGATTAATTTCTTCTTTTACATGTATATCCATAGCTTTAAAAATCCTTTGCTTGATAATCATCAAACCTCTTATGCATAGGTTGGCAATGAAAAATGATGACGGCCCCATTGATTTTTAAGAGGAAAAGGTCAAAGGACATTTGGTTTTCTGCTGTTTCTTCATCAAATATTGAACCAATACCTTTCATAGTCATCTGCTTGTAATAAAGTCATCAAAATTTGTTCACAGATTAGTCACAATGAATTAAATATTCTTACCCTTAGTTATTTTCAGGTTAAGGAAAATAAATAAAAATGTAGAACATTTAAAGCCACAGTAGGGACAAATGGTTTTCGCATCCTGACAAAACCTTTAGGCTGAACTCAAATGTTCAGGGAACTTGCTTTTATTAAATATAAATGTAAAATAAGGGTGACATTAATAAGAAATCAGTTGACTAGAAAACTTGGATTACAGGGGCATAGTTAGATCACAATATGGGATAAAAAAAATTAAATTTCTTTCAGAAAATTGGATTAAAAAAGAAATCATTTCCTCAATAACAGCAAGAATGCAATAAATTAAAATATTTTTAGGATTTCCATGATTGTTGGTTCAAACTTGTCCCTATATCCCCATTTACAAATGTCAAAGGCAACTTGTTTATCAAGTTACTAACAAAAAAAATGTTCCTTCTTTTTAGAGAGAGAGAGAGAGAGAATAATGAACCTGTATCTTCTGTTTGGTTGATACAAAATCTTTTCCAGAAAATATTCATTTAATGTCATTAATCTTGTCACAAATGCTTCTGAGAACCACAAGCTGATGAAAGAGTGTGACTTAATTGTATGTTTTGGCCTACATTCTTCTTGCTTATTCAGTAACACATACAGTTTTTGTTGAGCTCACCAGAGTTCTTGTAAATTACTCAATAAATACCTAAGATTTTTTATGGTTCCTGTCTCTTTGATGCTGGTGTTTAACAGAAATTTAATGACAATATCTGTCCATCTGCTTGTCACTAACAGTCAGTTTATGAGTGAAACTTAACTTGAATACTTTTCCAAATGATTTAATATTTATTATACAGGTAGATGATGGTTAAGAAGGACATTTATTGCATTTACTAAATGTGATCTATGGATGCATTCAGAGTTTAAGAAGATGAGATTTTACGAAGCATATGAAAAATATTTTTCTTTTGACAGACTTCTCGGCAAAACCGGGGCAGTGCAGGAGGGTATTTTCTCGCAGGAAGAAATATGCACTGGATACCAGTAAGATATTTTTTTTTTACGAAGTATGAGTTTTGTTAAATAAAATATGGGTCTTAATATGCAGTGTTATTTTCATAAAATTATTTGCTATGCTTGCAACTTTGATTTTGATGAAATATAAGAAGTTTATATGTGACACAGTCCCCATATATGTTTTAGCTAGAGAATGGTCAAGAACTTTGAATTCATTACAAACTGGCCAAGCTGCCATCAAAAAGAAAGTATGAATTCATTGTTCAGGCCATAATTCACTTGTAGTAGTCTTTGTTTATAAGCAAAGGAAAAACGCATACGTACATTTTAATAATTCAACACATAGGACTGGTTTAGGTCTTGTGGAATATTGGAATTATGATATTCTTGTAAGGGCCATCATTTCTTATTTAAAGTAGAAATCTGTCTGTAGGACATGAAAACCCTGCCTAAGGTACATTTGCAATGCAACAGTGAAAAAATTTATCTTCCATTTTTGGTCTAAGATTGATTCAACCCATCTATTATCTAATATTTAAAGAAAAGCCTCATTATTTCAAGTTCATGAAATGAAGGTCAAGGTCAGACAATAATGCCAAAGTTGAATAGCTCTCATTGGTATGTATTGGTGTATGAATTTTGGTTAAAATATCTTAAACAGTTTCTTTGAAACTGAGCTAAACACAAAGTCTAGTGATGGACGGATGGAGGACGGACATGACAAACACTATATGCGCTAGCCACATTCATGGTGGGGCATATTGAAAGCTGATCCTTACTGTCATCACAAAAGTTGCACGTGACCCAAAGACAAAATGGCAAATTGGGATATGTTTTGAGGGAAACTGGAGGTCAATTCACAGAAAAAGATAAAGTATTGTTCTGATCAATTATCACACTCAATTTTTCTTTAAAATGGTTTTTCATGAATTTGAGGAACATGTTCGAGCATATCTTAATCAACGGTTATTCTGAAGCGCCATCAAAAAAGGTGAATATATTCAAAGTCATACCAAGTGAAGAAAAAACATGAAAAAAAAAACAGGTCTGAAACTAGGGCATTGAAATAAACTATGCTTTATGTGCATCTGGTCTAGTTATGTTGGCCTGTCATTCATTTTGATTTAGAAACATGACTAGTCCAAGGAAAAGATGTCCTATTATTTGGAAAAGATAATTAATCTGCTAAGTTCAAACTTTACTAAATTACAGCTTTGATGATTTGTTCAATTATAGGTGGGAGCCTCCCTGTTTGCCAGTAACATAGGAAGTATCCACTTTGTTGGATTAGCAGGATCTGGAGCTGCATCAGGAATAGCTATTGGCCTATATGAACTTAATGTATGTACGCAAACCATGCAACTTCATAATGATAAACCAGATAAAATGTAGACTGACATTTAAAAAGAAGGATGTTAGTAGCACAGGGTCTAAAGTTCACAGGCTGTGAACAATATTGAGAGACGTGTACACAGTAACACGTACATGATAGTTTGACTTGCTGAATGAATCAATGTACCGGTATATTCTTTGCTGAAATATGAATGCCATAAGGCATACTTGCATTCGTCATTAATATGAGTAAGAAACCATCAATGAAAACCTTAAAATTCATAAACCAAGCCTCTATATAGGAATTAGGAATTAGAGGGCTAAGTTGGCAATGTTAATGTATTAAGGAAAACTGTAAAACTGTATTCCTGTAAATTCCTGAACCCTGATTCCAAGATGTAGACCCCAGGGTGGGTGTAAATTCCCTGTCTGGAGTATATTTTCTTTCCCCTTGGCCCAGTTAGGGTCAGATTTCATCTATAGGGTTCCCCTGGTAGAGGATGTGCAGTGACCTTGAACCACTTTTCTAGATCAAAGGTCAAGGAAAAAGAAATCTCTTTGTAAAGTTTTGTCTGGAGCATATTTGTTCTCCTCTTGGGCCAGTTTGACTCAAATTTCACCCATAGATGCCCTTGGGTAGAGGGTGTGCAGTGACCTTAAACCAATTTTGTAGGTCTAAGGTCACGGTCAAAAAACTCCTCTGTAAATTCCTTGTTTTAAGCACATTTTCTTTCTCCTTGGCGTTGTTGGGAAATATTGATTTTATTATATTGCATCTCTTACATATCATCATACTATTTCTTTACTACATTTTTTAAAAATATTTTTTCAGCTGCTTTTTTCTTGTAGTCAATGAAATTTGAAATTCTGGATGAAATAAATATTTACAAAAATTTATTTTTTAATACTTTTACTTATTTACCCCCCCCCCCCCCCCCCCCCGAAAAAAAAAAGCAACAGGGGTTGAAATTTTCCTGGAAAACCCACAAGTCCAGGGGCCACAAATCAGCAAAAAAATTACTAGCCCAAACCTCAAACTAACTAGCCCAACAATATTTTTATGCAGAATGAAAACATAACAAATTAAAGTTTCAAATGCTTTGGTGACCGAAACAAATTAATTAATTCTTAGTCAAAAGAAATCATTGTACATATAGAAAAAGTGAAAGTAAACTGACAAGAATTTTTTTCTGTTCTGCTAGTCCGATGGACTATCGTTACATTTAAATTAGCTAGCCTGAGTCTTAAAATGACTAGCCCCGGGTGTCAAGCTACTGTATATTTCAACCCCTGAATATTTTATTTCCTTAAAACTAAGATGAATCCTAAGTACTAAATGGTCCTCTCGAAAACCTGCCCTTTAGAATTACCTTGCATCCTAATGTCCTTTGCTAAAAGCAGGCCATTTGAAATGGTCTGACACCATCTCAATGATGACTAGTCACTAAATCATTCAAGGTGTGAATGTGTACTTGAATCATTCAAAGCCATGCACAGGGCCTTTACATGTATTCCAGATATATGCTAGGAAAATAATAATTTCTATTTGATTATCATGTTTTGTTGAATAAATCCACTTTCTCTCCTTTTTCCAGGCTCTATATATCCTTATGTTATTGGGGTACATTTTTCTACCTGTGTATATTGCATCAGGTGTAAGTATAACTCAATATCATAAGAACAAAAATACTTTGAATTTTCAAATTTTTATCAAGCATCTTCTTTAGATAACATTAAAGTTTTATTAAAGCAAATGAATATCAATTTTAACACAAAAAAACATGTAATTCAAATTGTTTTTTTACGTTGAAGGTTTACACCATGCCTGAGTATCTGAAGTGTCGATTTGGAGGGCAGAGAATCCAGATCTATATGGCTGTCTTAGCTCTTCTTGTGTACATCTTCACTAAAATCTCAGTAAGTTGTCCAGATGTCATTTATTGAATATCTTATTAATTAAAGTAACATTTGTTTTCCTTTAAGGATAATAAACAAATTTTTACTCCTTTTCTTCCAGGCAGACTTGTATGCTGGGGCATTATTCATAGAGCAGTCCATGCATTGGAATCTCTATTTGTCCATTCTATTACTGCTGAGTATTGCCACAATTTTTACAATTACTGGTAATTGTTACATATTTATACTCTAAAGCATATGTTAAATTACGAAAAATATATGAAAATAAAAAAAAATTCAAATTCTTCTTTTTCATTAACTTGCTCAATTAAGAAATTAGGTGAGGGAGGTATTGCTTCCTACAAATATTCATAAAACATGTTTTTCATCAGAAGACTTGGTGCAAAGAGTACAGTTTACAAGTCTTAAAATTCGTCAACTTAATGCCTATGCATCTGGATAAAAAATATATAGCTTAAATTTCTAAAACATCATGGTCTTTGGCTGACATTATTTAGACAATTAAGTAACTGGTGAATATCATATGGCACATCAGCCTCTTAGTGTATATTCTTGTGACATTGTTAAAAAAATTGTGCAAAATTAATTTTTGTGCTAATTTTAAACTATTAAACCATTCAGCTCTCTGTTTTATTTTATATTTTTGCTCTTTTACAATAATTGTCAAAGGCCAAAGTCCAATTTCCACTTAGGCCAACAAAAAAAAAATAGTCTTGTTTCGTGCTACCAGCCTGAAAAAAAATAGGGTAGGTTGGTAGGAAAATCATTTTTTTTTCCTACGGCATTTTTTGGATATAAACTAATACAAGATCAAATCAAACATGTCACAGGTCAGTATTGTCTTTTAAAATTAAATTTCATGTCTTTTGATGCACAACTCAAGTGGTATTTCATGGAAGTCCAAATTTAAAACGTAGAATTTTCCCAAAACTAAAAAAAAAACTTTAGGGTCGGGCACAAAAAAAATGGTCGGTCGGGTAGCAGGAAACAAGACTATTATTTTTTTGGCCTTAAAGACTGAGTTAATAGTGACAATCTATAAAGACTGCTTTTGTTTTCTACAGCAATAAAAATAGGGCACAAGATTAAATTCATAGTTGCATGAAAGTTTTAAAAGTGTGTGATGCTTGATAATGAAGAGAAAAATGATCTCTTTTTAGTGATTTTTAAAGAAAACAGAAGGATCTTTATATTGCATGTTAAGTGGTAATATTGTAGCTTAGTTTAAAAGATTTTTTTCTCTGTGTTTGTCTCTGTGTAGTACTACATGCAAGACATTGTCTACATTAGATGTTTGTTATGTATTTTAGGTGGACTGACAGCAGTGATATGGACAGATTTTATACAGACTATAATCATGATAATTGGAGCATTGGTGCTAATGGGCTTGAGTAAGTCAACACTTTGTGTTTGAAATGACATAGGATTGGGATTGGGAAGTTAATGGCAATCTTTGACCATTTTTACCTGTTGCATAGAGATCAGATTGAAACAGATAATATCTTCAGGAGTCAACATAACACTGCTTAACTTCATTCACAAGTAATCAAGATATATGATGCAGATGTGTACAGGTTGATGAAACACAACCATTCCTCAAAGGAAAAAAAAATATATGTATCAAAAGTAACAAAATACAGAATGTGGACATTTATTACATTTTCAATAATGAAATACTGTGATTTATTTATTGAATAAAAGTGATATTCTCTCACAGTGTGAAAGGATACCAAAGTGATATTCTCTCACAGTGTGAAAGCTAGGATATCAAAGTATTAGTAAAAAAAAATAATTTCTGGCCTGTCGTAAGATTGTAACTAAACCATCTTTATAGAGACTAAAACTGCCAGTATTTCTTCCCAAATATGTTGCTAAAATCCAATGTACGTTACAATGTTTTTAATCTCATATTTGCTAAGATATGACATACGTCTCAACTGCTCAACTATGATGTCACAGCCTATGACACTGTGTTAAGAAAAGCCAGAGGCAAAGAGAAAAATCAAAGAAAATGTAATAAACGGAAAATTCAATGTTTTGTAGTTGGATATGGAATTTATTTCACTCGTGAGACAGGATTTTCAGATATTTTCTCTCGTGCTTTGCACTCGTGAAAATATAAAAAAAAATCCTGTCCCACTCGTGAAATAAATTCCATATCCAACTTCAAAACAATGAATATCCTCTACATGTATATATTTTATTCAGAACCCTCAGAATAGTGCAGATTTGATACAAAGTAAGTTTTTTTTAGCTCACCTGAGCCGAAGGCTAAAGTGAGCTTTTCTGATCAAAAAGTGTCCGGTCTCCGTCTGTCTTCTGTAAACTTATCACAATTTTGACTTCTTCTGAAGAACCACCTCTCCAATTTCAACCAAACTTGCCACAAAGCATCCTGTGGTGAAAGGTATTCAAGTTTGTTCACAGGAAGTGCCTCACCCTCTTTCAAGGGGAGATGGTTAAGAATTCGTGAAAATTTGGTGGCATCTTTTAAATCTTCTTCTCAAGAACCACTGGGCAAGAAAAGATGAAACTTATGTGAAAGCATAATTACATACTCTAGATTCACATTTGTTCATATCATAATCTCCGGGGGTAGGTCGGGCCCACAAAAGTGAGTCAAAGTTTTACATAGGAATAAATAAGAAATGTCTTTAAAAATCTTCTTCTCAAGAACAGCAAAGCCATGATGAGTCATATTATTACAGAAGTATCCTCAGGTAGTGTAGATTCAAGTTTGTTCCAATGTTGACCACTGGGGGTAGGGCAGGGCCACAACTTGGGGGGGTCAAAGTTTATCATAGGAATATATAGGAGATATCTTTAAAAATCTTCTCAAGAACAGCTAAGCCATTATTAGACATATTAATACAGAAGTATCCTCAGGTAGTGTATGCTTAAGTTTGTACAAATTGTGACCCCTGGGGGTAGGGCGGGGCCACAGTAGTGGGTCAAGGTTTACATAGGAATACATAGGTGTAATGGTTAAGGGGCATTTGAGTAAAATGCATTGAAGACTTCAAATAGTGGAATGACCTGACAACCGTTGGAATGGACTAGCCTAAGGGTATATAAGGCAAAGCTTTGGGAAAGTCGGGCATTCAGAAGGTAGCTGTAGAATGATGAATGAATCATGGATGATCAAGTTTAGATAAATTATAACCTTTTGAGGTATCTGGTCAAAACAACTGGGCCAAGGTGACTCAGGTGAGTGTTGTGGCCCATGTGCCTCTTGTTTTATGAAATTTTGAGATGGTTACATATAAAATGCAGGCTTTGCAAAGGTTGGTGGGTTAAATGGAATAGTGGAGAAATACCCTCATGCCATTGCAAACACAACAAAATATTCCAACACAACCTGTGGAGTGCCTAGAGAAGATTACATGCATCTGTTCCGGGACCCAGTGACAGGAGACTTGCCATGGCCAGGAATCGTGGGAATGTCTATAAACTCCATCTGGTACTGGTGTTCTGATCAGGTAATAGTTAAAGTAGTAATCAGTATGGTTAAGTGAACAATACTATTACATGATCTTTGTCCAGAAAGGTTCAAAGACTGGACCTTATTTCCGCTCTCAGACACTTAAAGATAACACAGTTGGATTGGAGATATGATAAAGATTTGTTCATAGGGATTTCTCTTAGATAAATTAATTTACATTAATGAATATAATATAGGTGATTGTTCAGAGAGCACTTGCAGGCAAGACCTTTGACCATGCTAAGGCAGGAACGGTGCTGTGTGCCTTCATCAAAATACTCCCCCTCTTCTTACTGGTATTCCCAGGAATGGTCTCAAGGATATTGTTTCCAGGTATGATCTATTCCTATATTGTATTACTCAGTGCTACTCAGTTTATAGAAACCATAGTTCATACATTTAAACTATAATCTGTATACTCAAGAAATATAAAAGAACTACTAGAAGATTCTGATGCCTTTAAAAGAGGTAAGATGTAAATTGTGAAGAAGAACATTTACTTAAGGAATTGTTTCTTTTTACACACACAAAATTTCTTGGTAGCTGAAAATCTATTAGGATTTAAAACATTTAAAAAATTGTGTTGAGTGATGCTTGTCTGCTTTATTTTTAACATTCACCACTGTTTCAGCATATTCAAGGAAGAAGGATGACAAATGATTTATCCAATTGTTCATTTAATTGCATGAAACCTGTAAGAGGTTGTGAATTTCATGCATTTTATTTAAAAAAAAAATTCAGTAAAGACCTTTTTTTTTTTTTTGCTTTTTTAGAAAATATTTTGCAAATTTTAGCTAAAGATTTTGAATCAAAAAGATTTCCAAGGAATGAGAACTGATATGTCTTCGATAGTTCAGCCAGGGTCAGAATTTCAATCTGTTCCATATCAGACTGAAGATTTTGTATTTTAAAAATGACCATGTCGTCACAAATTTGATGACAAAGTTGAACTGATTGGGAGATCACTTGTGGCAAGGAAATGTTGAAATCAGTGCAGTTAGAGTTGTTTCCTTCTGAAAAACTTTATAGAAAAAAAGGGGAGGGGGAATCAAAGTTTATAAAATACAATTTAATAATAATGCTGATTTTATTATAGCATGGTGTGTGAAAAGGTTTGTATTCATTGGTTTAGAAGGTTTGTTCTTGTGACCTGCTTGTGAAAGTTGATCAATGGAAACCGATTAAAAGATTTCATTGTTACATATTTTTGCTGATTATTATACTTTTATAAAAGGGCTATTTTGAAAGTGAACCTGAATGTATATTTCAGATAAAACTTTATTTTCCTGATAAGTTGGAATATTCAGCAAGAAGTGAAATACTGAAATTGATGATAATATTTCCTTGACCGTACTTTCTAAATACTGATATCTGTGTGTTTGCACTTTATCACACTACTTTGTTACTTATTTGTCTTACAAAAGAATTGATGAAGCCCCACAATCTCTTTGCAAGCCAACTTTTTCCGATTCATTTCTTGGCTTACAAAGACTTGGCCTGTCTTACTAGCAAATGCAGGTTTTTTTTTTTTTTTTTTTTTTTTTGTACTGTAGATGTGATTGGACTTGGAGTAATTAATGGACTTAGTTTATATTGCTTGACCAATCACCCGCTATTGTCCTGCATGACAATTTTTGCATTTTTGTTCAGGGTGTTTTTGATGAATGACCTCATCATAGATAAGCCAATGTGGATGTAATGTGATCTGGTGTCTACATTGCAGGCTTGTAGCATATCAGATCCCTGCTTCTTGAATATTCTTTATGTGGTATTGTCAGATACATGGCTTCCTACTAGCTTGGGCTAGTGGGTTAACCCTTTAGCTCAATCAGTAGAGCACTGTACTGGCAAGCCAGAGGCCCCGGGTTCAATCCCCAGCAGAGGCACATAAATGTCTCTGTTACATTTAAATACTTTTAATTATGAATTGGTAGGAATTGAGATCACATGACATAGCAGTAAACAATCCCGAATTTAAATAGTATGATAGGCCAAGGATTTTTGAGAAGAGAAAGACATCAGAAACATTTTGCTAGTGAAGATGCCCCACAATATGCATGTAGTTGAATAGAATATGTAAAACTGCATGAATATTTTTCTGATACCTACATGTATTAACATGATTTACACAACTTTGCATACTTATATATCCACCTCCTACAAAAATTGTGATGTTTCCAAAACTTCATTTCCCAAAAATTTGGCAGTACATATGTAGTATTTTTCTGCATTTTTTCATTGTCAAAAATTTGGCAGTACATATGGCAATACATATATATATATATATATATATATATATGCAGAACTTCCTGAAATTTTTAATTCTTTTTAAGTTTGTCTATTTTAAATTTATGACATGCAGAAGGAACAAGCTTTCATATGACCTAGATTTTCAGTATCAATCACGGATAACTTGTACCCATATTTTTTTTTATCGATTCTTAAAATTGACACTAAAAATCTAATGCATTTTCCTGAATTTAATTCCTCAGTGGTTTTTGCCACAACTGACCAGCACCATGAATAATATGTTTTGATGCTAGTGAAAAGTAGTTCAGAAACTCTCATTGCATGAGCTAATTTACCTGACAGTGTGTTGTTTCGTATTTACTCTTTTTCTAAATTTTCACAAAATGCTGTAAAATACAACATTAAAAATTCTAAATCAATATTTAATAGATCAATATTCAGCAAATGATTCTGTTAGTAGAAAAGGGAAATCCTAAACTTTAAGGGAATGAAATTTATCTGAAAACCAAGTGCATTCATTCTTAAACCACACACAAACACACATGCACACACAGAAATATGTACTAATATAATAATAACATTTGATTTGTTTGATGGCAATATGTGTCTTGTATCGTAAATCATGTCTCTTCACCACTATTGAACTAATTTCCTCTTCATGTCATTTCTATCATCTGTTTAGTTTTTGCTCATTATTTTAATTTCATATGTTTTGTTTGCTTGCAATACTATTTTGTTTAGAGATTTTTATTTTATCGGGAGTTGCCAGTTTATGCGCAAATTAATGTTCAGTAATTAAAACTATTCAAGGTGAACTCTCAAGGACAAAATTATTTTATCCATCTACATATCTGTTTATGATCATTGCCTTTGTCGATAGTATTATTGATTCAATATTTTTCCGAATCTTTTTATGAAACAATATTTACCATTTCTGAATTAATAATTATACAATATCCAAGGATATGAATTTCATTAAGATTTATTTTCTAATTATAAGACACATTACTTCAGTATTTATAAGCAAATATTCCATTTAATCATGCATGTGTTTGCTGTATTAAACAGACTTATTGTATTGGTGTAAACTGTATCACTCTTGCTAATAACTAACATGGCCACTAAAAAATTTTATTCGCTTATAGACATTTAACCTCCTGTCCATAGTTCACTTCCTAGGATGGGGATAAAATTATTTTTGAAAATACATTACGTATTGAAATTTTTTTTTACTTCAGGACATCTAACAAACAGACTAGTTGTAGAAATAATTGAGTAATAAACTACATGTATTTGTATGATAATAATAAGCAAGGACCTCTCTACCAAAGATGTAAAACTTAATGTATCTCCCAGTCTATGGTGATCTAGTCCAGAGTTTGAATCCAAGAAGGCACCAAGTAGATAATGTATTGATATTGCACTATGTCTTTAAAAACACCTTCTTTTTTAATGCTGGACATATCTCCCAGATAATTCTGTCAGAGCAACAAGCCCTTTACAAAAAAATGTGAAATTTGTTTAACGTTTATTTCATTTTTGACCAGATTTAATTCAAAGCAGTTAAAATAATCTTTGGTAACTGAAATTCCCAATTTTTATCACAAAATTATAAGGAAAACTGCCTGCCCGATACGTATTGGAAGTTTTTTTTTTCCGATATAATACATTCCTGAATATCGATACGTATTGATTAATCAATATATTGACACAGCCCTATTCACTAAGTGTAATACAGCATCTGTTTTGAAGTGACCTTGTACATTCAGTATCTCAAACACTGATATCTCCAATACCATGGATATGTCAAAGTGATTGGAAAGTCCCAAACACTTATTCTTTACATATTTTACCCTTGATATCTCGAATCCTCTGATACCTCGAACTTTTTTTCTCTGTCCCATTGAGTTTGAGATAACAAGGTTTGACTGTATTACAATTTTGCATTCATTATGTTGTTCTTTATTGCATTCTCTTTTAAGAAAACTGTTTTCAAAATTTCCATTGTTTAGGTAGATTTTTCTAATAGTTTCAAAAAAAAAAAATCTTTATTCTGAATTTAGGAAGGGGAAAAGGGGGGGGGGGGTAAGTGGGGGTGAAGACAATAAAAATGCTGTAAGGGGACTAAGCAATCTTGTTAGATTGTAACTAAACCTTTGGTGCAGAAATCATGAAATCAGACGTAATATAAATGCAGAGCACAGAAATACCTATGATTTATAATGCCTGAAATTATTTTACTATGTTTGATTTAATTCCCATTGACCATTCCTACGTTCTTTTTGAAGTAGATCCACAAAGCTGATGTTCAGATGATTTTCTTTAAACTATAACCTTCAGTTCTTGTATATCTGAAAAAGATTTTATTTTTTTGAGCTGAAGCATGAAGGCCTATGTATATATTTCCTTTGTCCTTTACTAACTAGCCCATTGGTGAAATGTAGATAACACACATGTGGAGAAAGTCTTCATCTGTACAGAAACCAACTTTGTAAACATGCAGTTCTTTTTACAGCATGTATAATTATACATGTAAAAGTTGAATCGTGTGTTATGGTTGTACAAATTTATTAACTTGCAATCGAATGGAAATGTTAAAATCAAAAAATTACAATGATCTTGAAATTGTTAATCAGATGGATTTTCTTTCAGGAAATTTGTATGCATAATTATACAATTTATCTTTAATCTTTCAGTTTAAAATGAAGAGGATTCATGTCTGCATGAGACTCCGAGATATAATGATAAGACCAGTATGTCATTAATTGAGACCCTCTCCATTCAACACAGTCTGTCCTTGTCTCAATGTATATAAAATACCAGACTAAACAGTTGAAAATCAGAATATGGAGAGATGCATGTTATTTTACCTGCTTTGGCTACAAGCAAATTATAGCATTGTTTTCTAGTGCTTTCAATTGGGGCTGTATGAAAATAGCAGACACCAATTTTACGCCATGTAAATAAGTTATTATCTTGGAGGTCAATGTCGATATATAATTTTTTTGTGGAATAATTCACATACTTACTCTATATAATATTGTATCTGATATAGAAGTACAACTTGGTTTTTCACACTTTTTTCATAATAAAAAAAGGATATGGTGATAAAATCGGAAGAATTCAGTGAACTGTAGGTATGAAGAGCACAACGAAAAGAAGATTTTTATACAACTAATGACATTAATCGGACATTAATTGCCAGACACTTTATGTTCATAAATGTGTCTGATTCAGTATTTCTATTAAAATATCACTTCCATGTTTCATTTAATCTAGAGGCTGAGGAGAGCTATAAAAAGGGAGAAAATATTTTAGAGTTTTGATAATAATACGTTGAAACATTGATCCTCAGAATTTTAAGCTTGATGGGATACTTTGAGAGGATGTTGAAGGAGGTGAAATGAATTGTTTAATTTATTATTTTGAATAGTAACTGTATCATCTGGTATCTTGAATCTGCATCTTGAAGCACATTTGTAATATGGTAAATAATTTGATCATGTTTTATGTCATAATTGATTCACCATTTGTAGGATTGAGAGTGATTTTACCACTGAAAATTAATACTTTAACACTCAAAAAAGTTTGAAATTTTCATAACTAATTTTAATGCATTTGTTAGAAAGAAAATAAATACACATATAGGGTCATTGGTAACAACCAAAAAAAATTGAAAATCTGGTATCAGGTGACTAAACTATAACTAGGCAATGCAATTGAGTGTGTTCAAGAGGCTTTGTTGGAAGTTTGTGATATTACTGTTAAGATTACTGTATGTGTACTTAAAAAAATGGTCTTCATATTTTAGCAGCTTTGGCGCAGACAACGATGCACTAATTCATGAATACCGTTAAGAAATCATTTATAAATACAATATACGGCACGTACATGTATAGCGCTAATTCATGATTTCGCCAACAGCTCCATACCCTGATTGCGCTAAATTTTGAATACGCCAATTTATGTACACGTACAGTATTCTTTGTTGCTCAAGTCTGTATGTTATGACACATTTTCTTTCTGTATCTAAAACTTAATTGACTCTCTGCTATCCTTTATATTTTCATTTTACATGTTGAAAAATATGGAAGAGAGCAAAGTTTGATTCAGAATTGTTAACATACTGACTTGAGCATGTTGATTTAAGTCTCAGTGAGATATCCTCTTTTCTACAGACACTGTAGGCTGTGCTGACCCTGAAGTGTGTATGTCTGTCTGTGGAAGTGAGACTGGTTGTAGTAATATTGCGTACCCCACACTCGTCATAAACTTAATGCCAGCAGGTAGGTGAAGCAGGATATTTACATCCACTGAATATTATTTCCTTTATTTCTTATAAAAACCATTGCAGCTAATCAGTCCATAAACAACACTAAGCAAGCCACCAGCATAGATTTTTTTAAGCAACGGCTGTTCCATCAATTATGCATACAATGACATACACATCTATTATACAGTATTTAACATATTTAATTTACTTTGAATGTTTTTTTTTTTTTAACAAAGATATAAATATAAACAATAAAATGTCTTTCTTTGTTTGTTAGTAAGGTAATTAACATTGCAGCTATTGCAGAAAAAATTTTTAAAACCCGCCTACGCAGGTTGTGTATTTTTTCTGCAACAGCTGCGACATTAATTCCCATACTAACAACCAAAGAAAGCATTTTATTGTTTAAATAAACACAAAGTACTGAATATTGTAGGATTACAGATTTCTTTGAAAATTTAAATTTTATGTTTTATTGGCAAAAGTAAGACTTTAAAAAATATTATATTTATTTTAATGAGAAAAGTATGACATACTGTATGTAGGTTTTATGATTATACATGTACTCCTAATTTCAATGGTAGCACTAAGAAATATATAAGCATTATCAAAATTAATTGCATTTGTCTTTGTCATTCATGAAATGGAAAATTTCTATAACATTTCAAAAACTGTTACTTTCATAATCAGGATCTTTTAAATCTCAAAAGCCATATAACTTAATAGATACATTAATTTATTAGAAGTTTGTTCTTTATTAAAGGTGCCCGAGGGATGATGTTGGCAGTGATGATGGCTGCTCTCATGTCATCTCTGACCTCCATCTTTAACAGCAGTAGTACAATCTTTGCTATGGACATCTGGACCAGGATCAGAAAGCAGGCCTCGGAGTTAGAGATCATGATTGTCGGAAGGTAGGGTAATTCTTTGGTGTTGCATTTCTGCAGAATTTCTGCTGTAAATGAATATGTTTGATAAATATACAGTCAAACCTCATTATCAGACTCGATGGGACAAAAGGAAAAAACTTTAAGATATTCGGGGATTCAATAACGTAGTTCAATTAGATTTTTGGTCTCCATTGACTAACTTGAAAAAACTTTTGGTCAGGTGATCATTTTTGCATTAAGGTGTAAAATGGGTTGGAATAAAAAGTTACAATCTAATATGAAATTTTTTTATGTGGACAGAGTTTCTCTTTCTTATTTTGAAAATAAGAAGGGCCAATTATAATGAAATATGACAGTTATTTATTATAGTTGTACACATAAATTAAGTTTTTTTTTAAGTAATGTAGCAACTAATGCATTGTTTACAGGCTGTTTGTATTGGTTTTGGTTGTTATAAGTATTGTCTGGATCCCAGTAATCCGGGCCTCTCAAGGGAGTGAACTCTTTGTCTACATCCAGGAAGTATCCAGTTTCATGCAGCCTCCCATTTGCTGTATCTTCTTGTTAGGATTGTTCTGGGAAAGATTGAATGAAGCGGTTGGTCTCTATTGTCACTATTTATAGGTTTTCAAAATTTGAATTATTATACCACATGAAAGTCAATACCGTTTAGGAAAAAAATGATATACGGTAGTTACAAATGGTTAGAAATTGATGTTACATTAATATTTGACCCACCTTTTTGTGACTATAAAATCTTTCTTTTACATTTACCAGATATGTATAAATCAATACAATTAATCTGTGTTTAGTCTTGTAACAAGCTTGATGTAATTGTTCTTCAATAACAATAACAAAAAGTGCTCTAAGAGACTTATGTCTTTATACAGGGTGCTTTCTATGGTTTGGTGATAGGGATGGTGATAGGGCTGGTCCGGTTTATTGTGGAGTATTCTTACTCCATGCCTAACTGTGTAGACAACCTACCTGACCCCCGCCCCTCCATCATCAAGGATTTCCACTACCTGTACTTTTCCTCTTTCCTGTTTGTTGTCACAGGACTGGTAGCCATTGGAGTTAGCCTTCTGACTAAACCCATTGACAAAAGATGTGTGAGTGTCATTGGAGAATGCAAAAAGTATATTGTCAATTAAGAGATATGTATTTAGTTGCATTGTCAGATAAATTACATTTACAGTATTTGGAAGAAGTAACACTAGTTAACCTTCATTTGAAATTGTACCCTCAATTGATTAAACCTTTTTAGCTCACCTCGACAAAGTCAAGATGAGCTTATGCTATATTGTTGGCGTTAGCGTCAACATCTCTGTTATTAGCTCACCTTGACGAAGTCGAGATGAGCTTATGCTATACTGTCGGCATTAGTGTTTTCATCCCAGATAAAGTTTTAGGAGCAAGTCCATACCCAAGTAGCTATAACATAAGCCCTACATGGCCAAAACTTGCATCAATGATGCATCTAAGGATGGACACTTCCAGACTTGCTTTGGATGTTGGAACTGACAGACAATTTCGTAATTAGTGACCAGGTTAATGTATTTGGAGCAGATCCATTTCCAAGAAACTATAAATCCTACTTAAACTAAACTTGCATGGATATTGATCTCGGGATGCACACTATCTAGAAAAGAGATTTGCCTGACTTATACTGATAACATTTGTTGAGGTGAGCTTTGTAATTTTTGATTACCTGTTTCCTCCCTCTACCTGAAAGCTTCGGAGGTTGACCTGGTGGACGAGACACAATGAGGACCCTCGTCTGGACATAGATGAGTGGTTAGCTGGACAGTCCAAAGACAGTGACGATGATAATTCATCTGTGGCAGCCAGTACAGAGAAAGAAAAAGGGGTAGAAATGGAGAATCTCACTCTCAAGAATGGGAAAGGTACGGGAACTCTTGTGCTGTCAGATTAAATTAACCAAGAGTATAAAAATGTAAAGTAGGGGGTTTAAAATAAGATTGTATTAGTCTGCATTGATTCAGCATAGAATTTTTTTTTTTACAGTTAAATTCACTGTCTGATAAGATTTACATGATTTCTCTTTTGTTCAAAGTTGTTTAAAACACAAGGTACATTTTATATAATTAAAAAGAATTTAAAACTGTCAATAAATCTGATTTCTCCCATCGCTTTATAGCTGAGGAGGCAGGACTGTCTGAAAAATTGGCCAACAAAGATGGAGAGTGTAACCAAGGAGACAGCCTGATGAAGACGGTGACATTGAGCACTGACCCAGAGATCCAGGTGGAGGAGGGTCCAGGTACTCAATTTTTTGTTTGTGGCATTGAATTATAATTCTGCTTTTTTTAATTGGATAAGATACTGGTAAATTTTTGGACAATTAATCTGCTCTTCTGTAATATACTTTTTACAGTGAATGGAGGGTTTATATTCAGATTCTTTTGAAGCATCTTCATCATTTTGTTTCTTGGTAAGAATGTAGCACTTGGCACGTTGGGTTTGTTCCTGATGGTTGCTTGCATGGCTCTTATTTCAGATATCAAATTTGATCTACGGTAATTTGATGGAATCTTTTCAAGGTGCTAATGTTATGGGAATTAACTTGATGTGCAACTCTTTTGGAGTTGATCAGTTTTAAACCATTGGAGTTTTAGAAATAAATGATTTGCTGTGGTCTAGATTTTGCTGTTTGCATATACAGAAAATATATATATATATGTACGTATGTATGTATGTAAGACTGTAGAGACTGATAGTCTCACCAAAGTCTGATGGTCTGCGCCAAACTCTGATGGTTTGGTGTCAATACAGATACTAAAAGTCTGATGGTCGCACCATAATTGTTTTCTATAAGACATGTAATGATAAAGTGTGATAATCAGATACTGCAACACAAAGTATGATGGTGTGGGAGAAAAAAAAATGAAAGTTTTCAATCTCTGGCTTTCAAATCCTTATCCAGGAAATTAGGGTTAGTCCTCAACTACTATTTGACTATTTTATTCAGATTGATTTTGGTTAGTTTTGTACTCTTCAAAAGTGATCAAGGTTAGTCTTTGGATTTGGGTTAGTTTTACACCCACCCAAGAGTTTATGTCTAGTTCTCACACAGTATTTAACTGATTTAGGGTTAGTCTCACACTAACCCAAAAGAATTGTTTTAGTTCTCACACACTATTGGACTAATAAGGGTTAGTCTCGCACCCACCAGAGAAATTAGGGTTACTCCTCACACTATTCAACTACCCACCTGAGTATTTAGTGGATTATAATAAGAGATACTGGTCTCTCACCCACCTTAGTATTTAGTGGATTATATTAAGAGATACAGCTGCAATTTTTTTTCAAAGATAGTTATTGAAATACATCAAACTTTGAAGTGGCAGCAACATTGCATTTAGTGCATGAATGTAGAACATCAGACTTTGGCATGCTGCACAATAGAACTGTGGCGACTGAACACGAGACATTGGCATATTGCATATCAAACCAGCAGGGTTTGGTGCAGAGCATCGCACTTTGGAGTCTACATTTATTTAAAATAAAATTAATATCTTAAGTATGCACATCCCAGAAAATATATGAAATAACAAAATCATACAAAATTTTTCTTTCTCCTCAATAACAGAGCACATGAATCCATCCCTCACCTGTAAGTTTTTTTCCCATTAACATTGCATGAATAATTTTTGCATTTAATGCTTTCTAATACTGGTGATGGGAGATTGTGTTGAAATAATTAATATGGTCATTTATAACTCAGCAAAAGGTATAGGAAGTAGACAGAAATGATGATTGAGTGGTGTTCATTGAATTATTCTTACTTTTTTAGCACAACTGAATCAAGATAAAGTCAGCTTGACCAGCAGCCATTTTGTATAATTGAATTAATGTCCAGTTACGAGAGCCCTATTCCCTTTGTTAATTACGCATAAACTGTTTTGTGTGACAATTACATGCAGCATCTGACCTATGTTATCTGTGGTACTAGGGTATAGAACATCATTTAATGCATCTTTGGACTTAAAAAAAGCTGTTCTATAATATCTCTATTTTTGTTGTTTTTTTCATTGAATTTGAAAAAAAATAATTATAATGGGTACAATTAGGTGCATGTATACTTTTCCATGCTTTAGATATGGAAATTATGGTATTTGTGCATCTGATCTGGCAAAAGATATGGATTCTAAACATAACACCTAACATGTTTCAGTGCTTTATTTTAATAAATTCAAATTTTAAGAAGTATGATGAAACTTTATAGCAACTTGTTACTCGAAGTTTGATAATAACCAATTTAGTGTAATTTTGTCTTGTTTTTGTTTGAAGAAAAATCATTTCCATTCCATTTCCACATTTCATTTTTTTAGATATTAAAGGAAAAATACATTTCATTTTAATCATCAACTTACCTACTAAATGACAGTTACATTCACTTGGCAGTAATAACAATGCCATGAAACAAACATGTTTTGTCAACAAATTTAAAAAAATTCAACAAACAAATCATCATGCAGCTCATAACATCTTTTTTTTTTTTAGCTCATCTGAGCTGAAGGCTCAAGTGAACTTTTCTGATCAAAGAGTTCCAGTTCATCTATCATCCGTCGTCTGTAAACTTTTCACATTTTCAACTCTTCTCAAGAACCACTGGGCCATTTTCAACCAAACTTGCCACAAAGCATCTTTGGGTGAAGGAGATTTAAATTCTTCACAGGAAGTGCTACACCCTCTTTCAAGGGGAGATAATTAAGAATTTGTGAAAATTTTGTGGCATCTTTCTAAAATCTTCTTCTCAAGAACCACTGTACAAGAAAAGATGAAACTTATGTGAAAGCTTACATTACATTACATAATCTAGATTCAAATTTGTTCATATTATAACCCCCAGGGGTAGGGCAGAGCCACAAGAGGGGATCAAAGTTTTAAATAGGAATATACAGTAAATGTCTTTAAAAAATCTTCTCGAGAACAGCAAAGCCATGATTAGTCATATTATTATAGAAGTATCCTCAGGTAGTGTAGATTCAAGTTTGTTCAAATCATGACCCCTGGGGGTTGGCACAGACACAACAGGGGGCCAAAGTTTTACATAGGAATATATAGGAAATATCTTTAAAAATTTTCTTCTCAAGAACAGCTAAGCCATTATTAGTCATATTAATAAAGATGTATCTTCAGGTAGTGTAGATTTAAGTTTGTTCAAATCATGACCCCCCAGGGGTAGGGCGGGACCACAACAGTGGGTCATTGTTTTACATAAGAATATATAGGTCTAATGTTTAAGGGGCATTGCAAATTGCAAATAAATAAATAAATTGCATTGAAGACTTCAAATAGTGGAATGACCTGACAACCCTTGGCATGGACTAGCCAAAGGTATATATAAGGCAAAGCTTTGGGAATGTCAGGCATTTAGAAGCTAGCTGAGCACCTGTGGCAAGTACCATAGGGAATTCATGTTAAGTTATTGATGTAGTAAATCTGAAGAAGATTGAAACACCCAGTTCTTATCTATCAATGGGAACCTAGGTGCAAGTAGTACCTTACCAAGTCCCCATCTCTTGATAAGAAAAATTTTTTTAGTACTGTGTGATTTACCCTCAGACAGAGCAGTCTTAATAATCATTCCAATCCTTCATTCAGAGTAAAAGGAAAACCTATATATTCATTGAAAGAACCTGATCATGCACATTACATAGGAAATATCTTTAAAAATCCTCTTCTGAAGAACAACTATTGGTCATATTTATACAGAAGCAAGCTTATTTATTGTAGAATTAAAATTTGTTCAAATTATGATCCCCCCAGGAGTTGGGGGGGGGAGGGGTGACAACAGAGAGGTCAAAGTTTTACATAGTAATATATAGGAATCATCTTGAAAGAATCTGCTGCTCAAGAACAGCAAAGCCATGTTCATTCATATTATTATAGAAGCATCCTCAGGTAGTAAAGATTAAAATTTGTTCAAATTTAGGGTGGGGCCACAATGAGTGATAAGAGTTTTAGGTATACATAGGGGGGGGGGGGTCTTAAAAATTCTTCTACTCAAGAACAGCAAAACCATGATTAGTAATTTTCATATGGAAGCATCCTGAGGCAGTGTAAATTTAAGTTTGCCCCCCCCCCGTAAACTTTTCAATGCTTTTTCTTAGCCAATGTACTCAGTTGAGCGATGTGGCCCATGGGTCTCTTGTCTTATTTTTTGAAGACAAAACATTTGACTGTGTTTTTTATTTTGATTTCAGTGAGGGTAGCCCTACCTCGACGTGTCATCTACTGGTGCTGTGGTATAGAGGAGGATAATAAAACAGAACTAGCCAGTCATACAGTACAGAGAAATGAAATACAGTCCATCAAAGAACATCCAGTCTGGTCCAAAGTCAGCAATGTTTTTGCCATCTTAGCCATGATAGCAGCTGTGTTCCTTTTCGCTTTCTTTGCTTGAGGTAATTTTACTCCCTTCAATAGGATTTTCTCTTGCACTATAATAGGGCTTCAGTCTCTTCAGAGACTTATAGTAATTTTTTTTATATGAATGGTAAATATAGCTCCCTGTAGCATGAGAAATATTGAAACTGTGACCACTACATGTATATGTAGTCACTGACCCACAATATTACTGGCATTGATGTCATTTTAAGTACATATAGAATCTGTTGACAAACAAAAGTAGAAGTACAAGGAATATCTTATTTTATTTCTGATTTTGTAGGACATGGCATGTGTGCTGGTATTCAGATATGTAATGAGCAGCAAGCGTGCTACCAGAAGAAAGTACCTGTGATCTCAGTTGTATGAATCATACTTTGAATAATTACAAATGCTTTGAATGCATTGGTTTGCCCATGTATCAAATAATTTTTATTTGGTGACTACTGTCTAACAGGTTGGTTACTTTTCAGGCATGGACAATATATTTTTTGGTATTATACAATATAAATATTTTTTTCAAATTATTATATGGAACATGCTATGTGAGGAAAGAAGATGCCTTTGTGCTAAGGATTAATTGATCTATCCTGCCCACATTTTCCATCCATTTTATTCAGCAATTTCAAGCAGACCTCAGATATATGTCTAATACCTCATTATGCTGATTCATTTTTATCAGTTTTGGTGTGACTTGCTGTAATTTATGATTATTTTAATATTTTTTCAGTGTAACAAGAATTTAATAGCATGTAGAATGTTAAACATTATTAATCCAATACTAAGGGTATATATTTATGAATCCTGTTTGAAATAAATTAAGTAAAGCACTACGGGATGTATATTTTATCTGACAAATGTTTCAAACAGTTTAGATAATTTTATTGATGTTCGGTTTAATTTTCACTGTGTTGTCAATTTAATGATGAGATATTGTGATTATATTACTCGAGTGTTATTGCATATGCATGCAATTAACATCTATACATATCATTGCCAGACCAGAGAAATCCAATTTATTTTGACATACAGAGAAACAAGAAAATAGACCAAAAAAAAAATTAATTAATCAATGCAATTATGTGTTTGTACCCGGTTATAAAGTGGAGTTTATATGGGTTTGTGTATAAATATTAAATGATGTCGAAGTGTCTAGTACATGTACCTTTAAAATTGTATTTCTTTGTTTATTGTTTCAATATTTGTAATCAAGATATTTAGTTACGAGTTAATTTTTAGCTCACCTCGACGAAGTCGAGATGAGCTTATGCTATACCCCCGGCATCGGCGTTAGCGTCGGCATCCTGGGTAAAGTTTTAAGAGCAAGTCCACTCCCAAGTAACTATAAGTCCTATCTGGACGAAACTTGCATGTATGGTGGATCAAGGGATGGACACTACCACACTTGCTTTGGATGCTGGATCTGACCTAGATTTTCCAGATGAGTGACTAGTTTAAAGTTTTTGTAGCAGGCCCATACCCAAGTAACTATTGGCCCTACCTTGACCAAACTTGCATTGATGATGCATCTAGGGATGGACACTACCACACTTGCTTAGGATGCTGGATCTGACCTAGATTTTCCAGATGAGTGACCAGGTTAAAGTTTTTGGAGCAGGTCCATACCCAAGTAACTATTGGCCCTACCTTGACCAAACTTGCATTGATGATGCATCTAGGGATGGACACTACCACACTTGCTTCGGATGCTGGATTCGACCTAGATTTTCCACATGAGTGAATTTATAGCCATATTTTAACCAAATTAGCATGGATGATGTAGCTAGGGATGGTCACTTCCAGACTTGCTTTGGATTCTGAATCTGACCTACATTTTCCAGATGAGTGACCAGGATAATTTTTTTGGAGTAGCTATATAACATTATGGCCTGTTATGATTAAACTTGCATAGATGGTGCATCTAAGGATGAAAACTTCAAGACTTACTTTGGATGTTGGAACTGACCAAAATTTTCTTGATTAGTAAACAGGATAAACGTTTTTTGAACAGGTCTATTTCCAAGTAACTATAAGTCGTACTTAAACCAAACTTGCTTGGACATTGATCTTGGGATGTACACTAAATAAAACAAAATATGATGTGAAATTTGCCTTACTTAAAGATGACATTCGTCGAGGTGAGCTTCGTAATCTTTGATTACCTATGTTTTTTATAAGGAAGTCAACTCATAACCATGGTCCTGGTTATGAATGGACTTCCACATTTGGTTACAAGTTGATTTACTGGAGGGTATTATGCTCAAATGGTATATGATTGTTTACCAATTATAATATACATTATCCAATGTACTCTGAGCTCCAAACACCTGATCTAAGAATGGTACCTTACAATAATAATGATCACAGTCATAACATTAAGCAAGAGAAAAAAAAATCCATAGTTATATATTTAGAAAATAAAGGGAAAAAATTAATGATTAAATAATTCTAAAATTATAATTTCATGACTTGAGGATCAAAGATCTGGATTATTAGTCTGTAAAATGAGATACATGTATAGTCAGACTTTTTTGAAAGAGTTTTGCTATAAAGAATTCTGTTTGAAAGGAATATTTTGAAAATCCATGTTCATTTAATCGATCTTTAATTAATATTATTATAAAGAATCCAGGTTATCACTACTCTTGTACAGTGAAGAGAAGTAGTGATTTATGTTAGAAAATGTTATTTAATGTTAGAATTGAGTATATCCATATGTATTGTATGTAGTTTAGAAACAAGAACAAATTATATTTAAATGAATAATTTTTATTATTTATACATAATCATTTATACCGGTAATGAAATACATATATTTATAAATATATATATTATATTATATATATATATGTATATTATCAGAACCAGTACTGTTATTTATTATTATGATTTTTTTTAATTCTTGTTGGATCACAGCTTTTTGAAATTTTAGAGCATGGTGATAGTTTACCACTAATAGCCCCCAGGAAAAAAAATATTGGAAAAAAAATTCCCTTTATATACATGTAGGCTACACCGCTGTAAAAAATTGTATAATGATGAAAAAAAAATCTTGGGGCATTATGATCAGAATAGGTGTTTTGAATTAGATAGGTAAACAAAATACCTGTACACCTATATGGTCCCTTCTTTAGGTGTACAGTTAGAGACATTTTTTAAAGATTTAGTTTGTTTTATAGAGATGCATGCCTTGCAATTCTGCAGATCTTATTAATTGCTTGTTAGTGTGTATTTGATAATATAGGCAACACTGACATGAGAGATATTTGTTCTATACCATATTTGGTATACATGTCAATGTCTTAAATTGCTTCTTTTATATCCAGTGAAATAAAATCACATATGTAGGAGTGTATTTTTGTTTTGTTTCTTTAGGACTCAGGATGTGGGTGTGCATCCTTTAATTCTTTAAAGTATAGCGATGATGATGTCAATTAACAGATAATAAATATTTAGAAAACA